GATCTTCTGTAAAGCTTTGATTTGATTATACAAGATATTCTGCATCTGTTTAAGAGCATTAGTTTGCAGCTTTAAGGATTTTGCTATTGCAATTTGATTAATATAGAGTTGCTTTATTATTAAAATTAACTAATTATATTCTTAGTTGCTCTTCTAAGCAGATTCAGCTTTTAAGATTTGCTTAGTTAATTCAAGCTAAGCTTGCTAATTACAAGTTAATTATTAAGACGGTTAATAGTATAATAGCTCTACTGCTTATTTCAATAGATTTATTAATTAACTAGAAGTATTATACATTGAATATAGAATAGGAATAAGCTGTATCTGATTAAGAACTAGCTAAGATAGAAGTATAGAAGAATCTTGGAATTAAGCTTGTTAATAAAGTTGAAGGTTGGTAGCATTGAAAGCAAGTTAGTCTTGAGTCTCCTTCTGAAGTGCTTTACAATGAATCTTCAACAGCTTTTCCATAAGATAAGGCTACTTCTTGTTGCTAATGCTTTCAGCAATAATACTATGATCAGCTCAGAAATGCTTAATCCAGATTGAAAAGAGCTTCATTCATGCTTCTGCTATAGATTGATTATCTTTAATCTTAAGATAAGTAAGAGCATTATTATAGTTTATAATAAACAATTAGAAGCTAGTAGCATTAATAATAAAATAATTATTAATAATATTCAGATGCTTCTACTTGAGAGTATATGCTTAAAGATAGTTCCAAGAGTGATAAGCAACTAATAATTGCTTCTTTTATTCATTTCAAATTTTAGCATTTATAATAAATCTCTCTACTTCTTCAGCAATGATTATATCTATATAGAAGCTTTTCATAAAATTGAATACTTAAGTATTATCAATCCCTTTAATCTAATGCTACTAATCGAATCGCTTCAGCTATAAGAAAACTTTCATATAAGCAAACAATATTAATTTACTACTAGCAAGCTCACTATAGAAAGGAAATCTGAAGTTCTGATTATAGTGATTATTAGCTAGATAGTTAGCTGAACTGAGTATTTAATTAGAAAAGCTCTCAGATATAGAAGCTATCTTCTCTCTTGATTATTACTTCCTCTAATATTTCTTTGCTTTCCTAGTTCAAGATTCTTGAATTGAGAGCGCTACAGCCAGAATGCCTTCCGTATCCTGCAGAAAACAATACTATAGAGATTAAGAGAATTCAGATGCTTAAGAGAGATTTAGTCTATAAGTAGAGTATATATAAGATCTGTTTTGTAATAAATAATAAGAGATTAAATTAGCTATTCTATACTATACTAAGATTTTCTTTATTAATAGTTCTGCTAATTAATAGAAGTATTTCTAACTAGATATAAAGTATTAATTAAAATTCAATATTGGATAATATTATTGTAATTCTCAATCTCTATTTCTTATATGTATTAACAATTTCTTATCTTCATTTCTCTATATTCTTTGCTTTTGAGATAATGCAATTAGCAAGCTTTTAATTCAAAGGATTAATATAGCTAAATATATTCAGATAAAGCATACTAATTAAACTATTGCAAAGAGCATAGATCTTGTTAATTATACTACTTTTTTCTGCAGAATACTATTCATTAAAAGCATTCTATTCTGTAATTTAATTATAAATCTATATCCAATATAATTAAACCTTCTGCTATAGCTTATACAAGTCTAAGCTATATCAGCTTCTATATAGAATTATTAATTAATATGAGAAATATTGGAAAAAGGAATTCATTTCTTTGTAATATTAGCTTGCAAGCTTAACGCATTATTTACCAGCCTACAACCAGAACTCATACCACTCCTCCTCTATTCATCTATCTTCCCTCTATAAGAAGTCTCAGATATAACTCAGAATCCAGATATAATATACAGCCTGTTGTATAAGCATAATAAATAAAGGAAATAAAAAAGCTCAGCAGAGAAAAAAGAGTACATCCATTCATAGAATAAACTTGCTGCTCTTACTAATCCTTACAAACTATAATACAAACAGCCCTAAGCTACCAGCCTGAACAGCTAAATCCACACTCATCGCACTATTGAACCAGAACTAGAGCGCTATCGCTCTCGAAAGAAAAAGGAACAAACAGCTGCTGAAGCAATAAGCAAGAGCTCGTACAACCCAAGCATGCCTGTACAGATGAGAACAGCAAACTAAGGCCACACGAGCACAAGAACAGAGTGAAAAACCTGTCTTAGACCTGTCTAAAGGGTTCAAAATTGAAAAGAAGAGAAAGGATGCTTCATTGTTGCTTATAGCTAAAGAATTTGAAAAGTGGGTGGTATCCTTTATATGTATGAGGACCCTTGACCCACTGTACTCCACGTCCCACGGACTACCACCCTGGCCACCACAACACTATTATATTTCATATTGCTCAAGAAGTAATACTAAACTATTCTTGAATAAGAATTATTAAAATGTAATAAGCATTATAGCAATTCGAAGATTCCAAAGTATATAAGGAGATTTATGCTAATAAGAGCGATGCTAAGTATAAGCCTTGAATATGGAAATACAACTGAGTAATTGTGCAAGTATTTACTGCTTTTGAAGCTATTAGAGTAAGAGAGTAATCTGATACTTAGATTGATAACTGAAGAGCTATATACTAAATCTATCTAATGATAATGAATGTGTTCTTATATATTCAGCTTTTTAGTGTGAATATATTGAATAGCAATATATCCAAGTTATTCTGCTAGCTCTGGATAGCATATATCCAAAGCTATCCTTTCTGATTGGTTGTGCTTATAACTCTAACTCTGAGTTATGTAGTCAGTGATTTGTTAGAACGTTGGGTTCTTGATACCTGGTCCTTGTTGCTCGTGATCTGTTTTGTAATCTGCATGTTGAATGAGTTATAACACCTATTATCTAACTCTAGAAGCTATTCTGAGATTGCAGTAGCATGAATAACTATATTAAGCTATGCAGTCTTTGTAATCATACTGCATCTGTACTGTACTAGTGCTGAAGCAATCTTTATAATATTATATAACTTACTAGCAAAGGAAAACTTAGCTCTTTAGAGCAAGGCATTTCAATAATAAGAACTAACTAACAAGAGAACTATTAATAAGTATGAAGAGATCTATGAATCTGCGCAAAAGCAGCTCGGATGCATAGTTTCTGAGAATAGGAATCTAGAAGAGAGAGGATTCTGTTAGAGCTTGTATGCATATAAAGGAAATAAATAATCCTTGCAACTTCTAATAGCAGTTCAGAGCTGCTACAAGAGCTTTGCTTCGAAGCAGTGCTCTTATACGATACTGCATAGCTATCAGGCTATTGTTATTCTATCTAGTCCAAGCTAATTGTATACATAAGAGAAAGGGGAATAACAGATTCAGCAGCGAAAAAAGAAGGAGAGAGATAGATTCAGTAGTCCCTTTGAATGGAAGCATTAACAGAGCAGCTTGAAAGCAGCTCACACCCCTTCACCTCACTTGTGTGCTCTTTTTATCCTGACACTACTCCTGACATGCATGCTGGATGAGTTATAATACCTTGCTTATCTAACCCCAATGGTTGTCTGCTGTTGAATCCTGATTTCTGATTCCTTGTTCAGCAGAGCTTGCTTTGTAATCTGTATGTTGAATAAGTTATAACATTATGTTATTGTGATTTCGCTTAGCTTTTATATCAGATGTAATGATGCACTGCAGTATCCGAAGATCCTGATGTACACAAGAGGTTTATGCTAACAAGAGCAGCATCAAGATGACAACCACTGGAATACAGAACGAGTACTGTAATCCGTGCAATGCTGATCATTCGCTTTTGGAGCTATTCAAGTGTATAACAAATGAATACTTAGATTGATCACTGGAGAGCTATATCCTGGTAGTCTACCTGATGATAATAAGTATGCTCTTATATATCCAGCTCTTCATCATAGCTTATCTTGGATTACCAGCGATCCAAGTAATCCAAGCTTATTGGATTACTTAATAATCCAATGATCCATCCCTATTGTAATCCTTGCTCTGAATTACATAATCACTATTGATTATCCGACGTTGGGTTGTGATACCTGATCCCTTGTTTGTCAGGCCTGTTCTGTAACCTGCATGTTGAATGAGTTATAACATCAGATGTTTTAACAGCTAGATATACTGCTATCTTATTAGCTATAATACTAAACTAATATTCTCTATATATTATAATATATAATAAAGAATAGAAAAATAAAGAATAGATAAACTTAGCTATAGCTAAATTCTAATTAGAATAATAAATTAGAAATACAGATTAAAATAAGCTTTAAAAATAATACTAAATAATTAGTTATTTTCAATATAAATAGAAATATAAATCTAATCTCTTCAATCTTTACTCTAGAAATGCAAATTCTACAATTAAAATAGAAAAAGAAATAATAAGAATATTAAATTCAGAAATAATAAAATTATAAGAAAAGCAATCAGACTTCAAATTGAAAAGAGTTGGAAAGCTTAAAATTTGAGTTGAGAACAGTTTGTAGAAAAGAAAACAATCTGCTATTCTCTGCATTTGCTAGCATTGAAAATTCTTTTATTCAAAAAAACTATTCTCTATCTTAAGAATACTTTGACTTTAGGATAGAATTGAAAAAGAGATCTGAAGATATGAATATAGTTAAGCTGGAAGGATATAGTAAAGCTGAAATATTTGATAGCTATACTTATCCTTCTAAGCGCTCTTAATCCAGCTGGTTTAAGAAGCGCACGGGCTACTGCGTGTAAGTCAGCTAAGTAGGTTGTGTGAGCTGGTGTAGGAGTCAGCAGCCCGCTTTTGCTGACTACGGACGCTATGATTGTATGAGTACGGGCTCTCCCAAGACTTTCATATGTTAAGTGAGTGGTATTCTTTATATGTATAAGAACTCTCGCACTCAATGTCCCACGAACCACCACACTGGCCACCACAACAGTAGTTCAATATTTGTATAACTAAGCAATCTTATCTTAACCAATCTAGCAATAATATGTTCTAATCCTAGGCACTCTGATCCGCTTCACTCTCTGGTACCTCGCTCACTCTCAGAAATTAGATCTGCATAAGCTTTATGCAGAGCAGCTTGAGCTACAGCATCGTTATCAACCAGATTGACAGAATTAACGCAAGGGCGAGCCCCAGCCGTGGTAACCCAGTGCACACCCTCCGTAGGGACGCCAATCGCGAAGCGTCTCGTATGAGCAGAACCCTCCTTGTCGATAATCTGATATGGGCTGCGAGTGATATCGATAGCACCGGTTTCGAAGCCATCAATTGTATGAGGCCTGCATTGCCCGTTGTCAAGCATATATCTGAGCAGAGGATCCTCGGTATGAGTGAGGTTTGGCGGCGGAATGTAGGCTTCAATGATATTCTTGACCTCCACGCTCTGGCAGGGGATAATTGACTTAGCAAGCCAGGCATCTCTCACAAGTGTTAGGGTTGGTTCTGGGCCAAGAACCTGTAAGACTCCGGCTTCGATGAGGGCGACCATCTCCTCGACACGCCGACGAGGGGGTCCGATTGACAGGAATGCGTTGAGCGGCGAGAAATCCTTAACTATGTCATCCCTGTACGACGCCCCGTTCACACCGTGGTGATCCACAATAAGGCTCACTTGGTTGCGGATGTCACGTAGAGCATCAAGAGCCGCCTTCAGGGGTCCTCTAATGTTCCCTTGCTTTGCTTCCTCAATATCTTGCTTCAGGTATTTAAGCAGCCAATCGTTCCACTCCTTCGCTGTGGAGAAGGTGGTCTTGCCTTGGGGCTTTCGGAGGCGCTCCCAAGACCACGCAGGCTGGGCAACCCCGAGTCTTTTCAAGTCATCGGCTTCGCTCGAGTCAGCTTCGCTCGAGTCATTCTCACTAAGTCTATTGATGAACTTAGCCGATTCTTCGTCGAACTTTTGGCGGTCGTCAATGAATTTCTGACCGTCTTTCATGAAGTCCTTGAAGGATTTCCAGAATTTCCTCTCGTCTTCCACCTTTTTCTTCTTGAACAAAGCCTTATAGTAGATGGACTTGATCTCCTTGGCAATGAGCGGCCAGATGTCCTTCTTGAACCTCGGAGCATTGTCACCCCCAGCTATAGCTTTTTGGTTGAATTCATCAATTTTTTGTTTGGTCAGAAAGACTGGCGTGTGACGTCCATACGCGCCCTTCTCGTTATCGCCGCGGGCGTGGTGGGGGATACCGCGGGTGGAGCAGGCGTATATCTTCGGCTCTTTGCCCGATGGATGGTAAGTGAGACCCTTAGCAGATGGTTCGAACCGTCCGCCTCGTCGAGAGCTGAGCAGAATCATGTAGTCGAAGAAGACGAGTCCGAGACCGCGCAGAAGCACGGATTCATTGGGGGCAATGGCGCCGAGGTTAGTGTCGGCCGGGTTGCCGGGCGGGAAGTACCGTAAATTGTTATGTTCGGCGACATCATCGAAAAACAAAGTTTGTGTCTTGCTGGGAAGCCGGGAAACATGGCCTTGGGCTAGGATAACGGCTGAAAGCTTGGGTAAGGTTGCATTGGTAGACAACGTGAGTCTCTGTCTGCCACCTCTGGTAGGTTCTTGGAGCCGTATAGCACTGGCGCGGTGTTCCACAATCTCTTTAATCGCATTCTCCTTCGTGGCCCTCTTGCAGATCTCATGATAGGCCCAATCTAGGTAACAGCCATACGCGAAGCGGGTCGCGTAGTCGTTTGGACCCAACTGGAGCCAGCTCTCCCCGGCTGCCCATTCGTGCAGGGTGGGGCCAGGGCGTTTGGGCCCCTTGCAGTTCACACTTTCATCTGTGAACAGCGTGATCTGGGACGCGACCGTGTTCATCAGGAGCCGTGGTGGTTGATTTGTTCGCCATACCTTGCCCGGGCCCGGTGGGTATGGGTCGATGACGTGGATCGTGACTTTCCCTTCGTTCTTCAGGATATCCTTTGCAGAGGAGCAGAGACGTTCCAAGCAACCTATTCCGCGCGGTCCAGCTCCGACTATGGCGATATGGGTGTTCTCCATCGTTAGGAGAGGTTGAGTTTGATGTTGAAATATCTTCTCTCGCTTCTCGGGAAGCGATGGGAAATGTGTTGTGTGTTGGTATTGGGAACTGGGAAAACAGTTGATGTTTGTGTCTGAGAACAGAACTAGTAGGAGGTAGTCCGGCAAAGGCGCAGACAACGAAAGCGTGTGAGGAAAATTGTTGATGGGTTCTGATCCAGGGGAAAGCACTCAGAAAAGGGGTGTCTGAATCACAGCGACAACGGTACAAGCTACAACACGGGGGATTCGAACAAACAAAACCGAAACTGATCCAAGTGCTTGACAAGATGGAATATGTTGGATAGAAATAGATGCATAGAGTCATCAATATATATTGTAGATCAAGACAGCTCTCCACACTTGTGGCCTGCCACAAAGTGGCAGATTGCCGCCCAGTAATAGGACCGGTCAAATTCACCACTTACAAAACTTAACGTGTGGTAGGTTATCTCGGCTGGATTTCAACTTGATTGGGTTTTGGTACATGATTACTTTGGATATTAGATACCTAGGTAACTTGCAGTGCAACTGGCTCTACGCCCTGTCGAGTCGGCATTTCTCAAGACAGCCTTCACGCGCACAACACGTGCAACCACGGGAATTTCAAACACGGGAATTGAATACACGGCAATTGCAAACACGGCAATTGCAACTGCGTCAATTTCAACCACGTCATGCAACCACGATCACAGCATGCCAACTACGTCAATTCCAACCACGTCACCTTTTTTACACCAGTGAGGCATAGATAATAGGTTGAATAAGCGGCTACGTGTAACAACACCGCTGCTACTTTGTTGTACCCGATGCTGATCCCATTTCCAAACGAGGATACCTGCAACTGCATTGTAGCACCGGAATCAACAATTTTGGTAACGAGCAAGGGGGTTACCGACTTCGTACAGTCGGGATTGCCCTCTATCCTCAGGTTATATCGGTTGAACTGGAATATAACTCGAGTATATTGGAGCCGAATGAAGGAGTAAAATGATTCATACGCATTGTACATACTTAGGAAGGATATCACTAAAGCACTTGACACTCCTCTAAGGTCAAATATATAAATGACTTCGCATCCTTAAGTTACAAAAGAGGAATTGGAACCATTATCTATCTCCCTCTGTTTACCCGCACAGAGCTGCCTAACCGATTGGCCTCTTCACTGGCTGCACTATCCATCACCCGAAGTACCTGGACAGGTATGACAAGCCCCTTAGGACTCACAAATAAAGGATCCTATCCAAATGTTGATTTCAATTAGGGGAAGAACTATTGCACCATGAATCAGCAACTCAATGTTTGGCTTGAGAACAAGCAGCATTCCATAGAAGGCCATATTTTCCAATGCACTCTCAAATTTGATGACAGAGTTATCTATGGGCCCATCTCATGCCACGACAATACGGTTGCTCTGGGAGACGCCATCCATAATGCCGACAGCCGCTTTAAGATGTCCTTTGACAAGAAGGACCACACAGTTGAAGGTCACACACGCTACATCAGCGTGAAGTCGGGGGACAAAGTTCTTCTAGACAAACTCTCTACTCACGATAATATGGCTGGGTTGGTTGCTGCGATCGACCTCGCTCTTGACATCGCTCAGGTCCGCGAAACAGACTAGCTCAGTGGGGTGTCTTTGGGTGTATTTCGGTAGAGCATTGAGCGATATGGAATGGAAGAAAATACAAACATGCTACGAGTCTCACTTTATCCATATATATTATCCAGTAAAGACGTGAGTGCTCACGAGATCTGGCTACCAGTACAGAGGTTGACTTCAACATCCAAGCCGTATGACTCTCTTTAGCTATTAGAGTATAAATATAAGATTATATATCTAGCTCTTTAGTCTTAGACTATAAGAGTTGAAAAGTTACTGCTATAATCTATAGCTTAGACTGTGAGAACTGCTCTGTAATTGTTGTAATTGTTTTCTGATTAGCTGAGCTAGTAACTCGAACCTTTGGTTATATAATCCTTATTAGTTATCTGGTATTAGATTGTAATACTCGGTCCCTTGTTGGCGGAGCTTGTTTCGTAACCTGTATATTAGATGAGTTATAATAATAATCCCGCTTTTAATATATGTATATTGTAGCTATCTTCCTATTCTGATTCTGCGTATATGCTCCTATCAAGCACTCTTGATGATATCAGCTGCCTTCTCTACCATAGCATATACTATAAATAGAATGTTACTGCAAGGAATTAACGAGAAAATACTAAGTTAACGGGGGTAGTTTCCGCCCATCCGTAGTTTCCGCCCACCCCGGCCAGCCACACCACACATATACATATATATATATATTGATTATTTCCACATACTATTCACTCACCACGATACATTCCTCTTCATCAGTAACTAATTCGACATCGTTCTCTTCATTCTAACTATCCTCATCTTGATTAGCTGCTATTTGAGCTCTCTGTATAGCCTCAATATTTGCAAACTTCGAATTTGAGCTCATATCAGCCTTTCTTCTTTTAGTAAGCCTTCTATTCTTAGCTTAGATTTCCAATGCCTTATTTCTTTCCAAGGCTTTAGCAAACTCTATATCTCTCTCATTATAAGCCTTCTGTATCTTTCTGAATAGTAGGCGTTGCTCTGGTACTGATGAAAGACGGTTCCGATTCTCTTGTAGCTGTTGATATAGCTGTTTAGCCTTTCGAGGAGTTGAAAAGAAAGCTTGCTGGCTTGAGGAGGCTTTGGGGAATAGCTGAGGTACTGTTGATTGTACTGAGCCTGAATTTGACTGCTTCTGAATGTGTAGTTAACTGTTCTCGAGGAGAAGAGAGCTGAGGAGTAGTTTGGATAGCCTGAGAGGCTATAAACCAGTTGCTTTCTACTCAGATCTGATATTCTGGCTCGAAAGCTCTTCTATACAAGCTTAGCAATAATACTCGAGGAAAGCTTGCTTGCTAAAAGCTGTCAAGTCCCCCTGTTAGCTCTCAAGACTGACTTTCTTTCTATAAGCTCTTTTGAGAGACGAAAAGATTCCAAGATCAAGAGATTGAAGCACGTGAGAAGTATAAGGAAGCAAATAGATCAACAGGATATTGTTTTGATAGCATTGCTATATAAACTCCTTAGTTGTATAGCTGTTGTAGCTATTCAGGATTAATAGTTTGGCTTTCAAGGAGTTTGCTAGCTGGCTGTCTGGAATGAAGATCTTTTTCAGCTATTTAAGAGCTATTGCATTATTTGTTTATCCGTTTTGAATAGCTGTAAACTTCCAGCTATCAAAAGGCTATAAGAGAAGAAGAAACTACTGCTATTATACTGTTTTTCTCTTAAAGATAATCAGAGGAAAAAGGTATATATCTGTAGCTAAGATATATTCGAGAAACGAAATCCAGGCTCTTAATCCAGAATCTTTAAATTGAATTGAATGTAAGAAAGAGCTACTAAGAACTAATCCATTCTCTCCTTAGCTCTTTAATATTCCAGCCTCATCTATATTCTATTGATTAGCTAGCTTAATAGCTTGAACTTGAGAAAGATCGAAGAGATAAAACTAAAGCTATATTACCTCTGTTATTGCATCATTAGTTCGAGCTGAAGCAATCCTCCTAGTCCTTCGAACTCTTATCTCTGGATTTCTCTTCAAAAAAGCGCTAGTCCACTTGATTCCGAGGGCTTGATCATCGCTATGGATATAAAGAATCTTCTAAGCAAAGTACTTCAGCTCTGAATAGCTTGGTAGAAATCCTAAGCTTTCCTGAACAAGGATCCACTCAGCCAACTTCCTTTCTTAAGGAATAGAAAGCCTTTGCTGGTTTTCGTAGGCTGTTTTATGCGGTGTTGCTTCTTCTAGACGATCTCGGAGTGTGGTTCTTGAGATGCTCCATTGCCTCGAGGCTTTTCGTTGAGAGAGGCCATTTCTGACAGCCTTGACAGCCTGATCTAGCTCAAATTCAGAGTATGGCTTCATAATTATCATATAAAGATTTGCTGAAAAGATGAAGTTGTTTGGAAGATAATTGACTGAATAAAAGCTATCAAACTAAAAGGGGTTGAAGAAGCGGTCGAGGAGGAAAAAGGAAAAAGGAGGCAGGTTCAGTAGTTCTCTCGAATAGAAGAGCCAACAGAGCGGCTTGGGAGAAGCTCACACCCCTTCACCTCACTTGCATGCCCTTTTTACCCTGACAATACTCCTCTTTTCTCTTAGCAGTATAGCTGCTAAGCTATATGTAATGAGCATTGCAGTAATCCAAAGATTCCTTAAGTACTGAAGGAATTTATGCTAATAAGAGCGGTGCTGAGTACAGGCTTGGAATACTGGAACATAACTGAAATTTGAATACAAGTGTTCACTGCTTTTGGAGCTATCAGAGTAGATATAATCTGATACTTAGATTGATAATCAAAGAGCTATGTACAATGATCTATCTACTAGTAATAAACGTAAGATTATATATCTAGTTCTTCAGCTTTGAGTTATTCTGAATCAATATCGAGCTTATCAATTTGTTATTTCTCGTATTAAATCGATATTAATCTTATCGATTCATTCCTTCTCATACTGAATCAATATTGATTCTATCAATCCAGTTCTGTTCAAATCCTAACCCTTGATTATGTAAAGCTTTCCATAGTTCCAATATTGAACTTGAAAACTAGCTTTCCGGATTCGCTTGTTCTTATAGCTCATCTTGTAATCTGCATATTAAATGAATCTGTAATGAGCACTGCAGCAATCCTGAGATTCCCAAGTACACAAAGGGGTTTATGCTAACAAGAGCAGCATGTTGTCAGGGATAAAGAGAGAAGGAGAGCAAAACGCTAGGGCTGAGTTTTCCAAAAGGTTAGATCGACTTCGACAAGAAGAATTAGCTCGAAGAATTCGACGCTCTGTACAAGGCCACATTGGCGAGGAAGGCATGCAAAATACTTCATCAACTGGCCTCTAGCAATGCAAATGACTGTAAGAAGCTAGTCCCACAGTTTCTTGATGGAATCTTGCTTGAGTCATGTCCACTTGGCAATGCTCTTCATTCTGCTGTCATACATGACCTTCCCATCGATTTGATCAACAGATGATCGAAAGATGCTCAGTTCCTGACAAATTGCTAGTTAGTGAGCAGGGAGAGTGCGGAAATACCCTTCTCCATATTTGCATGGGAACAAACTTGGAGGTCATCGAGGAGGACCCAGATAGTGAAACAGAAACTAGTGGAGATGATAAGAAGGGTCAAGATGAAAACGCTGCCATCACGCAAAAGGGGGGCCATAACCTCATGGAGAAACCTTAGAACAACCCCTGCCGAAGTCGATGTTCCCCGCTGCAGCATAATTCAGTCCATTATGCAAGTGGAAATGCATCACTTGCTGTCAGAAATATGATTGGACTGCCAGTGTTGAAGAATGATTTAGCTCGTAAGAAACACGCAAAAGCAGACCCAATACCAGGAGAGATCAGTTTACTTGGAAGCCAAAGACGCTGTGCAAAGCAAGATAGTCGCCAAGTTCTACCTCTCCTCCGCAAATGCATCCCCGGCAGCTTGAACGAGCGCTATCAACACAGTCGCAGCAACGATGTAATGGACCAGCTGCTGTCGCACCCACCCGAGAGCTCCGTATCTCGACACAAGATCACGAAACATGCCGATATGACGTTCAAGGGCCTCGAGGCGTGGATAGTCAAATATAAGACCTGGCAAGACGCTTTGGCGAAAGCCAAGGCAGAGTCATCCATCGACAAAGGCAATTGGGCAGGGAGAGACTCAAGAGGCAAAAAGACGATGCGACCGACAGCTTGACAAGAATCATCAACAAGTCAAAGCTGGGAATCGCTGACATGATCAAGACGCATAATGAACGATCTGATGGTGACGACAAAGTCGAGGGCCAGTGTACAGGACGTGGTCAAGCAGGAAACGAACCAAGTCTTCGAAAGAATTCGCGATCTGCAGACCAAACCCATACGACTCGCAGGACAAGATGCCTTTACGGCCTTCTGTCGAGCACCTCTTGGTCGGGAATTTGGCCAAAAGGCCCACAAGGCTGGGCTTCTTCGTGCAGGTTGGTCATATATCAAAGTACTCGGCATCCCTGAGGAAGGCTGTTGTGAAGATGAAAAAAAAAAAAAAAAGTCTGGATAGAGTGGATGCAATCTTTCCTAACCTTGCTGAAGGTGATATCCGTTCAGCGATCGACCATGTACATATGCTAGCATACAGTCGTGAGCTCCTTCGGATGAAGTATAGATACTGTACCAATATGAACGCAGTGCTCTCGAAGTGGTGTATAACCGTGGTATATGACGTTGTCAGCAAGCAAATGTAGCAATTATTACCCCATAATGTTGTCAGTTAGAACAGTGTTGCACCTGCACCCGCTAAACAAAGTGCTAGGCGCTGAGCCACGGGGCCACGGGGCGACAGGGGCCGGGCTCGATCAATACCTGGCACCCGGCGGCAGGCAACGCTAAGTAACGGCCCCGGCCGGCAGACCCGCTACATCATATGCACTAGACACCTGAGCGGGCTGTGATCGTCTCTCCAACATCAACTCCACCCCTCCTCCGTCAACATTCTCACCACCCCGTTGTCCTTCAAGAAGCATGCGACCATGGATGCACCAAGGCCAGCGCCTGCATTCGCTCCATCTCCGCCTCTCAGTGCCAGCTCCTGCCGCGACGAGTTCGACTGCGAACTCGACACACCTGCGCGATCGCGACAACGTCCAGCGAGAACAGACTCGTCGCCCGCCTCGTCCACCTCATCGAGCTTCACACGCGGCCAGGGGCAGTCTGTCGTATCCAGCTTCACATCAGACTGCCCCCCGAAGGAGGCTCGGCAAGAGGAGGAGCCCCATATAAGCGACTTCGAAACAGCTATTTCCCTCATCAGAGCGTCAAAACAAGGGGTGCTCCCAAGCACACTGAAGTTCCCGGAGTGGACGCTCCTCCATATCACCCCACAGCAATACGCGAATCTACACGAGCGGCTACGGTGCGACGGACTCATAGACTACTTCGAGGACAAGATCCGCTACGATTGGAACCCTGACAGTGGTGTCCTCGTACTTCGACTGATGGCCACTCCCATCCACGAACACATCTTGCAAAAACTTGGCTATCAAATCCAGCGTCAGATCGATGACATCGCCGAGACCGACTCGGAACTTTCGAAGATTGCAGCACGCATTGAGCCCTATGCTCACTCGTTTGTCCGGCTGCCGAGATACAGGGAGGGCGCGGGCAAGGGCAAGAAATCGCCGGACGCCCAGTTCAGGTACGATGGAACAACCACACCACAACTCATCATCGAGGTTGGCTATAGTCAGAAAGCCAACTCCCTACAAGATCTCGCCAAAGACTATTACGAGTGCAGCGATGGGATCAAAACCGTTGTTACGATCGACATCCCTTACCAAAGCTCTACAACCGCAGCGTTCTGCGTCTACCGCGGCCCCAGACGCATCATTCACAACCGGCCATTCCGTGATGCGCAAGGCGATATAGCACACGGATCGCTACAACTCTTCCTATCCGACTTCGTCCCTGACAAGACACTCCGACGACTAAGCCCTCAGGTCCGCAACCAGGTCAAACAGAGTACTATCAATATCCCGAATCATCTGCTTTGCAAGTACCTGGCAACAGGTGAAGAGATGGAGGCAAGAGAGAGGAAGGCACAGGTCGACATCATGCCGGCGACCCAAGCACAATCATCCAAGAAGCGGGTGCACTGGGATTCGGGCAATGTGGATGAGGATGAGGACGAGGGTGCTGTACTGGGCAGCAACGAAAGCAGTAGCCACGGCAACAGTGACGGCTCATACGACGAGAAGCCGTTGTCTAAGAGGCGGAAGACTCATCAAGGCACGACCGACGAAGCGCACGTCTTGCCGCAGAGAAGACGGACACGATCGATGTCACGCGCCGAGGATGCTACACCAAGACGAACGCGGTCGAGGTCACGCGCTACAGAATAAATCATGCTCGTAAGAGCGTTGACCTGGGACTAGGATAATTGAGTATGCAGTGCATGCTTGCACTGATTAATTCAGACAAAACTATCCTGCCGATTTATCATTTTATTTTCAAGTGCTCATCTGGTTGCTATATCTTCCGCTTCCTCTTACAGGGTCAAGAACTATAGCGAGCGTCGTCCTGACTGGCTTGCTCTTCCTCCGTCCAGGTAGGAGTGATCTCTGCTCCGCCCATCGATGCGCTGATCATTGTGCTGTCTTCCTCCTGGAACAAAGAGTTACTCAGCTCCTCCTTACTAGCTATAGGAGCCACACATGTCCAGGTATGCTCGTGATCATAGCTGGTCTCCGTGCGTCCAGCGCTGCGATAATCCTCACAGATACTGACGGCGGGGCCTATGCAGGCATTTGCACTGGTAGCCAGTGGCCCAAATGACACGTCCCCGGGTTCGTCGCCATCCTCAACAGCTACCTCTTATCCAGCGGGCTTCGCAGCTTCCGACCTGACTTGTTCACTCGGTGGCAGACTAACTCGAACACGGACTCCTCCGCATCGAAGTCGCCATCTACACTTGGAAGCCACCGTATCCGTATAAGCGCCCTTTACAGAGAAGCGGACCCAGCCTTGAGGAAGATCTTGATTGAGTAATTATGCAAAAACATGTCGTAGGCCAGCACATATGTCCGTTCCAGAAAGCGGTGGCATGGCCACGTTTTCCGACTCCCTGAACTCGCACCCTGCTTATTATACACTACTTCTTTTAGAAAGACAAGGCTGGAAAATACATATAAGGGTTTTTAACAAAAAAATGTCTTTAGAACTCCAACAATCGGAAAGAGTTAGTATGCAGAGCAAAACTTGAGACGCAATAAACTCGGAATAGAAAAGGACTATCTAGGTATAAAATAGCCTGAAAGCCCATGTCGAAGATACAGTTCACATACTAAATTCTTAGCCGCTGCTAGCAATTTGTTCCAGCTTTTTGTTCGACTTGTCCACTGCGTTATCGCGATGCTTCTCAATGTCGAAGTCGACAATGAAGTCCCATCTCGACAGGACATTACCTCTCAGCCGGTCCAAGTCTAGACCTATCGCCTCGTCACGGCCAGCCAGTATGAGCCCGGTGCGTCGGCTCGATTCCACGATCCGCTGCGTCCGAGGGCGGCGGACCTCGTCGTATATCTCTAGGGCCGCGCAGGCCTCTCTCTGCGATGTCGCACGGCCAAGGACGGTAGCGAGGATCAGAGCATCCTCAATCGTCATTCCACCGCCTGATCCTTGCCACGGAGACGTGGCATGAGCGGCATCGCCCATGATGCAGACTGGCCCAGACAGATATGTACGAGCCGGGGGGTGTTCCCAAAGGTAGATCGCTGGTTGTTCGGGCTGATCGCAAAGAAGCTGTGCTCCCTGTGAGCATATAAAGCAAAGCTACATTGCTCGTCTCTTTATTGCATCTTGCTGACCTCATCGACGACCTTCTTCAGGTGTCCAGGAAAGCCTTTGTACAGATCCTTGAGCTCGTCAACACTGACGGTGCGTTGCCAACGGTCTGAATCCTCAGCGCCTGCCTCGTGAGCGGCAACAATAAGCTGGATCATCTGGCCTTGGTTGAACATATTGTGCATCAAGAACTCACCGTCCCCAAGCCATGAGTACTCGCGAGCTTCGTCGATGGGTCCATCACCGAAGCTAGGCTTTGCCTGTGCAGCAGGTTTGAGAGCCATAATGGTCCACGTACCCGTATTCCTTGGCGATGCTGCCGGATCATTTTCCCCCAAAATGAACTTCCGAACAGTGCTGTGAATGCTGTCAGCACCAACCAAAACATCACACTCATGAGTGGTTCCATCCGTGAAGTGAAGCAGGATAGATTCTTCACTGCCTTTCTTCTCGATCGTTTTAAGCTTCTTGGAAGAATGCAGGCGTTCCGGAGAAATTTCTGCCAAGAGCTCTCGAAGGAAAGCAGCTCGATGAACAATGCTGACGACACGCTTCCCATGGGTCGCTCGATCCTCTTCAGCGATCAGCCTTCATTGACCCTCGCCCTGTCCGAGCATGAAGCGGACTCCGTTCATCGGCATGGCTCCAGCACGTTCCAGACATTTTGGTGCAGAGGAACCGATTAGATCCAGAGCAGTGAGCGCGTTGCGTGCCACGCCGATCGCCGCACCAGCTTCACTATGAGTGTCGATTGTCAGCACTTATCTGTGCATCGACTATGCTTTGGAACACTGAAAACCTTCATTGAAATGCCACACGAAATCAATGGAAGACAGTGACGTACTTGAATGATTCAGCGGACTCAAAGATATGAACATCCAGCTGCGGGTAGTTAAGACGTCCATGGAGCAGAGTTGCCCCCGCAAGACCACCCCCTGAGACAGCAATTCTGATGGAAGACATGATGAAGGAGGTGTATATTCACTCAAAACCTAATTGATCGGACTTCCCACTTGTAATGACAGTAATTCGCTTTGAAGAAAGAAAAAACCCCGAGGCTTGTCGGATGGGGGAAGCAGTCCAAAGTAGCTGTATAGACTGGGAATACATCCCACTTGAGCTTGGCAAGCCAAAGCGCGTGTCTGTTTAAACCCGGTGGAAGATTGTGCACCGATGATACACGTTGCATCATAGACCCAACAGGAAAGAACAGCCAGCAGTGCTGTAACCGACAGGCTGAGCTTTCAGCAGGTATCCAAGCAGGTATCTAGGGCCGTAATTGATATGGCCTTGCAGTGCCTCGTCAGGCGGCTGACACTCGCAGATTAGCACCTTACAAAGAGAGTTGGTGATGATCTGCGCGTGCTCAGCCCTGGCAGCCATCCGCTCATTACATTTGGATCGTTGGGACTGAAAGGTTGTGTTACAGGCCATTGGGGGCTGAAATGTTACGGGCCGTTGGGAGCTGAAATGTTCGGGCCGTTGGGGGCTGAAATGTTATGTTAGGCTACTATGCGACAGAATGCGCCGAGGGTGCTGTGGGTCCCATCGATTTTGTGCCAATGAACAAACTATGATGGCCACCATAATGACCTAGGAGTATGGCTCTGGAAGGGAGTACATCCTTATCCAATCTCGTATCTGCAAAGAGCATTTTGTTTATCATATAGTAATTGCAACGCTAGAAAGTACCAAGCAGCTATTCGACCGGTCAGGGCAGGGAGGCTGCAGAGCATCGCGATTCAGCCCCTAGATTCTGTGTTGAAATTAGCCGAGCAAAACGGTGAGGTAAGTCAAAGGGGAGGGTTTCCGCCCATCCGTAGTTTCCGCCCACCCTGGTCAGCCACACCGCTTCTTCAACCCCCTTTAGTTTGATAGTGTTTTTCATTCAATTATCTTCCAAACAACTTCATCTTTTCAGCAAATCCTCATATAATCATCATGAAGCCATACTCTGAATTTGAGCTAGATCAGGCTGTCAAGGCTGTCAGAAACGGCCTGTCTCAACGAAAAGCCTCGAGGCAATAGTGCATCCCAAGAATCACACTCCGAGATCGTTTAGAAGAAGCAACACTACATAAAACAGCTTATGAGAACTAGCAAAGGCTTTCAATTCCTCAAGAAAGGAAGCTAGTTGAATGGATTCTCGTCTAGGAAAGCCTCAGACTCCTACCAAGCTATTTAGAGCTAAGATACTTTGCTCAGAAGATTCTTCATATCCATAGCGATAATCAAGCTCTCGGTACTAAGTGGATTAGCGCCTTTTTGAAGAGAAATCCAGAGATAAGGGTCCGGAGAACGAGGAGGATTGCCTCAGCTCGAACTAATAGCATAATAATAGAGGTAATACAGCCTTGGTTTCGTTTCTTCAATCTTTCTCAGATCCAAGCTATTAAGCTAGCTAATTAATGGAATATGGATAAGGCTGGGATATTAGAGAGCTAAGAAGCAAATGGATTAGTTCTTAATAGCTCTTCCTTATATTCAATCCAAAAGAAAGAGCCTAGATCAAGAGCTTAAACCTCTTTCCTCGAGTATATTTCAGCTATAGATGCCGACCTCTTCCCTTTGATTATCTTCAAGAGAAAAACAGTCTAATAGCAATAGTTTCCTTTTCTTTTACAGCTTTTTAATAGCTGAAAGTTTACAGCTACTCAAAACGGATAAACAAACAATGCAATAGCTCTTAAGTAGCTAGAAAAGATCTTCATCCCAGGCAGCCAGCCAGCAGATCCTTTGAAAGCTAAACTATTAATCTTAGATAGCTATAATAGCTATACAACTAAGGAATTCATATAGCAATACTATTAATACAATATCCTGTTGATCTATTTGCCTTCTTATATCTCTTACATACTTCAATCCCTTGATCTCGGAATCTTCTCATTCCTCAAACAAGCTTATAGAGCGAAAGTCAGCCTTGAGAATCAATAAAAGGATTCAATAATCTTTAGCAAGCAAGCTTTCCTCGAGTACTATCACCAGGCTCATATAGAAGATCTTTCAAGCCACTGGTCTATAGCCTCTCAGGCTATCCAAACCGCTCCTGAGCTCTCTTCTCCTCGAGAACAGTCAACCACACCTTCAGAAGCAGTCAAATTCAGGCTCAGTACAATCAATAGCACCTAAGCTATCCTCAAAAGCCTCCTCAAGAGAGTCGAGACGCACCAGTGGACCTTTCATATCCTGGAAACATGGCGGCCCGTTGTCTCCAAAGAGAGCTGGCCCAAGGCACCCAAATAGCAAGAACCGTGAAGGAGCAGATGTGGTAGACGGTAAACCCGCGGGTCGAGCGCCACCTTCCAGCCATGGTTCATTGCGTGTTTCAACAAATCTTATCCATCTCCATGTTTGGTGTTCCTATCATTGGCGCCAAGCTATCACATTGACTGGGAAGTCTGGTTGGGAGAGAGACACTGCCCACCTTTTAGGCTGAGCAGTGTTTTCTGGCTGTTGTCCATGGCACATCTCCATGAGTCCATGAGCCTCACCGATTCTGGCATCCATGACTGTTGCAAAGTTTAGGTATAGTTAGAACCTGGGAGACAAGACAGGGGCTTACAGTCTTTGGATGAAAACTTGAAAGACCAAGGATCGTAGCCTGAAAGTTCATGGTGCACCGTCAAGTCCGAACTCATGATCTCTTCTTGAAAAGACAGGTATTTCGAAACCCAGCATTCTTTGTTATGTTTCAACAAAGACAGTCAAGAAGCAAAACTGACATCGTGTATAGCGTCAAAGTATGGGATCCTAGATTCTCAGCTACGACCAGATTCCGTAAACGCGCATGTAAATTCTCCTTCAGGACGTGCAAGCACCCCCAATCACAGCCTGATCACAGAAGGGCTCCGGGAAAACAACAAGATGGAGTCCGCGGCGAAACCAACAGATGCGCTGTTGGCATCCGAGCACCGTATGCAGACTAGATCACAAACTCGTGGTCAACAAGCACCACAGACGACATCTTCAGCGGAGAACAGCGGCGACAGTACTAATAGTGGAGGTCACAAGGCCACTCGCAAGAGAGCCCACAAGGAGCCTTTCGACAAAGCTAGCAAGGAGATTATCCTTCATCCTCACAGTAACTTATCTGTTCATTTTCGCAAATATGAAGTCCATCGGGTCACGGGAATATTTGACGACCGGAACTGACCATGTCGTCCTGACAGCCTCCGTCTTCGACTTTGCTCAGCACAGGATGGAGCAGGAGGCAGCCGCGGTGTCTCCAGGTCCACTCCGTGCACGGCAGCTCCTACGACTGCTCGCTGATGCCCAGCCAGAGAACAGGGAGCTGCGTAATCTTGTCCGCCAGGCCCTCGAGAGGATTGGTGGTGGGGGTCCAGACCTTCAGAGGATCAAAGCGCTTGCGGGCAAGAATCTCGCCCAAGATGCAACCTCTTACGATAGCGAAGCCCAACAAGCCCATGATCTGGTAATACAGAGCCGGTCGGAAGGAAAGGCAACGCATCGACCTTGGCCACGATTTTTTGAACAGTGGACCGAGGCCAAGTGCGCTATGTGGATGACACGGTACATGCAAAAGTGGCTAAGAGAGATTATTTGGGACGAGGAGAGGGTGGCTGATGAGATGGGCGGGAAGAAGGGAGAGGAGACAAGCCCGATCTCTTGTCGAACTATTTCTGCTCAGGAGACACAGGCGCAACGACCGGTAGTGGCTGCGCCTAAAGTGACAGCAACAACCATGTTCACAGGCAGATTGGACACTGAGGCTGACAATAACTTGGCTACTCACTATAGCCAGTCGAAGGCCGACTTGACTTTGGGAGAGGAGCAGGTGGGCGCGGCCAAGACAGCCATTTTCACACTCCCTGCCTCTACATCTGTCCACATGCAACAGCTGAAGGCACTCCCGGTGAGACCGTTCGCCGACTCGGTCCGAGAACAGCTTGAGAGCGACATCGACCAGGGAAGCGCCAAGAGCAAGGACATGGCGAACAGCGAAACCAAGGAGAAACGCGTTCAACTTGGCCCACATTCAGGAAATCCTTCTGAACCTCAGCAGAACGACCTAGGACAGCATAGTCCCGAGCGTTGGAGTCTTGAGCCCCAGTCGCAGCATCGAGCTACATGGCAGCCCGATTACTTTGAGCCCAAGGGACCGAGATCAGATACCAGGGATCGTCGTGTCGGTTTCTTATTGACGTCGGCCGCCGACGGCAGCGAAGGCTACCGGTATGCCTATATCGAACGGTTCTGGGAAAAACGCAGACGGGTTCTAGTCGCGATTAATTTCAGCAATCTCACGCCTCAGGAGCAGCGCGAGGCCCTGGCAGGAATAAGCGTGGACGGTGTTTGTAATGAGAACTTACTCGCCGAGGCTCAGCGGTACTCTGGGTGGCTAGGCGTGGTCAGACACCCTGACGACGACAACCCTGTCCCAGGATGGATTCGCGATGCAGAACAATATCGGGCAAGGAGACTAGGACTGCCCGAGCCCCAGTATCCAAAGAGGGTACAAGGAAGCTTTGGAATGTTCAAGAGAGTGCCAGCTAAAGATAAAGAAAGTTAACAAGTCTCTTGGCCTTTATACTCTTGCGATCTATTAATTAGACAGGCTGATAGAGGTAAATGCTGCTGAATGATGCCATGTCAGGTATGCCTGAACTGAAAGCAATGCACGAGTGCTGCAAGCAATGGCATCATGGGTACATGACATCGTCTCGCGCTGTGGCAAAGCCAACCACCTTGAGGCACTCATCATGACATCAAGACCTGCCAGGCTCGACTCCACATAGCGTCTAGCATGACCCGAAGATCATCCAGAGGAAAATGCAAGATGAAGGTCAAGGGATGAGATTGAGAGATGTGACGGAATGAGGATGGGTCATGGTTGCATTTCAGGAGGGGGGGCGGGGAGGGGAGGAAAGTTGATCTGGCAGTACTTATTCATCAATCTTGCCACAGACCCTGATAATAGCGTAGTCCCGGAAAATTTTTTAAGTAGTCCCTACAAATAAGCAGGAGGAGGCTTTTTTTGTCGAAGTCAGGTGTACCCTTTGGTGTTCTGCAGCAGTTCGCTCTTGACTGTGAGCATATAATATCAATGGCTGGCTTTAAGTATCTTGCTGCTACCTGCCATATGCCTTATCCTTCAACCGCAAGATTAAATGCAAGACAAGATAAAATGGAAGTAGAAAAGGTCAGCACAATGATATATAGCGCTGTTTGTTTTGTTTGCAAATCAATAGAAATTATCAGTTGAGCTCTCAACGCACCACCACAACTCAACAGAATTATGTCGCCAGAACATTCCCCTCCACCTGTAGTTCAGCATGCAGTGTCATCTCGCTGCCCAGCCACAGCTGTATGCATATTCACGAGGATAAAAAAAAGTGGCATGAGTGGCCTCAGAGGAACAGATACTGCTGCTGCAGCCACTTCTGCATCCAGTCCACCAACTCCTTTCTACTATGGCTGTCCATGCTCTTGTCCAACTGCAGACTTAGCGTGGTAGGACAGGACCAGCTGGAGAGGTCGATAGAGGTAGAAGATGGTGATAGCATCGCTGCTGATGGGCCTCATGTTTATGCAGGCTATCTAATCGTCATCATCATCATCATCATCATCATCATCATCATCATCATCATCATCATCATCATCATCATGCTGCTGTTGCTGCTTTGAAATTCCACTGGCAGGATCAGGACAAGGACCAACAGATAAAAATGTTTTTTCAGTTTCCCAAGCACAAAAACTTTTTCTATTTCCTTTTTTACTGCTGAACCCATCTCCACTGCCCAGCTGTCGAAAGAAGCTTCAATTTTGATTCGCACAACGCATTGTCGATTCCATACTCGCCCCGATACTGGAGCCTGACAACGGCCATACTACGGCTGCATGACCGCTGTGGCGCGACGGACACAGACACGGCCGCGGCCAGCAACGGGCAGCAACGGCGGCTCCCCATTATCGCCTTTTTCGACAGAACAACTATCGACCTCTACTGTGCTGGTTTCGACCCTGTTCCTGACTGAACAAGCTTGGCGCCTGAGGCGGAGGCGAAAGCCGGCTGGCTCATCCTGAGCGCGACCTGTTCATGGTAGTAGCGCTCATCGTGCTTGCACAGATGTTGCGGAGGCGGGTGGAATCCACAAGAGATGTTATAAAACTCAAGACTCTCTGGTATATGATTAGTCTGCGCTCTCTATTTTCTTGCTCAGCACGTCAGCTGACCAATCAATACCTTCGGATTCCGCCTGCTTGATCGTTTCCGACAACAACAGATACATCTCACACTACATAGCATATACTCTTCAGTGCCATGTACTCAATGACTTGTCGTGATAAGCCCCCTAAATCTGATTACATCATGTCGCTTGCTAAGACCATATTGTCGCAAGTGGACCTCGAGCAAGTTTATATTACCGTCTTTACGCGGCAACATCCGTCGAAACACCTCGAGACCTCGGGAAGACACGTCGTCTGCGCCAGTCCATCACTGCTGTCAACTTCGACCCCTCTGCCATCTCATCCATCTTGCAGGCTGGCAGTATCCGTACGAGGTCATGGTTATAGAACGATGCAGCGGCTCGATGGTCTGCTATCCTGGCAATGTGGGACTTCAAGCCCGCCCATGATGGTCTTCATGTGGTGCCGACAGGAAGGAAGCTGTGAGTGGGAAATTGAAAAAAGACATTTCTGGCCTAACTTGGCGGTTGATATGTGGAAGCTGTCAAGGGCAAATGTCTCGAAAGGTTGGCTGCCTCGCCAGAGCGCCGCACAAGCAACGAACCAAGCACCAAAGTCTGCGTTTGGCTCGAGGCCTTCCATTCTGGAGGTCACGAGTCGAGGCATCTGGGCAGGGTGAGGAAGAAAATATTTTATTATTCTCATGGCCCGTAATATTTCTCCGCGGCCTAGGCTCTACAGTATTCAGTGGGCAGTCTGCACATGGGCTCTGAGCACACGGTGCCACGCTTGGTACTGCAGCATTGGCAAGTAAGCATCCATATACATGTGCAAACAGAGGGAGGCGAGGCAGAAGATGGTTCTGGCCAAACAGCTAGTTACTTTAGATAAGGAGACAAACAACATCTGGGACAAGGCCAGAATCAAGCTGCTGGTCCTTCGATCGGCCTCTGAGGATACTATAGCCTATCTCTACATCCAACTTATAGAAAAGTAATACAGCCTAGTCATCTCTACTATTAGAACTCACCGAAATCTACTCCTGTCGACCTTTAGCTGGTATTAGGGCAAACCATTCTTCCTGACTAATGATGGCCTCTAACGGTGTGGTTCAAAATCGCTGGCTCTTGACAGATAGGGGTCCAGTGACTGATGGTTTCAAGAGAACTCTGGTCATGTTTTTTTGAGTCCGTTTTGCCATATTGTTGTGTCTGCTATACTGACTGCATATATAAAGCAGTCTCTGCTGGGTTCTCTCCTTTCAGATCTAGCATATGGTCCTACGCAGAATTTATCCCTGGCCGACGTATCCGTCTCCACTAGACTAATACCGCAGACGGTGAAACCCGATATGACAGTCTCACAATAATACTGCTCATTTTGAATGCGAGTGAGAATTGAAACAAAGACGTGAATTACAGCATCATGGAGCAGGCAGTCTCATGACAATGCTAGTGTTTCAGGTTCTAATAGAGCTCTGAGCTTCTTTGTTCAGGCTTCGGTTAGCTGATCTGGTATGGTTAGAATTTCTTAACTTTGCCTATGGAAAAGATCTCAGAGATGAGTTTCAGCAGTTTTGGCTGTTGCGATGACGCTCCTGAGCTCGAAAGTATTTAATCAGACATAGTCCTAGATACAATTCTGAATTCATTGCCCTTCACGTATTCCTTGTTATGAAGCTCGTTCAGCAATACACCCTAATTAATTGTTTCTCGCAAAATTTCCTGTCCATCATAACTGTTATTTGTCATGGCCCCAGATGGAACATCAGGTTCACTCCAGCTCTTTGGTACCGATGCCCTTCAAGTCCGCTCCAATACTCGAGCCAAATGGGCCAGTGAAGAGGCTGCTGCTTTCCAGTCCTTCGCGACTAAACATCGACAGGAGGGCGACGGAAAGCCATGGTTACCGTCTACAGACATTACACCGCTGCTTCAGGAACTGGGCTTGGATCGATTCTCTGCGCTACACAATGTTGACGGCGATGAACTCGGCCCGATTCTCGAGGTCAAGGTGCGACGGAAATTGCAGAGCGTATGGTCTGATCTTGCTCTGTCAACCGATGCCATACCCGAGAAGACACGTCTCCAGGCCGCACGTGCCCAAGCCATTCGGGATGGTGAAGTGCCTCCGACCAAGTTAGCTAGGCCCAAAGAGATTTACACGCCCGAAACGTGGACAACAAAAATCCGAGCTCGTGCTGGGCTTCAGAAGTCTGGCAGCAAGCTGACCACCGTCGAGGGCGCGCAGAAAGAGGTTTCCAGGCTGGAGGGGGCCCTCGAGTCCGCACGACTCCAACTGGCAAAGCTTCGGAAGGCCGAGAAAGAAGAGGAGGCTGGAAAGGAAGCCTACCACCCCAGAAGGGCTCGCGCGTATTCGGCCACGCGCCAGCAACGCCGTCCACATATGCCACCGTCACCAACAGAAGTGGATTCAGACTCGGTCGTGAGCTCTGCATATGGCGACGAGAGCAATCTGGACCAAGATGAAGAAGAGGGGGATGACGCTATTGATGCTTTGGCTTTCAATCACGACGCATCTCGTCCGTCAGAAGCCACTCGCCTCCTATCCACGACTGTTCCCAGCCGGGCCCAGGAATCACGCAAGCCTCGATTTGTATCAGTGCCCATTCTGAGACCCGCACCTACACCCGCGGAAAGGGCTCGAATCAGACGACAGGCAGGCAGGATCTCGATGCAGCCGGGAGATTCTGCTGTTGCTGGCTGCTTTCCCCAAAAGACTACGAGGTCTTTATCGCAGAGCAAGAAGTCGAAAGGCAAAACTTCTGCAGAACAGCAGTCTTCTTTGCATCGTAGTGATGAGCATTCCGACGATGATGAAGTTACCTGTCGCATGGATAGACTGAAGACCTTTTTAGACAAGAAGTACGGACGAGACAAACATGGAGTACATACTATTCAGCATAGAGTATGACGAGTTGCTAAGGGTTATGTTCCTACATTGGAACTTTCGAGTAATACATATAAGTTGCGAGACTAGAATATGCCGCGTTTCTAAAGGATGCATTCTTGCTCATCGTCCCCTGAGTTCTGCAGTGATCATACAAAGGGAGTCCCTCTCTGGTGTCGCAAACGGTTCTTGGCAGCAGAAATCAACGCTTACAATCACACCAAGCAACACGTCATATGTTTGGGCTCTTTTTACTCTCTTGGAGAACAAGTCACCAACTGCAGCCCAAACCAGCAGAGCCAACGACTCCATTAGATGCTGTTGATATGTATAAAGGCTAGTCGCACTCCGACATGAAAGGTGTGCAGGGAGGAGATGGATGCAGAAGCGCATGAAGGATAGAACGCATGGCCTGGCGGAAGCGTTGGACTATAAGCGAGGACTTCTCCAAGACGAGAAGATCATGCCATGGCTGGACGCAATAGAGGCAGCGTCAAGAAATCTCCTACGCCAATGGGCACTAGGTCCCACAGCCTGATTGACCCGGAGGGAACGTGGGCTACGCTATGGATTATGAAAGCAAAGCAAAGGCTCTGGTGATATAGTGCAGGCCTGGTATTGTTCTTCAGCACCAGCGTTACGATTTGAGTAGCTAGTCAGAGCGACTGACAGAAAGACTGATTGTTTGATGTTATAATGGGCGTGTAACTACTTAAATATCTGCTTGTTACTCATGCTAATGTAGATGCAGCAAGTGGGGCGAATGGAAGCTCCGTTAGAGCTGAGACTTGTTGGTTCTGCTTATGCAGAAACGTGATGCAACATCGGACCTGTTGCTCTCTCCTCTCTTCCGCCTCGATACAACAGACATCAGCTCTTCTTGGACAGTCCCGTCACATACTGCTAGTGATGCTCGCTGGCGGGGTCCATGTTGACTTCCTTCCAGTCCACGTACACTGTTTTACCCAAGGTTATCTCTCCACTAGCGATGGGCTTGGGGTTCTCACTCCTCGAGTCGTCGAGGCTATTGTATACTGATACCTTGTGCGTGGCGGACGGCTCGAAAGATAGGCCGGGGATCTGCGCCATGTCTAGCTGTCCTTGGCTGTTGGTGGGCCTGAGTCGCCACGTCGTCCCTCGTTAGAAAAACAGAGCCCCTCCCTTCGATGCGGCGCGTGGGGGTTGCACAGAGATACTCACAAGGGCTGCATAGCCTTCTCGAACACGGTCTCAAACACAGCTACCACGCCCTTAGAGAGCTGCTCCTCAGTGAGCTCGGGCTGCACAGCGACGGATACACAGTCAGCATTGAGCTGGGCATTGGGCGACGTCTTGAGCACGTGGTCGACGTGACGCTCGCCTGCACTGCCATAGAGATAAAACGGCATCTTATCCGGGTACGTCGCGTCGAGAGTATCGAACGACATGGACTCGCGCACGACGACGCGTATGTTTGTAAGCTCGAACTCGGCCAGCGGCGGCGCGTCTGGCGCGGGAATGCCCTCATCCATGCGCACGTGCACTGACGCGCCTGGCTCGAGCATGGTCTCGAGGATCTCGGACTCGGTGTTGGCCACAGTGTAGAACTTCTCTGGGTTGTCCTTCCGCAGGTTTTGGTACTGTTCCTTGGCGGCGGCGGGCAGGTCCGCCGCGAGGATGAGCTGCCAGCGGTGGTTGGCCATGTTAAACATGGGGAGGTGGACGAGAAAGACCTGCTCGAGGCCCTGCATCACAAAGCCGTGGATGGACTTGGTGATCTTGTTGCGTAGAATGCAGCGCTGTCATACTCATTCAAAAATGCGTCAGCCCTTGGCTGCGTGGTCGGGGCAGCTGGGAAACCGAGGAGCAAACAAAAAACTTGACTGCATCATACCTCGACTTCCTCCTCGGCAATCTTCCTAAACGACTCGGTGAGCTCGCTAAGGAAGGAAGAGTCGGTGGGCCACGGACTCATGGTCACATTCACGAGAAATGTCAGGTCGCCTTGCGCACCGCCTCTCCCGTCGTTCAGCTGGAGGCGGCGCTTGTAGTGCCGCAGACAGGAGCCGTATTTCTTGTCGCCGAACTTGGACTGCGTCAGGAACAGGGGCCTCTCCGCGACGATATCGTCCATGGACGTGACCGAGAGGCGCTTGAAGATGCGCTCGTTGAGGTAGTTTGCCTCAACCTGGGGACGGCTTGTGTCAGTAAAGGTGAGTGCACCCTCATATTATTCTTCATCCTCTGCCGTCACCTGCACTTACCACGTTGCGGTTCGGCTTGCCATCGATCTTGAAGTTGCAGGCAAAGGCGTTGATCATGAGATCACCGCCCAACTTCTTTAGGAGTTTGACGGCCTCCTTGTCCTTGATGAGGTTCTCGTTGCTCACTCCTAGAATCCTCTTCCGGATGTAGTCCTTCTGCTCCTCAATTTTCTGCTGGTCGCCCCCTTCCTTTTCAGCAGGGAGGCGGATGAGAGGGACGACGATAAGGTCCGAAGTGGGCTCTGTTAGGGTGGCCCAGTAGCAATACAGCTACGATGCGTCGACCTGAGCGTCAGCGGTCATCACCCTGCACCCAGGGTTCTGTCTGTCTGAGCTGTGCTTGGTGTTGTTGACTGACCTTAGTGCACGTAAAGACGGCTTCTCCGAGTAGTCTTCCGTATCCGCTTTCGTGCAGCCCCAGCGTCTTGTGCGTCAGCCAAGTGGCCACCGCCGACGCTCCAGGCTTGCTGCCCTCGACGCCATAGACGCCCATGCTCCCGGTGTCATCGCCGGCGTGGTACACGATGGGACTCGTCCAGGTGATGAGGTATCTCATGCGTGCGTCGCGGTAGCAGAGGCCACCGGCAGGGTAGTTGATGTAACCTGATCTAGTGGTAGGAGTGAGTAAGTACATATGCATCATGGTCGAGCAATCTTGGGCTCTCAGCGTCTCTCCATGGTTCTCGAGGCCTTACTTGTGCGGGTCAATGGTGATGCTGTCGGCGTTAGCCAGAGCCTTGAGCTGCTCTATGGTATACGGCTGCAGGGCCAGGGTCGGGACGTAAGGCAGGTTGGGGAGCAGCAGGGGACCATCGCTGGGAACCATGGACGCAAAATAGCCACCCCAGGCAGCATCTGCGTGGATGGCGAATGAGAGGCCTTGTTCCTCGTACTCGCTGCGCACGCGGACAAGCTCGGCCAGGGGGTCGCAGGCGCCGTGCTCGGTCGACCCGATGATGGCTACGCAGCCAAACACAGGAGTGTGCTCGTCCTCGTCGTCCTTGTGGTGGATGCAGGAGTCAAGTTGTCGTCTGAGGTCGGCCACGTCCATGCGCGCGTCGTCGTCGACCTGGATGTCGATGAAGCAGTCGGAGCCGAGGCCGGCGATAGCTGGACAGGCGTTCTCGGCGTCAGGACACGGGGAGGGTTTCCCAGAGAAACGCCAGGGTGGAGAAGCACTCACCTCCGCCTTTCGGCCACGAGTAATGCTTGGTAGTGCTGATGAGGAACTTGGGCGACTTCTTGATGCCAAACTTCTTCTCCAGCTGGTCCTTGCCGAGGGTCTGGATGAGGAAGTCGTTGAGCGCGGTCTGCAGGAATGCCGCCGAGATGCTGTGCTCGGTGGCAAGGCGGGTCGGGAGGTCGAGAATGGTGGACGGCGTTAGATTAAGCAGCTCCCAGGTGGACAGCTCGCCAAATGGCTTCTTGGTGCCCTGGCAGTTCTCGACGAGGAAGGGCGGCCTGGCATCGGCGAGAAACCGGAGAGGGCCCTTGTCGCCCATGGCCAGCTTGAGGGACAGTGGATAGTACTTGAGGTTTCGGGCTGTGCACACGCGGATGAGCTGCAACTCGGCAGGCCGGTGGGAGACGGCGAGGACGACTTACTAGCCCAGATAGCTTCGAGGTTGGCCACAGAGCCGTCCTGATACCGGGAGTCAGTGCGATTTGAGTGTGGCGAGCGTTCCACTCTTGCTATCACTCACGCATGTAATGTGGCCCCATCCAGGGAAGTCACCGGAGGTCCTATAACCCAGCATACCGCAGAGCTGCATCCCGACATTCTTCTCCAGAGCAGTGGTGAAGGGGCTAGCCTCAGTAGCAACGTTGTTGGGGTTATACATCATCGATGCCATGTCTGCATCGCACAGCGAGAGATCAGTCAACTGAATAACTCACACGCCAAGGCACAATGCTAGAGGCACTTGGGAAGAAAACTCACATCCAATGATGCTCGACATGGCAGTGTCCATGTTCATGTGGGCATTGTACCGGGGCGACCAGAACGGGATAGAATGGGTAGCTAGACCCTTGGATAGATTCTTGACATCCTCCCGCAATGTGGCAATGCTCTCTGTAAAGCTCTCGGTAGCTTTGACCTCAGCTGTGATAAAGGCGGGGTCGTCCTTGTAGATGGACTCGCGTGCTACTCTCTGGTCGTCTAGGATACAGGCGAAGAACTCTTTGAGGATATCGAAGTTCTCGGCCCGCGGGCCCAGGAACCAGGAGCTGACCTTAGCGTGCTCGAGTGTATGATCCGTGTTGGCCATGGTTGTTGACAGTTGAATTGAGGGGTGGAGGGGTAACTATGGAGGGAGCGCATTGGTTTTAATAATGCTATGAAAATTGGACTGACAGGTGCTTGGGTCTGATGTCTCTTGATCTAAAGAGGATATGAGACCTGCCTGCTCGGTATATATAAGAAGCTCCATTTATACATATAAATAGACCACTTCTATGCGCTTGTAAACACTCCAGCTTACGGGAAGCTATCTCCTGATCACTGATCACATTATATCCCCTAGCATGCAAGCTTTTCTTTTTCAGCTCTCATCGCAGCTATTAACCATCGCCACAGTCAGCCCTTTCTATCTCTTTATTAGCTGCAAGAACAGAGCGGAGACCAATGTGTGAGGAGCTGAGCTCTAGATTTCCAGGCCATATGTAGAACACATTATCATCATTGGCTATAGCAATCTTGCTGCATATAAAGATTAGTTCAATATCCACATTGAGAGTTTCATCAGTAGCTGCTGCTGAGAGGTAGAGAGCTGTGTGGAGATGGTGTGGAGTACAGCTGCTAGCATGAACGAATAGGATAGGCATCCGTTGCATTATTCACATCCCACTATTGCTGGACTATTGTTCTCAATGGAACCTCCAAAGCTTGAGATAATGCGCTAAGCCCACTTAAGCAAGGACACTACTAAGATAAAAGTTAAAAATCGTTGCAGAAAGATGAGCACTCTGCTAGCAGTGGATGCTGCTATATAGTGAATGGATTGTGATAATTAAGCAAAAATGGCTGGACTGTAATTATCTGCCAAATTGCTCTTTCAGTAACATGGTTGGAAATGGAAAGATGATTACCGGAACTCAGACTGGAATTTGATAAGACCTTGCTCTAAGTCATCTGTACCTGATATTATACACGAATGTCACCTTACAAAAAAAGCCCCATTGAACCAATGATACCCGTACTTTCCATTACATTTCTCCACCAAAGCCATTTGATCTCGCAGGTATATTCTATGGTGTTGCCCATTCTGCAGCTCCACGGCTGTGAGAGGACAGTGCTCATCGATGTCGTTCGCAACATTCGACGGACCAGCCCAACCATTAGCATTTTTCGACTCGAGCAGTGCCTTGCAACTGTCCTGCCAGAACACGCGTATGTTGATTTGTTGATCGTACCAAGCGAATGCCGCGATAGGAGTGAGGTCAAGCGCCTGCTGGCTGAATCCGCCTTTATAGATTAAACAAAATCTCAGCAAGCTGAAGCAGACACTTATAAGGATTTTCGGTCCTGCTTACCCATGGACCAGCCGCCGACCTGCCAATACAGCTCCCTGATATATGACTGCTCGTCTTGGTAGTATATGCGGATATGTAGATTCCTGTGAATATTGTCAAGTGCGCCACGGAACCATCTCGTTGCGGCAATGCCCGAGCCTGGTCGGGCATTCCACAGTGATGATCCGCGACACCAACCACTTTGGCGGCAATAGCAGTATTTCTGAATGGCCCAACACGTGGGGCCTAGTTTTAGTTAGCCTAACTTACTCATACAGTAATTTCGCTGTGTGAGGACAACAACTTCCCTTGGAAATAAACACGAATCGACGTGCCCACAGGCCAGCAAATCGCTGACAGCTTCGAACAGGGCGCGACTCGAATCCCTTGACTATTCAGCTTTCCGTGATACCAGCCGTAGCCTATCGAGTAGCGAAATTCTTGGAGAATGTCCTGGGATGAGAGATAGTAAATGCGAATCTGGGAGATTCTTTATAAGCTAAATGTATTGGGTATAGATTCGTGGGGGTCCGTTAAGGCTGAGAATCTTACCTGTTGGCCATTGTCCCAGCTGATCACAGATAGAGGGGTCCCCATCTTGGCCGTGAACAGGACACTCCCCGAATCTCCACCTATCCAGACTCCGTCATCGTGTCTGGACTCACGGACTCCTCCTCGGCCATCTTGAAAGTACACACGAATATGCCATGCGGACCATGTGATAGCGGCGATGGAATGGCCCGAAACGAAGCTTTGGTTCTGAAAATGGCGGGCCCTCTCAGCAGCAGCCCTCTCGGCAGCAGTCTTCTCATCAGTTTTTCTTTTTTGCTCGGCCACCGCCGCAGCCTGCCTCTTCGTCTCTTCCTCTGCCTCCTTGCTCAGCCGGTCCATCTCCTCCTGCAATTCCTTCATCACTATCGGGTCTTCAATGGACAGATCCTCAGCGGTGTCGTTAGTGCTGTGAACTACCGTGACAAATCGGGCACCGACATCCAAGTTAACAGTAACCGACAAAGTCGGAGGTACGCTGTTAAGCAGCTCATCGCCATCTTTGTAGCGCTCGTTTACGGCTACTTCGAAGACCCGGCTCGGCTGGATGTTGTAAGTCTCGACCTCGGTCGCTTCGGCTGTGGTGAGGGGACGGAATGCGGTAGATGGCGATACCTGGAGGCCGAGGCCAAACACACCATGTTCTGATTTCCTTGTTAGTGAGGCGGAGAGACGGGAGGTAAAAGGCTGTTATGAGCGGGCCGTACCTAGAAAGTTGGGATCGATAGAAATAGAGAAGCATCCGGGTTCGGGGACATGTCCGATCTTCTGAACGGCTAGTTGTCGTCCATACCGCCTTAGAAGGAGCGCTGTTCCGATGTTCGCCTCTGGGAACACTTTTTGAGAGGAAGTACCAGTCAACTTGGCCCAGACATAGAACTTGTCATTGATAATAATATCACAGGACATTCCTGGATTAACTATGGGGCTGACCAGCATGTTCTTGGCAGACTCTAAAATGTAAACCTCTTCGGAGCATACAGTGTATGTCCGGGCTTTCGACGATTGGTTCTTTACGCGTATCGTGTAGGAATCCATCGTTGGATGCGCGGAGTTGGATGACGATCAGCTTCGCCTACTATACTTTTACCAATTCGCTTGATGGCAAAAAGCTTATGGTTTCGAGATCACCATGAAGTTTGTTAATCTCTTTTCCGGTTTCTTGGGGCTTGGGTAATGAGGAATACTCGTCTATGCAACTCACACCCTCTTCTACGTGTTTCGATAATGGGTTGAATTGGACGATAAAGGGACAGCGCTTTATTCGCGCTCGGTGTTTGTCTATCAGCAGTCTCATGACAAGATCCGGTAAGCCTATAGATACCAGTAAGCGAGGGGGAACTTTCGTATTCACTCTCCTGATTAGATCACTGTTAGTCTCGGATAGTAAAGCATCTGAGGCTATGTAGCATAGCATGCTGAACCAGGTGATCTACTCTCGCATTCAACGGCGGCTCGAGCGGGCATTACATTAAGAGGCTGGCAGTCTGCAATGTGATATGTATTAACTATAGCTGAAGAGTCAATATTTCACATTCATCTTCCTGATTAGATCACTCCCAGTCTCGAATAGTTAGGCATCCGAAGCTACGTAGCATAGCATGCTGAACCAGGTGATCTGCTCTCGTATTCAACAGCAGCTGAAGAGTCAATATTTCACACCTGATTAGGTCACTGCCAGGCTCGGATAGTTAGGCATCCGAGGCTACGTAGCATGGCATGCTGAACCAGATGATCTGCTCTCGTATTCAACAGCGGCTCGAGCGGGCATTACATTAAGAGGCTGGCAGTCTGCAGTGTGATATATAGTTGTCACAGCTGAAGAGTCAATATTTCACATTCATCTCCCTAATTAGATTGCTACTAGCCCTAACTAGGTACATACTCGAAGCTACGTAGCATAGCATACTGCAACTAAGTAAATCGTTTTGATATTCAATAGCGGCTCGAGTGAGCATTGTTCTAGAAGCTGGCAGTCTGCAAAAAAAAAAGGTAATACATATTCGTCATAGCTGACTACGATGCATACTCGTCACAGCTGAAAGTGGAAATGGCATGGATCCTTGGAAAAAAACACTTCGAATTTGATTGGATCAATTTTCTTCTTAACAATATCTACCCAGCCAGCGGAACGAGAGTCACCCCCGAGCAGATATCACTTGCCACCTCTCACATGTTGAGGTAACCCCTCACCCTTCGTCGAAACGGACCGAATCTGCCGGGTTAGGAGTACCTAGTTGCGGTATCGCACGTTGAAGCTTTTACCACTGCCATCATCTGCCACAGTGACTGCCGGCTGGTCAGACAGCAGGTCCACCTGAGCCTTGAGAGCGAAGGCAGTTTCGTTGACCACCGTGTTCGTGGCGGTAGTGTTGCTGCGCGCGATGTAGATAGATTCTACGGGCGTGATATCAAACGTCTGGCCGGGGTTTAGCCCGAAGACCGTGAGGGGTGCGTAGTCACCGTCGATCTTCCTGGCCAAACCGACCACGTGCTGGTTGTTGTCCTTGATGGCATTGCTGACAATGATAGAGAAGGTCCCGGGCGGGGACAGCGCGGTCGCCGCTTTCTTGAAGCTGACGCCAGCACCCAGAGAATTCGGTTGAGCTTCTAGCTCGGTGCCGTCGCCAGCTCGCCCTCCTAGAGTGACGGCGATCGGCGTGGTCAGGGAGATATTGGCACCCGCGGTCAGGCTCACGTTGCTCTGGCTGGCATTACCGAGAAAGCCGAAGATGTCCGACGAGATTTTGAAGGTCACAGGCTCGCCGTCGTGGAGAGGGCGGGACTGGTAGAAGACAACAGGTAGGCTGGTACCACCCCGGGTAGCGTTCGTGACGTGAGGAAAGCCGAAAGCGATGTAGCGGAACGCGTCGTTGGGATTACCCGTGTTGTTCTGGATGGTGATGGTGTACTCCATCTTCGCGTTATAGCAGTGAGTGCTAATGTATGAAAGCTAATGTAGGTGTGAGAGAGACTTTCAACGGTGATGAAAGAGTAAAGGTTGGAGAGAGAAGATAGAAAGGGACGGAAGAAAGAGCAAGATTCGCAGGAGCAATTCGAGATATAAATACTTTAGTTCAGCCAACCCAATTCAGCTTGCGAAGAAGGAATTTTCTTTTCAGTCCTGCATAGAGAAGCTTTCCGAGAGAAGTGACCAGAGCATCGTTATTGACTGAATCAGGTATCTCGAGGAAGTAAGCACCCTCTCACCGAATCGGGTTGCAGTATTCAATTTACAAGCATCTCCGCAGCAAGCGAAGACAGCATATGCAAGTCTGTGTAAGACTAATAGTTAGTATATCTGGGAAATGATCAACACAGGAAGAAGCTGAAATACATTTTCTTTTCTTGCCGGCTGCACTAGATATGTACTGTAACATAAAAGCCTAGCCTCTGCTACTATTGATGTCTTATTGTTCTCACATGTGAAGCTGGCTGTTGCTGCTGGGTGCAGGAGGATCGGGTCTGCGGCATCCAGTTGTCAATCATCTCTGCAGTAAGGGAAGACAGTGTATGCAAGTCTCGTAAGATGAATAGTACATCTGGGAAATGATTAACACAGGAAGAAGCTGAAATACATTATCTTTTCTACCGGCTGCACTAGATATGTACTGTAACATAAAAGCCTAGCCTCTGCTACTATTGATGCCTTATTGTTTTCACATGTGAAGCTGGCTGTTGCTGCTGGGTGCAGGAGGATCGGGTTTGCGGCATTCAATTGTCAAGCATCTCTGCAGCAAGCGAAGATAGTACGTGCAAGTCTTGTAAGGTGAATAGTATATCTGGGAAATGATCAACATAATGCAACAAGCTGAAATATGTATTGATGATATTTTGGTAGGCAGCGGGTGACGCAGGTGACTTTTATCCACAGCTGACCTTTACCCACAGCAGCAGGTGACGCGGGTGACGCGGGTGATGCAGGTGACCTTTATGCGACAGCTAAAAGGAGTGACCACTCCCAGCTGACTGGAAACGGCTGTAGCCTATATAGCTGCATAACGGTCGGACTTACACACCCCCCCTCTACTCTAGAGATGATCAAGCTGTAGAGTAGACTAGGAAGGCTGAACTGAATATAGTGCGAGACTATTAATCAGTCTCTAAGATGAGTCTTTTCTCAATTGGCCATACCCGGGGCTCAAGGCGAGGCATGCAGGAGCTTCTGAAAGTGAGCCTTTTAGTGACCATACCCAGGTTTGTAATGTGATCAGATGGTAGTTCGAACGATTTTCTTTTTCCTAAGTAGGGCTGGATTGTTCCCTACTGAAGTAGGAACTTGCTATGGAGTTGCTTATGTGTGAGGGCAAAAAGATTGTATTGCCGAGCGCTGAAGAAGAAAGAGAAAGGAAGAGAAAAACGCCACGAGGCCAGCTATCTGAGGCTATTAACAGGTCTGGCTGTTGGCTGACTGGAGGGGCCGTGCACGGCCCTGGGCCAGTGACTCACTGGCCCTCGCACAGCTTATATATCAGGGAACAAGCGAAAGGACTTATAACCTATGCGACAGCTAAAAGGAGTGATTACTTCCAGCTGACTGGAAACGGCTGTGGCCTATATAGCTGCGTAACGGTCGGACTCACACAACCTTCACCTACAGCATCAGGGCCCCAGATAGCTGTCTTTTCATAAAAGCTGAATAAGGCTCTGGCGGAATCAAGTTTGTTTTTGGAGTTGTTTGTTGAAACGTTTGCTAAACCTTATCGAAGCTAGTTTGATTTGGGTCTTAGGCAGGGGTCAAGTTGTCTATTGCTATTTGACAAGGCCTTTTGTGATAATCCACAAGTCAATGCTGCCCAATGTGTGCTTCTGCTAGAATCAGCTACACTCTTTAACTATAGTACTTGCTACTTTACTTAGAGAAGTGTGGTCATCATAGGATCCAGTTCAGGGGTTAGAAAGACTCCAGCCTGGGCTATGAAAGGTATTGTTGTGATTTGATATCTACTATATATTGAGGCAAGAGTTCTTCATCGACATTGTCACTTCGCTATAGTCCCTGATGAGCCTATTCTCATGACCTGCATCTTTAGCAAGCCACCCCTACTCCACCCAGTTTTGACACAACATTGAGATTTTCCGATCATCTTTCATTTGAGACACGTTAATAATGTCGAATGCAAACCTACCAGAGTCGAGCAATGCCCCGCGGGTTACTGAGCCAGCTGAACATGGACAGTTGGACCATGACCCAGCGTCCGACATCCAAGTTCCCATCATTAACCTGCCACATTACTGGGAAGAAGATGGAGTCTTGATTCTGGATAGTCTGCCCGAGGAATACAGTGTTTGCAAGTGGAATAGCACACTAGGGAAATTCTTTCAGTACTTTAAAATCCCTGGAAATCGTGAGATAGGCTGAGCTTCCGCCTAGGGCTAGAGCTAGGGCTAGGGCTAGGGCTAGGGTTATCGTTGGGTGCGAGCTGGTCCAGAGGCTTGTCCGTCTCAGGGAATAGGCTCCGTAGGAATTCGTTCAGCCACCGCTCGTCTCGCTTAGAAATTGTGGAGTGAAATCGGTAGAGCAGGTTGAACTCGGCCGAGACTTGATTTCCCACGCCCCGAGGAACTCCTTCAGCATCAAAATGTCTGTTCACGGCAACGCGTGGGTCGAGGGTCCAATCGCTTGTTGAGTGGAGGGTATTTGTGAGCCCTCGGAGATAGTCATGGAGGCAGATGTTGATGTAAAGACCGCCGACGATCCTACAGATAGAATTGGCTTCATTATCAGAGAGGTTGATATAATTGTTGTCGTGCCAGGTACGCCAAAAATCAAGGACGGTGTCCTACTTACAGCCTCGCAGTCTGGAAGAGGTTCTCATCTTGTTTTGCTAGCGCTTCTATCCGCTCTTCCTCTGTTCTTGTTGGAGGCAGGCTAAAGCGATTCCCTTCGTTGATCTTGAGCAAAATGTCTGCCACGTAGTTGTGGAAGCGGTTATACATGATAAGAATGACGTTGATGCCGGGTGGCTGGCCTAGGAGCCTACGCTCGTGGAACGTGTCAGGCTTCAGTAGACCACACTCCATCGTTCGGACCCTCAATTGGTCCTCACGGCTTGATCCATATAAGGGTGCCAGGTCAAGGTAGGAAGATGTGTCGGAGATGTCACTGTCGAACCTGTTCGACCGAAATACGTCTGGATGTGAGACAATATCAGTAAAGTAGTTATGTACGATCTCCTATCTGAAAAATGGGGGTGTATTCTTTTCTTGAGGGGGGAAGGGTTTAGTGCATACCGTGTATGATGATAGAAGCATGATAGAAGAGAACAGATGAAATGCCAGCAGGATTCTCTTTAAACGAGGTGTCCGTCCGGGCCATAAGTACTGGTGTGGACGTGTATATTAGCACGGCGTAGGCAGGTTTATGTGAGTGAGTAGAAACGCACGATCAAAGAGGAGCCCAGGATCTGGAGGCACCCCGTGGATCGACTTGATCTTTGGCACTGTTCTGGCATAGTGGCTTCCGGCTCTTCCTAAGTCTGGCACAAGAGGATTCTACAGTATGATGACTGTCAGCACTTTCTTCGCAGGTAAGATCTGCCTGACTCTCCATCAAGCTGTACGTACGTTGTAGCTCCCATCTGCTGTTCGATACTGGAAATTATTCCCCAGGTAACTTAAAGGCGGGTGTTGTAGGCTGGACTATAGGGTATCGACGATAAACCCAGTCAACTTCTTGCGCGTCGTTGAGTGGCGCGGCAACGAAGATGTGATGGCGATCATCTTCTCCATCTGGAAGGATCATTGCGCTATTAGCAATGTGGTTTGAGAGAAACCTTAAATGACCATCAGTTGCTGGCCCAACTTACCTCCATCTGTCGGTCGTTGACGGGTTTTCCTCTGTGCCTGAACCTCTCTATCATGGTCTGGAGGTCTTTAGGATGGGCCTTGAGACCAACCGCGCGAAGGTTCTCTGCTAGGCTCGTGGAAACCACCTGAGGATCGCCATACGGCTCTCCCGCCTGGAACTTCTCGTCATCCTCACGCTGGGCAATGGCTCTGCGATCAAAATAGTGACTCAGCCGAGCGAAAATGCCAGGCGTAGTGTCACGGATGCTCTCCAGGGCCGCCAGTGTGGCTTTGCATGGCCTCTTAGTGCAACTTTTATTTTTTGCTGCACGGCATCTTTCAATAATCCCGGTGATCAGCATGTATAAAACAGAACACAACAAGAAAACCAGCATGATGATGATGATCGTGCTGGACGAAAACCACTGAACGTTGATGTACGTCCATCCTTTCTGCCTTGAACGAAAGATGAGAGGGTCCCAGGAACACGTGAAAGTGCGAGACTTGGTCTTGGGATTGACGACGAACTGACAAGATGGGGGCTTGAACCAGCTTGCCATGGTGAAGTGCTTGTTGGTAATCAGAATGTAGACGATTATGCAACAGAAATTTCTTTTACTGATATTTCAGGTTAAGATGTGTTATATATAATCAGTCTAGGGAACTTAGAAGCTCGCATGTGAAAGCTGCCTCCCAGGTCTTGCGCAACCGATATACACTGTTCAAATGCATCAACCACTTAGGTTCGAATGCTTTTGTTGTTACTGCAGAAAATCTGTTGAGATGCTCAGATCACTATGAAGTGTAAGAGTCAATTTCGATAGAGCCGAGTTAGCCAGCTCATATTCTGCTCCCTGCCGCCATGCTTGTTCTATGAATTTTAACCGAACAAATTCCAGCTGAGAATGTCAACATGAGATAGTCTGTATGCATGAAAATGACAAGCTCCTGCCACATCAATTCGTTCTGATGGGGCCGAGTTAGCCAGCTCGTATTCTGCTCCTTGCTGCTGAGCTTATTCTCCACGATTATTCTTACTAATAGATAAGTTACTCGATTATTGATTAGCTCTAAACATGTATGCACGATGTGTTGTCGTTTATTGGATGAGGTTTAATTCTTCATTATCGTTCTGAACTATTTATTGCAGATGTGGCAGGTGGTAGCATATGCGCATCGGCGCGTACAGTGATCATACGGTTCGCAGGAAATACTGGAGCCGACTGGATCAACGGGTGAACATCTCAACAAAATTTGTTGAGATGGGGCAGTGTGGCTACAGCTGAGATTCTAACATGCGGATCAGTTCCAGTCAGACATTGGAGACGCATGGAGCTTGAGATATGGCTGTAAAAATCAACCGGTCTTGCTAATCATATGAGCTGTAAACAAAACTTTGTTCTTGCTACTCTAGACTTATCCTCTCTTGCACGAGTTCATACATTGTTGCCACCATGACTCCATCCGTGATTTCTAACGTGGAGTTCTTCGCGAGCCCTCGGCGCATTGTGCTATGTTTTGATGGGACTGGCAATCGCTTCGAAGGAGCCGAGAAGGACACGAACATTGTGAAGCTCTACCAGATGCTCCTCAGAGATACTCCGGGGCAATACCACTACTACCAGCGTAAGTCTCATGAGACTCAGGTGACACCTTTCAATCTTGACCGCGCGGACCATCTGTATTGACGACTGCGTTATCAACCAGCTGGCATTGGGACATATGTTAGACGAATCACCTACCAAAGCTCTCTTGCGGTTCTGGTCAGCTGCCAAGCCTTTCTTCATCACTACATTGGACCAAGCTATCGGGGTATCCTTCGAAGACCATGTTCTGGCAGGCTATAAGTTTATCATGCGTCACTACGAGAAGGACGATCATATTTACATCTTCGGCTTCTCGCGCGGAGCCTACACAGCTCGCTTCCTGGCAGAGATGGTGCACGAGATCGGCCTCTTGTCCAAGGGCAACGAAGAGATGGTCCCGTTCGCATGGGAAACGTTCAGCAACTTCCAGAATTCACGTGGGAACGAGCCACAGGCCGACAAAGACAAGGCTCTGAGGAGCTACATGGTCAAGTTCAAGGCAGCCTTCTGCCGTCCAGGAGCTGCCGTCCACTTTCTCGGACTCTTCGACTGTGTCAACAGCGTGGGCCAGTTTGAGATTCCCCGCCATCGAAAGTCGTACCGATACATGGCCAGCCCAGCAGCTCGACACATTCGGCATGCTGTCTCCATCCATGAGCGGCGCCTCAAGTTCAAACCGGCACTGTTCCATGTCGACAAAGATGGCCCGCCTGTTGACCTTAAGGAAGTCTGGTTCGCTGGCAATCATGCCGATGTGGGAGGAGGATGGGACCTTCAACACGGGCAAAGACACCTCCTATCCGACACGCCTCTCTTCTGGATGATCCAAGAAGTGCTAAATCTGCCGGGTTCGACCCGCAAACTCTCATTCAACTCTCCTTACGTGGTTAACATTGTCGAATCGGAGAACAAATTCCCAGGAAAGGAGGAGGCAGAGACCACGGCTTTTGAGGTTCGCCGGCGTACAAACCAGCCACATGATATGCTGAGACGCGGAGGCGGCGTGGGGCTCCTCTACGTGTTTCTGTGGTGGATTATCGGTAAGTTGTCGTCATTATGCTATCATAGATTGAAACATTCTGAAGTAAATATATTATAGCGGCTAGCTAATGATTATTACATATAATTTATGTTCTTCTGCAGAGCTTCTGCCACTTTTCACGCGCCTTGAGCTAATCAGAGGCCGCTGGATACCTGTTAGGTATCCACCCAATCTAGGAGCGCCCCGTGACTTGCCTCTAGATGCAGAAATCCACCCGAGCGTATATGAGATGATACAAGCCGGAATATTAGACAAAGCTTCCATTCCAGACAAGGGAGGCGACAATCCTCACCTGCCTAACGTTGCTAGTATAAGGCATCAAGGGAAAATGCTTCGGCAGCGCGAGGCCTAGAAGAAAGGCCAAAGTGCAGAAAAACCAACGCTTTAAGGCGTTCGAGAGCCTCCAAGGAAGGCAAGCATAAGTCTGATCCGATTGTCGGAAACGAAGTATTAAACCTGATTGAAGATTTGGTTGAGCGCGGCTCCAAGGGTTATGACAGTTGAAGATTTACAAACCTAGATAAACTTTCATCACTACAAGTCATACATTGTGGCCTGGCATGTGACTTGTGAGATTGAAATATGATAGCGTTATAGTCTGTTCATCAATATCCTGTATTGGACTATGCCAATCTGCAATCGGAGACCATAGCTCGCAAGTGCCCACAACTATGCATATGCCTATGCACAAAATGCTTGACACGTGCTCTGTCCCAAATGGTAGCATGTGCCCCGGGCCCGTAATCGGGAGTACCGTCATCTAACACGAACTGTGGAGATTGTGGCCGACAACAAAGGTTGAACGACCGAGGTGCTTGGACACCAGCACAGAATTGAGTACTCAACAATTTGTAACTATCGCGCGGCGAATCGGAATCTCCTTTCTGACTCGCTCTGTGCGTGCCCGTGGGGGTCGGGGGAGCCATGATTACTTCGTCTCATGCTCGTTCAAGCACGCTGTCGGGCCCGCTCTCTGTCTGAGATGCGGGTATAGCCGTGTTATGACCCATCCAACACGAAACAGTGGCACAGAAGCTACCCGGAAGGGAACCCGCGGCGCCAGCAATTCAACACTTGGCCACGATCCCTTTGATGATGATGCGAATCCGCGTCAAGCCGCAGAAGCCACGCGGTTTCATTGATTCGACCGCTTTCACTGACATACCCTACATGAATTTCGTTGCTACAATTTTCCTTGGTATGATAGGCACCACTATCTTCATCATCTTTGTATCCTTCTACGCCGAAGATCAAAACATACTAGACACCGAACTGTCGTTCTACTTCGTGCCCATCCTCAACGTCGGCTCTTGCTGTGGCCAAGTCATTCCCAACGCTCTGATAGAATCGGTTCGTTCAATACCGTCACCCCCTGTGCATTTACCACTAGCCTTATATTGTTCTGCTTCATCTCCGCTCAGAGCAAAGCAACGATCATGATTATTGCGTTCCTTGGTTGGCATGATTTCCTTCTCGCTCCTCATCGGCAGTCCAGGTGCCGGCGCAATTCTAAGAACAGCGAGATTGCTTGATTGACAGGAGCCATGGGCATTTGAAGGCGCTTCTATTTGTGTTTCCGGAACAATGTTCACTGGTCTGAGACTAGACCGATCTTGGGCCCAGATCTCTGTCATGGCCTGAGAGCAAAGCTCGAGAAGCTGCAAGAGGTTTTCTCTGTGAACGAAAGGGATATCACCCGAGCAGTCTCCAGGAAGGCTCATTTTGAATTCGCTCAAATAGAAAATTCCCCTTTACAGGAAGCGCCATATTGGCTTGAAGAAATCCAAAAATACAAGCACGTACACTTGACATACAAAATTTAATGCTGCATGGATGTCTGTTAGAGTCACACTGAGGACAGAGGCGGCGCGATGACTGTGTCCAGCGAAGTCGATCTTGAGTGTGGCATATGTATGTATGTATGTATGTATGTATGTATGAAAAATACTTAACAGTCTAAGCTTGCCCGAACGTATGCTCCATCGGGCTTTGGTTATCAGGATGCACAACACCACATCATTGGACTTACATTTACCAAAAACATGAAATACCACCCTGGGGCGCTTTTGGAGATGTGAAGTTCATTCTTATGGGGGCGGGAAGGGCGGGGGGGTTGCCATTCAGAGTGGTGAAACCCAGTCAGTGGCATGATACCCCCCCCCCCCGCTGGCATAACTCACAGCGTCCGCCCACATTCGGTATCCCAGGCTGGCAGGCCAGGAAACCTCCTGTTGTAGTCTTCTACTGTTCCTAGTTCCGTGCCTTGTTCGACTGACCGCTCCACGATAATGGCATTCTGGGCTTGGATCAGCTCGAGTTCCATGTCGTTGCGCGTTGTTCTCGAAAGGCTATCGTCCAGGCTTTGCCCGTACTTTCGCAAGGAGTTGAGGGGGTACAAGGACTTGGCGGAGCTGGGGTGCGAAGGCGAATCTTGATTTTGGCTGTCCCTAACGAGCTTTTGCGCTCTCTGCTTCGCGTAATGGCGGGTCTTGAAGTTGAGCGAGGGAAAGAGCAAGGACAACAACGGTTTGACGGCCGGCACAGACCCACATGCGAAGGCAATGTTCATCTCTAGGCCTGACCAGATGACTATCTGCACACCCAGTACTGTCACCAAGCAAATTAGGAGGTGCCGATGAGCAAAAATTAGGACACTTTGCAATAAAATTGCTTACTTGCCTCCGTTGATAGCGCACCTGATGCGTTGATGGCCGGAGCGTTGAAATGCATCATGTAGACGACCATTGCGGTAATCACGGTGAGTAAGGCATCACAAGTAGTATGTTTTCACGCAGGGTGTAATACTTACAATACTGCGGTAGTGAAAGTGGCTACCAGAATCAATCTGATCCGCAGTGGCATTTGGGATTTGATCAAGATTGGGATAGGAAAGACGATTAACATCAGATCGTTGAGCACGTTGAAGGTGGACAGTACACTAATTTGAATAATGGGAGTAAGTACAATTACAGCAGACTGATTTCGCGAGGGTGAAGCCCTGGGGGAGTGCGGGATAAAATAAATAGGAGCAAAACCTTCGATGAGAGTTGGAGTCATCAACTTACTAGTGCAGAGCATAGAAGTTTGTACAGTATCCGAGCAGTCAAGATTTCCAGTACTTTAGTACTGGTACGGTACGCTTTGCTTCTGCACTATTGTATTCTAGCAGTGCTGATTATTTATTGCCAGGATTCTAGTACGTAGCGAGAAGTCGCAAAGGAGAAACAAAGAAATCTAGAGCTCGACACTTTGTACATGTCCATTAGATTCTCCTGATAGAAGAAGTTTTTGAAGTGCTTCCAAGTCCTTCAGCGCTTCTATAGGCGTCTGTCGTGGATCAGCTTTACCAGCGTTTATACTGTGTCCAAAAGCCGCAACCTCAGCTGTGACACCCGAGTCGTACGAGAAATCCTTCGACTGCTCCGCCTTTTCTCCACTGCTAGACTTCATCGTAATGGTCACTGTCGGCCCGTTCCACGTCACGGAACCGTTGTCGGTAACGACCTATATATAGTTAATCGCAATATCTTGCCTCTCACAAATTGGAAATGTCAGCCTACCTCGAGCTCGACTCCAGACTTGTACTCGGTTCCATAGGAGAGGCAGAGGATTCCGGCGCCGTTTTGTGTCTTCGCTACTCCGTGCAGAGTGTCAACTGGCGGAAGTTTTTTCTTCTGCAGACTGGTAAACGCAGCTAAGTATTTGATATCTTCGCCCACAGCCGCTAGCATATATCTCAGCCCCGCCACGAAGTGCACGCCGCCGTCAAGGAGGAAGCCACCTTGGTATTGAGGAACCTTGCGCCCTAGTAGATATCAGCAAGTTTTTCCAGCAACCCAATGTATAAACTTCAAAGTCTGCTTACATTCCGTATTGAAATACTTATCATCATCCTTAATTAATGTATAGAAGTTGGAGCGGAATGTCACCACCTGCCCTCCAATCTCTCTCAGCTTCTCCGCGCCATACTCCAGAGGCTTGATAAATCGAAAGTTCTCCGCGACGCTCCAGATAGGTGGATTGCTTTGTGATCTGTACCAATCCAGCAGAGAAACACCAGTTGCGAGATCCTTAGCGATGGGTTTCTCGCTGAGAACGTGTTTGCCTGCCTCAATCGCTTTCCGGATAACATCTGGCTGGATAATGATCGGCAGACAGACGATGACAGCCGATATGTCTTTCCTTTGTAGCAAGTCTTCTAGAGAAACACCCTGCATTTCTGGGCTGTCATAGTATATATCTACCGGAGACTTTGCTTCGGACGCTACAGCTTGAGCGGAGGCTTGTGAGCGTGAGTAGACGGCCTTGAGGTCAAATACGTCGCAAGCTTGGATAGCTGGCAAATGCTCTGATAGATCCTGTTAGCAGACTTGCGATTAATTACTATTGGATTCTTTTCTGTCCTCACCATCGCGTACAAAGTTGCCTGCACCGAGGAGTGCAATTCTGATCATGGTGGACATCTTGTGGGATCTTCTGCTCAACAAATACGAGGACAGCTGTTCTTAGTGAGAAGCAAATAACGTCTCAAAATGTGGAATTCGTTGGCTTGAATAACAAGATACATTTGAGAACCGCATCGGGATTTATACTTCTGGCGGTGTGACACGGATTTAATTATTGCCGCAAGGTGCGGATCGGAAGCTCGGTTGAGCAACCGATAATACTCACATAGGCGATCAAGCGAGGCCAAAAGTCGCTCGGCAACCGAGAACTCCTTTCAAGCAAAGTATTCATTCCCTATAAAGACCTGCCGCTTTGCGAGTTAGCTAATAATTGAAAACGGAGGTGACGAAACCTAAGATCACTCTATGCACCAATAGTGCAATATGTCTCCTGCAAAGACTCATTACGAATTTCAGAAACCAGTCATTATCAAACTCAGTGATGGAGAGCGCACCTCGGGCAGAATTACCGAGGAGCATGTCGGCGCAGCAGTGTCTGCAATGCATCGCGACGGTCTAGTGGTCCTAGAGAATGCTGTGGATGTCGAACATATTGATAAGCTGAACTCGATCCTCAGCAGCGAAGCTGAGGCCATGGCCAAGCTTCCAACGACGCATTTTAACGATGTGAGTTCTCAGACGGCCATGAACGTACTAGCAGTTAGGAATGAAAACTTAATCTGTTCTAGAACTCGAGCGATGGCAAACCCACAGGCAACATGTCCCAGGGCCCGCCCCTAAAGTCCGACCTGATGTATACCGACATCTGGGCTAACGAGCCCGCCTGTACTGTTATCTCTGCTGTCATGGGTCCCAGTCCACGGGTGAACTATGTCAACGGGAACACTGCCCTGGGAGGCTTCAGCGGTGCGCGCCAGCGTGTTCACGCGGATTTAACCTTCAACCATGCTATGTTTCCCTTCGCCATCGTGACAAACTACTATCTCTGCAATGTCTCTCCGGCCAATGGGTCAACGGAGCTCTGGCTTGGTTCTCACCGCGACACTTCGTTCCGCGATCACCGCAACTGCCGCCAGACTGAGAACGGGGCTGAGTATGACAAAACATTGGAGTTGGATTTCGGCATCCGTGACAGGCTGCTCGAAGAACGACGGGCATGGGCTCCACCTATTCAGCCCACTGTCGAGAAAGGATCAGTGGTCATACGCGACCTGCGACTGTGGCATGCCGGCCTGGCGAATCCTGCCACCGAGGCTCGGATTATGCTGGCTTTTGTTCACACACCTTGGTGGTACCAATGCCCAGCCAAGGTGGTTGTTCCTGCTTCTGCTGAGGAGCTTATGAGAACCTGGGCTGCCCGAGAAAATAGCCCGGTCGTGTACAATGCACATTTTGTGGCTGAAGACCTCGATCACAAGGAGGTCAAGTTCAATCCCAACTTTAGTAGTTCTAACAAGGGATATTTGAGCATGCTGCCTAAAGGGATTGGAATGGGTTACGTTTTCGAGGCGGATACGTCAGGTCAAGAGAACACCTAAGTATTGATAGTAATAAAGCCATGAGATGCTTCTTGTAAACTCCTATAATCATTCTAAGTGTACGAGTTACCTATAGGTCTTTGTGCTCATTTCTCACTTGTATTATTTTCATTCGAAGTGTAGGAGCAACAAGGAGTTAACATAAAGATCGAACCAGAGTTGGTTTGGTTTTTTTTAATTTATTTAACAAGTATAGGACACCGGGACTAAGAAGCTATGTCAATATTTCCTTGCTGCTGAATGACACGTCTTAACATAGCGAAGCCCAAAATCAGAGCCTGAGCTGTTGCGAATGAAGATACGTCTGTTGCACCCTCCTCGTTTACCAATATGAAGCCTCTTGTGAAACCTTTAGAAAATGCATCCTGATGTTTCAAAGAACTTCACTCGTGTACCAGAATGTAACTAGCTAAGTATTTGGGGGCAATTTACAAAAACGTCCAGGCTAATTAAGGTGAATAACTGTTGCCTCATGAGCCTTTGAGTCTTGATCAACCAGCTCTAGATGATCAATGAGTCGACGGTGTTCACTAATGGCTTTCTGAAAGTGTCTTGGGCTGACCTTCTCAGCAAAGAGATAATCCATCTACGGAAATAGTAAGCTTCAATGCGATATCAGGCTTTTATCATAACAACTCACATCAGCAAAGCTTAGACCGAGTGTTTCCGGGATGGCGAAATAGAAGGTGATACACAGAGGAATCCCTAACCCAGCAAAAACGAACCCCACTTTTGCGCCGAGGTTCCCGGCGTCCGGGTTAATCATGTACGGAGTGACAAAGCCGATAATCCAACCACTGTGAGGTATGAGAAGTCAATGTACATCAGAAGTGTGTTGGGACTAATGTTCTTTAAACGTACCTCAGACCTTGAGTAATGCCCACCAATGATAACGTTACGGGTCTTAGAGGAGGCGAAGCAACCTCCGAAGCTAAAGCGAAACCCACAGCTCCGATACTGACTTGGTAGACAAGTGCCCTGCAGTGATGTCAATTCTCTGAACTTCACTCAACGACACGGGAGGAATCGACATTACCAGAGAAAGATACAAACAAGAATAACCCAAAGAGCTGCTGAGCTGGATATGCAGCCCATTATCCCCATAATCTAAAACAATTATGATCAGCATGATCAGCGCTTTGCGGGCTGACATAGAGGAAAGACGTACTAGTTCGATTACTGTCAAAGCTATCATCCCATACAATAGCAACGGACGCCTCCCAGCTACCTCAATGAGAGGGAAGGCGCTCAGATTGCTGACTAGCATAATCACGTAGAGTGCAACGGAGACCGTAAAGTAATCTTTAACGCCCAGGAGACTCAAAAAATATGTAACATAGGCTAGGTTTACGATTAGTTGCTCTGCGGATGAACGACATGTCGGCAAACCTTACTGATGACGAAAGCAGCTCCAATGAATTGTTGAGCCATAGGTGGCAAGAGAGAGATGAGTGTGCGTTTCTGTGAGGCATATTAGAGCCTGGACAGTATTCATCAAACGTGGGGGAAGGCATACCAAATTGGACTTCTTCCATACTTGGATAATTGGTGGCCCATCCATTCCAGCGACAGCCTCGAGACCTGCGCTTACTTCAATCGATTCCTTCATACGCGACAACTCCGCATCGATCAGCGCTTGGTCTTTGCTACCGTGTATACGTGTCAATGATTTTCGGGCCCTTTCTTCTTGACACTTCTTCAATAAGAGATACGGCGACTCGGGGAAGAATGGGTATCCCAAGAGAAGAGCAGCCACAAAGGCGAATTGGAGGACAACGAGGGTTTGATACGACCATGTTCCTTGAAGCTTATCTGTTCCGTATGCGATGAGTCTGATTCGATCAGTCATGTTCAAAGAAACCCTCATCCATCCCAGTATAGACTTACGCCAGCACAAATTGAGCAAAGACAATAGAGCCGTTCATAATGCATAGGAAAAGACCGCGAAGTTCAGGGCGTACGTTCTCTCCGATCCATACGGGAGCAATGACATAGACGATGCCGAAACCGACCCCTGTGTACGCTGTGAGATCTCGGGAAAAAGCATCAGTAGTTTAGACAGCTATTACACATACCATTGACCAGCCTACCACCCAGGAAAAGCTTCCACTCGTGGCTTGCAACTTGCATAGCGACTCCGATGGCAGTGAATAAGGACCCAACTATTGTAAGTCAGATCTAAGTCTCCGGGAACTTTGGGGGCGAGGGGTCCCGAGGGAGGGGGTGGGGGAGTATTGAATACTCAGAATTGTGTGCTTTCTCCCGATCCGATCCATGATATGTCCTGAGACGAGCACGCCGAGAATCTCGCCAGCGGTTGAACAAGCTGTCCATGCAGACTGAATCTGAAGAAATACATCATCAGTTCTTCCATATAAACTATACAAGAATGGAGAATTTGAATACAGTTGCCGGAATCAAATAGCCCGAGGCTTCAGACGGCCAAGGTCTACCCATGACCCGTTGAAAGGCAGGCATTGCGGTCGCTGTCCCGGCTATTCCAAAATCAAAGCCTTTTGCAACTGTGAGCTTTGATCAAAGGAGGAGACTTAGGGGACTTACCCAGCATCATGGAGCCGATTGATGTGTAGAGTGCCCATAGCGCAAACCTCTTTTGCTTTGAGAGTATCAGCCACTTGTTTGAAGGTTGAATTTCGTTCCAATTAACATTGTGTTGCATTTTGTTCTGCTATCAAGGGCACGGCTGTTCTGAAAGAATTTTGGAAGATTGGAAGTTGTGGTGCGATGAAGCTCCTGATAGCAAAAACTATAGAGGATGCAAGATCTCATCTCAAAGCCTGCTGTACCTTATCTGGAAAATCCGTTCCTTCTCAACAAGCCCCACAAATCTGGACTGTAGGCGGCAGCCCTACTCTGGGGTGCATTAGTTCGCGGGGAAGGTTATGTGGCTATCACTGTCCCGAATGCAACTCTCTCCGCTTTCTCCTCGGTTGGTGAACCGAGACTCCGCGGTACATCCCCATACTTCTAAGCACGGGTCCAAGGCAGGCACGTGGAATAGGTACATTACTAGGCCGGAAAGATTTCATGGCTATCATAATTCGAATGGAACGCTCTCCGCTCTTTCCTCGGTTTACAAACCGAGACTCCGCTGGACATACTTGCTCACTTTACAGTGTTTATTGAACTTCATAATCCAGTAACACAACTCCCTCATGGAAGGCGACAATACCTCTGAAGATGTTCAAGACGAACGGTCTCCACCACCAAAGCGGCGAAACAAGATTAGATACCCCAAGAAGCGGGTTGCGGTTGCTTGCGAAGTGTGCCGATCCAGACGCACGAGATGCGATGCAGCTCGTCCAGCGTGTTCTTTTTGCTCTCAGCTCGGCATCGAATGTGTCTATAGAAGACAGCCGGCAGATGTGTGAGTGATTTTGCTTCAAATGAATAGGCATTCCTGGTCTTGACATATCAACTGAATCTATGTTATAAGGCGCACACATGAAGACAAAGATAAAGTAGACTATAACGAAGACATCGTGTGCCGACTACAACGCATCGAGCAATTATTATCGCGGGACCTTCGGGACCGATCAAGTCCTTATCACGCTCCTAGACCTCCTATTCGTCACGAGACACCGGACGCAACTCTTTCCCAACATCCAACTCCGGTTGTCCAGTTCGAGTATGGCATTCATCTCAACAATCTTGCTCGGCTTGCAGGGCAGGCTTGTCCTGCGGCTCTGGAGCCTCTGTGTCTCGATAACACCGAGGAGCAGCTTGAGATGCTAATGCAACAAGGAGACAGCCTATTCTCAAACCCTTGCAAGGACATCCACGAACTTGACCTAAGTTCTTGGAAATGTTGGCAGCTGCAGCGTTCCTTCATCACAGAAGCGCTGCCATTTTGTCCCATAATCGAACAACACGACTGCGCTGCAATTATTGAACGTAACGTCGAAAAAAAGTTTGAAGATAACGGCCTTGAAGCATCGCTGGCGCTTTTCATGCTAGCTTTAGGCGAGATCTCCAGGCAGAGCCATTATACCAATGACGAAAATTTGCCTGGTTCTGATTATTTCCAAGCTGGATGTCGCCTTCTCGACGCTGAACAACGCTCAGCCAATACCCTTCTCTTGGTCCAATGTCACATCTTCGAAGCATTCTGCTGGCTCCATTGGCTGAGACCGCTACAAGCTCATAAGGCCATTCAAGCAGCCTCGTCCAAGGTCACTATTTTGCTTTCACTTCCAAAGCTGTTTCCAGAGAACAGTCCGGCTCGTGAGCAATGCCATCGCGCGCTTTGGGCCTGCTACTTGATTGAGCTCGAGCTGCAACCTTACGTATCACGAAGTGGACACCTTTTGCAGAACTGGGTGGACGATGTCCCGCTACCGCTCAGTAATTACGACGAGCCCGGCATGTTTTGGTTCCTGTCCGAAATTGCGCTCCGACGCATCTATTCCAACCCGCGGAATGGCATCAATTCCAACAACACTTTTACGGTTTTCGCACCGTTGGTTGTCGACGAGATATCGAACCAGATCTTGGGGTGGCATGCCACCCTGGCCGCTCCTGTTGCATTTCCGCTTCACCTTCCGGGCCACGAGTCCCAAAATCTAGAGGAAATCCGCTTACTCCCACATCTTGACCCACATAAAGCCTTCCTCCGGACACAATTCTACGCTTTGCAGACAATTCTGCATTGGCCGTATGTTTTGCGGCTACTCACAAGCCGCGATCTGGTAGATTGGCATCCCTCGGAGAGTGAATACGCAAGCACAGTTCGCGGAGCAATGAAGTCGATCCACTATGCTGTCTTGAGTATCTATTCTGCCGAACCTCTAATGCACAATCGACACTTGATGCTTCTGGAAACCATGACTGGTGTCTTCTATCTAACTATGATGCTGGCTGCTACATTTCAAGTTCCTGAGTTAGCCGCAGCGCAGCATCCCAAAGGTCAGAACGCTATCTGGTTAGGTCTGAAATATCTTAAAGTCTGGGAGGAAAACTCAAGCATCGCGTATAAGGTTTGTATGGTGGAAAGTCTGTTACATCAGCGGTGTATAGAACCTTCACGTTAGATAGCATATGAGTGAACAAGAAAAGGCAACACAAATTACTTTCGCTCTTTCAATATGAGCTGCTATATCATCCTAATGAAAGCATGTTTGATACGAGGAAGCTTCTTGTCAATGGAATTCTGTATTGAGTCTACGGACGAGAACCAGACTTTTACTGTTGTTAGCAGCGGCCGATACTAATGAATGGTAACTCAAGGTCGTGAGGTTTAGAATATAGGTTCTCCATCAGAATGATAACCTGGCTGCTGTCTTATTCATCTCAGTCTACCAAGAAGACACAAAGGCGAAGGACAAGAGCGAACTCCGAGGGCTGAACAACATCCGTCCGAGGGTTCCGCAAGAGCCGTTGCCGCCTGATTTGCCCAGAACGAGCTCCTGCCTGCACGCTCCGAATACCTCAAGCACGCGGACCAGTAACAGCGGTCCAAGTCCCAGCAGGAGCTCTACCGGGCGATTATAAATAACGGCCTCGTCAAGGGCTAGATTGCGCCGTTGCTTGTGGGAACCGGCGAATCGTTGACGGAGGCCGTGATTATAATCGAGGTAAGATGGGCAGATTGAGAAATAAAAGCTAGCTGTTGATTGACATGAATGAGGCGAGAATCTCGCATAGGAGTGTTTGTTAGTAGAGCTATTGGCGGCACTTACCATTCTCACGACGGGCTTGGGCGTTACGCTACTGAATATAGGTCAGAACCCTGCAACACGGCGCTTTCTCGAGACTTTCACGAGCGGCGAAGGCGCCCCGTAAGCCTCTTTCGTTCTCAGCGAGCCGGGCGGCGTCGCCAACTTCCTCGAAAAGAGTGCCCTGGGGCTCAGAACCACCGCTCGGCTCGTCAATGATGGCAAGTACTGGGAGCTCAAGGGGAAGAAGCTCTGGGCGACCAACTCGGCCAGGGGGGATTTCAAAGGCACCGACCCGTCATGCGTCGTGTGTCGGGACATCATCAACCCGCCCTCCTCAAGGGATGAGAACGACCCGAAGGACGCGATCATCATTCTCCTAGTGACGCGCGCAGATATCGATGCTAGCGCGCTAGGGGCATTCGAGACGATCCGGCACATCACCACAGTCGGCCTCCCGTCTATCTCAAGCCCACATATCCGCTACAACAACGTCTGCGTGCCCGCCAGAAATGTGCTCTGCCCGCCGGGCCAAGGTGCTGACGTCGCCATAGCCACTTTTGATGCCAGCGCTGTCCCCGTTACCGTGATGAGGCCCGATTTGTTGCGGACGGCCTTCAACGCAGCTTTGGCTTTTGCGAAGTGTGATGACCGCTGTGGTGTCGTGCAGCTCTTCGAGCGGTAGGCGTTCGCTGACCCGCTTCCCGGTTTCAAGATACAGACTGAAGCCTGTCGTGCTATGATCTGGAAGGAAGCTGCTCACGAGCTAGAAAATGGGCCAGGGTGTTACGACACACACAGGGAGATGGCTGTTGGCGTCAAGGTCTATTCCAGTGAAGCTGTGGTACAGACAGCTACGGATGCCAGCCAAACAGTAGGAATGTAAGTATTGGCTTTCTATTTCTGCACTTGCTCCAGTGAGGACAGATAATCTCGAACACTTGCTGACTAGCTAATTTCCTTGGATGCCTAATAGCACAGCGTACGATGCCGATCAACCTTTCGAAAACTTTTTCAATAATGCTATAGTGCTTCCTATTGTGGACCTAGGCAATGAGGGTATCAGAAAGCGCCAGCTGCAGCAACTCATGCTCACCGACTTACGACTCGTGGGTGTCAAGATACAGCCCAGTGTACTAAGCACTGTAGGAGTTTGAGAATTCCTAAAATACACAAAAGATTTTTGCGAGCTGAGCTGAAGCTGAAATTTTATGTTTACTACAAGTTTATGATGTAATGCAACCACTTGCCGAAATTGATGAAATTGTGTTATTCAATGTCCTTCTCTTATAGCTTTTCGCAAACTATAGAAATGTATTGAATATTCTAGCAGTGCATTGAATTCTTTATTATCATTCCTAGACAAAATCAAAGTAGCTCGCAAGTAGTCCATAAGTCATGTATGCTCGCACTTCCTGATTACTTTTCATAAGTAAGAAAACTAGGTAAAAATCCAGCTGTAGAGTGTACATGTTCAGTTCATTTTCTTTCATCAAAGAACTCACAAGCTTTGTCAACTGCAGTGACAAGCTCATCCTTCATGCCAAATGCATCATAATATAGCAGAAAGTCATGCGGTGCTTTTGGTGCTGCGTGGAAACGCACTCTGTCACCATTCATCTCTTTCATACCGGCAGAAAAGCTTTTGATATGCTCAAAGAAGGATTCAGCCTCCCCAGCCGATGTTCTGAAAGGATGGTGTAGTGGTGAGATGTAAGCTTCCGTTTCTCTTGAAAGTTGCTCAGATGGTAAATATGATGCAGCACCCCATTGCAACAATGACCCACTCAAAATATCAGCCTTGATATTACTGCATGCTTCATAATCTTTAGCAGCATGTGAAGTAACGTGAACCCAAGGCGAGAAAACAATAGCGCTGCCAGGTAGAGGCAGCTCTGATGCTTGTGCAGACTCGGGGTATCGCATGAGTGCAAGAACAATGTTACCACCAGCTGAGTCGCCAGATAGAACAATGTTCTTGGAGTTTATGCCCAAAGACAAAAGGTGGTGATAGTAGGTGAGGGCATCCTGTAGTGCAGCTGGAAAGCAAGTCTGATTGTTGGATGCAAGGCGATATTGAGCCCAAAGAACTCTGTTCGCCTGCAAATATTTGGTCAATATCTCTGTTGCTGGTCGTCCTGAGGTCTCATGGCCGAACGCTATAACAAAGGCGCCACCGGGGAAGTGAAGAATGACTTTCGCTTTTTCCAACTCGCTCGTGATGTTGGGAGGCGAGCTGGGCAGCCAGACTCCTTTGACAGGAGCTGGCTTGACAAGAGTTGTAGGAGCTAATGCATTGTAGAACAACTCCATAGCTGGTGGCTTGATCTCGACCATCCTCTCCTTAGCCTTTTCAAGCTTGTCGTCAAGAACATGTCGGGACTGCGTCACCACAGAGTATTGAAAGAAAACGTTCAGCAAGGTGCTAGCAGGGCTCATCTTGGCGCTCCCTAAGACTTGTCAGATTTGTAGTCCTGAAGTGACTCCTGGGGAGAAAAGGGGGGGGGGGGGGACAGATATATTTCAGAGTAAATGCGAGAAGTCTATCAGAGAGCTGCTTACATTCAGGGTAGAGAGGTTTTATGAGATGAAGGTGAAGAGCATAATTGCTTGTGGTAGAATTATGAGAAGAATCAAAATCGTGTATATGGTTTTCAGAGGTTGTGATGCCCATAATGAGGCCATGTTGTTGTTTTTTTGAAGCGTTATTGTTTTGAGTTGCTGCTGAAACAAGTGATATTGATAAATGGGAAGGAAGTGATGCAAAAAGCAGCTAAAGGGATGCTTATGTACTCATTTGCAAAACTGTCCCAAATATCGGGATTAGTGAGAGGCTGTTAAAGACACACATACTTGCCATGCACCATAGCAGTTTCACCGAACGCCACAGTGTATGTAAAATGAGGGGAGGAAGCCTGTTGTTGCCTCGGCCTGTCCATATGCGCTCCCAACATGTTACACTCCATGCTAATATCATCTCAAATTTATCAGTCACAACATGATTTTTGAGTTGCAATCCTGATGTAATAGGTCCACATAATATGCATAGTCCTTTTTACTTCCTAACTTTATGTTAAAGTTGAGGCTGATTGTAGGTTAGCCTTTGCTCCTATTTTCATGCAAACTTGGGTTCCCCCACTTTTCATTATCAGCTTAGCCCCAACACTATTGTTATAGCGCTCCATATTTTAACTGCAACGTATTGTCTTAGCAAATGATGCTTTTCATCTGAATAATCAGCATGTATTCAAGAATGCTGGAACTGATTGGCAGAGCTTTATAAGCTTTAGCAATGATTCGCTTGCCAAAGGTTGAAGCATCTAACTAAGTATTGCCAATCCAGAACCTTCGAGCTAACAATACTATCTATCATATACACCTTTTCGTTGTATATTTAAGCAAGGCCCCCCAGGGGTGGGGCATGGTCACCATGCACCAGTCATTGCGTGGTTGAATTACAACAGCTCAAACTACTTCCACTTCCTGGTTGACCATGATAGCCCTGGAAGGTAGAGCTCTAAGGGCATGATATTGGGTTAGTCGCTCATCATTACATCGAACCCAGCTTTGAAAAGGGCTATACAGGGCTCCATTCTGACCATCGTGACCTGTCCGAACGCTGCGCATATTCACATGCGTCAGCTCGTATTCACCCGAGACCTTGTTCCCATTTATAGTGTGGACTATATAAATGCTTTAGCGAAAGTGACTTCTGTACGTTAGCTTGAGAATATGTGTGCTGCTGGAAGCAGACTCACAATTTTGATTGATGTCTAGTGATATTCCATACTATTGTTAAGCGCAAGATACTGGTTACACAGGCACTAAATAATCAGTTAGTGATAATAATATAATGAGGTATGAAAGGTCAAAGAAGGGATGCAAAGTATAATGACTCACAAAATACCTAACAAAAACATGCCCGCAAGGCCTAATTTCCTTGATACGTGGAGTTGCAGATGCCAGACGATTGGCAGTGGGATTCGGAGAATTGAGAAGTCGAGGAAAAGGTTCGTGATCTCGTACCCGAGAAGTAGTCGCGGAGTGTCCAGGCAATGGGGTTGTTGAGCGAGGTTATCCCAATACGCGTGTATGGGGGTTGCACTAGAAGATGAGAATACAAGTGATAGTGACGAACCAACCGACACAAGCATTATTGACAGCTTGAATAGCGAGCTTAATCAGTTCGTTGTCGCTGTTTTCAACGAAGACCTGGTAATCAAACCAAAGAATGCTAAATTTAACAGATGTTATGACTTTTCTTTCCCCCTCCCCCCCTCTAAAAAAAAAGGATCTCCACCGTACAGCTGCCTTAATAGAGATATCAGTATTCTGGTAAACCTAAGCTCAGTGGAAGAAGTGTAATACTTTCAAGATATTCTACAGCTCAGCTACACTGTGTATTATACTAATATCGAAAGATCCGTTCACTGACACAGTTAGGATAACTTGATGAACATCTTAGCTTCAAAGTCACTAAAGGTAAATTCTCGAGTTTGTACGTACAATGGAGACTAATTCCGCAATAAGCATAGAATGGAAAAGCGGCTAACGCACATAGCCAATCAGTGCCCATGGGAACTTATTGCTGCGATATTTTTCCCAGCGAACCTCGCGATCGCCGTCTATGTGGTATCACCATAACTGAAGATAATACAAATCTGTTCTATTCTTATGGAGCAAAGCTACACATTGCGAACTGATCCGCAGACTCCAAACCTGATCTCAAACTAGCGAACATCAACCCTCAACTTTTCAAGTCCGGATTAGTGGCAGCTTAAAAACCCCTTTCTCTTCCAATCCAAACCGCTACGAATAGGTACACCAAAGGACTTCTCGCTATCCACAAATTCTCCTACCAATCTCCTCCACAAAGATCCTTCCTTCTTCATATCCGCAGATGTGCTGTCAAGGTGTGGGTCCCAAGCTCGCCAACCAGTGCCCGAAGTAATCTTCCACCGCAAAACCACCGGTGGACTTACTGTGCTCTGCTGAGAATCGCAAGACACATCGTGCTGATCATCACCGACGGGTATGGAACGTCCAGAACCAGACTCAGTATTATATTCTGGAATGTTCAATTCGTTTGGGACTTTTGCAGAGGGGCGACGTGGTTGATCCAGCACGAGATATAAATAGCTGCTGTCTTCGATAACCAGCTTGTTGCTTCGGTACATTAGAAGAGGACAGCGACTGGTTGTCGTTGTTGGAAAGTAGATCGCCTCTCGCAAAGTAAAAATCTCATTTTCATCTGAGCTTTCTTCATTCTCCTCAGCTGTATGATGAAATTCTGGGAGGTTGATCTTCAGAATCTTGGGGTCGCATGTGAGCGGCGGCAGTGCAACGATGATGCTGTTTTCATTCCAATGCGTGAGAGCTAATGGAAATGACACGTCTACCAAGTTCTCACTGAAAACATACTCACACGTCCGAGGCGGTGATGCTCGTAAAATTTTGCTGCACTTATTCTCCGTATATTCAAAGGAGAAAGTAAGTGCTGTTACGCAGGCCTGGGTCCCAGCTGTAGCATGGGAAAAGGCGATATATAAGAAATGAAGATATTTGCCACAAATCGAGAAACGTAGTTCTGCAAATGAGTTTGTTAAAAGCTGACTTACTCATCCATAAGCTCTTTGAGTAACTCACCTCGCAGACTTGCTCTCGGAAAGTCTTGAAGACCAGAGAGCTCGGAGAGGTACTCTGTCTTTTGAATTCCCGTGACCATATCAACCAGCTCTAGTTGACAAGCAGTATGTGTAAATGCTAGAAGAGGTAGTGTCGGGTGTGCAGCGCAACCAATTTGCGACCAGAGCAGGTGTGGATTTGACCACGGATGCCACGAAGCATGACCATCGATACGCAAAAATATCAAGCAATCTGTGAACATATTTTCCTCCTTTTCGAACTCGTATTTGTCGAAGAGCTCATGAGGACTTTCGGCCTCTTGGGAACCCGAATTCGCGTCAATGTCATCTGATGCATCATCTGAGTCGTCGTCTGAATCGTCGTTTGAGTCGCCGTCAGACACGGCTGTTGTACTGGTCATGGCCGATATGTTGGCACTCTCCAGCCAAGATTTGTCTGAATGATATGCTTTCTTCTCTGTGTTTTTGATACAAGAGTTTGAGTCCGTTCCAGGCAAGTTGCTGGTAGATGTCCGCGTCACATGTACGGCTTGCATGGTGCTGTTCCTCGCTGAAGCAGAATCGATGGTGTGTGATGACCTGATCTCCCACATCCCTTTTGTCGGCATGTTCCTGTCTCTGGCGAAGGCAAGTGGAACTTCCCGCTGCATATTGTTATTTTGAGAGCAGCGCCTCAAGGTCAAAGTGTATGGCTCCAATTGCCAAGCTTCGAGCATCTCTCCACCTTTCGCACTCATTATGATAACCATCTTCCAGTGGAGAACGTTCTCTAAGCAAGAGAATTCATGCTCGCTTTTCTTGATACCCTTCCTTGTTGCAAAGAGTGGGATCTGCAATCGTTGAAAATGGCCGCCACTCCCATAACACAACAGATTCATCCATAATGTCTTCTTGTCAAATGTCGCACCCAGGAGTCTGGTACCGTGGAGTTTAGAGCTACTTGGTGAGCCTAAACTATGGCATAGCTGTTCAATATTGGCCACCTTCAAGTTCCTTGACTTTTCGAGCGGTGTGACACTACACGTCGGCTTGAAATCCTTCAAGGGTACACATGCTATTAGACCGTTAGGGTATGTTGTCATGACCTCGCGCCACTCATCGACGAAGTCATCCAATGACCGGTCCAGTATCCTACCCTCCTTGGAGAAGGTATCGAGCCAGTCGGGCAAAGGCAGGCCGAACCAATCATTGTCGCGGAGCCGGGACTTCTTTATATTCGGCGTATACGACATCTGGTCTTCTCCACGAACATATCGACTGAATAAGTAGGGACTGACATGTGCTTGCACAGCCAGACACGTCCAAAAGGTACGACTTTGAAGGAATCTCCTCACTACTTGGTCGATTTCTTTAGTTGGACACAATTGCATCAAGTGCTGTGCCCAGAAAGTTGCTGCGTAAGGAAGAAAAGCGTGCTCCTTATCGGCTGGCCTGCTAAGGATGGCCCTGAGGTCAAGGCCGGGGCTTGCATACCGCTTGTATTGCAAGTATGTTAAACAATCCAGACCCATCCTCTCGTGAGCTTCCTCGGAGATCAGAAAGAACTTCCGCAATCGTGATGTGGGGCATATGTCTAGGTCGTCTGGGTTCTGTTTAAAGAACTCCTCGAAGGTTTTGTGACCAAGCTTCACCAGCGGATTCTCAGGAACGTCACCTTCTCTTGCCTTCCCAAAAATGATGAAGGGGCTGCACAGAGTCTGTATCGTCTGTCTGGTAGGAACGTTCATGATGTCGTGATCTTCGGCGCCATCATAGACAGCGAGCAAGTTCAAGAGTTCGTAGAGAGAGATGGATTGGACTACTGTGATGAGGATTGCAAATGTCCGCCTTCCTCTGTGCGTTAGTTTTCTGTTTAACAAATTCTCGCAATGGATATCAGACTTTAAGTCAGAACAGACCCACCTGGCTCGTCTCTGTTCTTCATGACTTTTCCCAGCTAGCTTGTCCAGTACACGGATATAGTAGCTGTTCAAATCCTTTGGGCATCTCACTAAAGCTTTTCGAATCTCTGATTCAGACGTGAGTCCTTCTCCGCGGAAAGCATCACAGATCAGCCTCGAGTAGAGAAAATTGTCTTCACCCTCGGTGAAGTTCCCTAGGCAGCCTTCGCAGGAAATATACGCGCTAAGATAAGAGCGGATATCCTGAGTGACCAGAGTGGTCTCAGCCTTGAGCTCTACTGCTTTGCAGTTCTGCATGGCTGTTTTGATGTTTTCGTGCTCGCGGCTGGAGAAGAACCACTTGGCGAGTCCATAAGTAGACATCTTCAAGAGTCTTTGGAAGTTCTCGATAGTCAGTGCATCGTCCTGGCACTCATCTAGACCATCGATGATCAAGTAGACCTCCTCACACTGTGGCAACAGATCCTGAACCGCTTTGCAAGCAATGTCGAGGCGATCGATCTTGGTGGCATGATTATCGATTTCATTCTTGTATCGGTCAACCAGTCTGTCTGGTGGGCTCTCTACATATCTCAATAACTGGAGAGCTAGAGATCGTAAGCCGCTGACACCACGGTTCCGCTCGGGGCTGTTGAACGAGTAGAAGAAATACGCGGTTTTCTTTCCCTGCTTCTGCAGATGATCGATAATCGTTGCTGCATACACGCTCTTTCCAGAACCAGGTTTCGCATTATACCAGAGGACTGCGTTTTTTGTGCTCTCACACCAGTGCCTGAAGCGTTCGTCTTGGAACATCCACTGGCAGGTTCCCTTGTGGCGAAAGGCAAATTGTTCATCGGCATTCGTCCTGACGTCGACGTATGCATCGCTCTTGATCCACTCGATAATGCCTCTCCTCAATTCCGTAATCTTTTCTTCCTTTGATCGTTGAGCCGATGTTGCATGAGCTAGTGCGATGATGTTGTCCCGATCACGATTCAACCCGTCAAGTGCTTTGCTTATCTCCTTGTTCACCGCGTTTGATATTCTCCCGAAAGTTGACTTCAAGAAGTTCTGAGATAAAATTCGAGACACGCTGAACCAGAATCGAACGATGTGTTTGTAAGAGCTGGCGAGCAAGTCTTGCACGTCATCCGATGTCGGAAATGCGTCACCGAACTTCTCGTAGCATTTCAAGCTGACACCAATCTGTTCCATGGTATCGACAACTTCATCAAGACAGCTTTGCACTTGCAATGCAAGCTCTAATACGATTCGAGCGCCTGCGAATGCGATACTGACTCCCAGTGGGGCAGTGTCCAACAGGTTCTCGCATACCCCCATGAGCTTGGCAAGACTGTTAATGAAGGGATTGAGCCGTTCGAGTATCCTGTAGGTACGCGCAGAGCGCTTTTGTGTTTGAAGGTTCTCCACGAATTCTCTCAGGCCATCCGCTGAAGCCTCGGTCTGCGTCCTAGCCCCGGTAACCACCGCAACTGGCTGATGTCTGGCTATGAGCTCTTTCAAAAATGGGTTCTTGGTGTTGTCATTCTTTTTCAGATCGCTTAGAAAATCATTAACAGCTCGAGAAAACGGTGTCTCAGCTTGTTTGTGGCTCATGGGGGTCTGCTCTATAGTCGTCACAAAAGGCGCCATCTTCTTCTCGGACCCACAATGTAGGTCGAGTTCTCGACAGAGTGGACTTTAGAAACAAAAGGATAATTGACCGGCTACGCGTAGGCCGGTGTTTATTTCATGGATTTGAAGCATATATTGATACCCTCCTCAAAGAATGGCAGAAGTGGGATTCTTCCCATTCAATATCGAGGGCGCCAACTGGGTTTTCCGAGCTGGCGGCAAGTGTGGCTGCGCATGAAGCATGACAAGGCAGAATTTAAAGTGCAAAAAGAGACGTTCCGCTGCGGACAAACCCCCAGCCACATGATCAGCTCTTACTCAGCTGACAAGCGTCTGGAATTGCATTCAAATGCGAAAGCAAAGAGGGGTATGTTACAGCGGTTGATATGGAGACGCAAAGCTTCATGTTTTGTGGCAAATTGCTGACCACCACTTTCCTCTTTGAGGTTGCAGCATCCAGATACATTTCATCATGAGCCCTTGGGCTAGAGATAGCAAAGTTCGAACTCTCCAAGGTATGCTAATTCCAACTTGCATGCAGGATTTTGTTGTATTAACAAAGCGACAGCTGCTGCTTTTCATCTCGAGTATCACTCTGTTATCTCCTGTGCAACAAGCCCTGATGTCTGTTGACTACGACATGCCTCAAAGCTCGGTTTCGTTGCCCGAGATTGGCCGAAGGTGCGAATTCAAAACGTACCACACGACGCCCAAAAAGGGTGGACAGCTTGTAACAGAGACGGTACTCGAGCCTTTTGGCAGACTTCACCTACGTGATGGTGATAGTTCTTACGCACTCGTCATCCAGCGGAGATTTACCGACAAGCACGAGCTAGATTCTACGACTCTTAGAATCAACTCGCCGCACCTACTCGGTGTATTCCGTGAGGTTGTGGGTTCGACGTACACTACAGTCGCCTCAGATTTCAGATCTCCTTTCGAAATGACTAGCCCATTTCAAATGCTTATGCACTATGTGAGTCAGTTTGGCGCTGGTATCGTAATCATAACTTTTAACACCGTTGTAGTGGGATGAGTTGGAACAGTATCGCGACGAGACAGAGGACAATCACGTCCGTCAGCATTTGAAGCTGTTGTTCGATTTCATGGATCATGAACTGGGTCCTGACCGGAAAAGTGTGACGGGTATGGTACTCAACGGGCGAATTAACTACACCCATTCCTGGGTACTATTCAGACCTGGAGGTCTTGTTTATGCCTCAGTAATGGGACACCCCTGGCTTTTACAGTGTCAAAAAACTGCGTATGAAGAGAGCACCATAAAAGGGCCATATATCGTTGTCACTTGCACCTACACCGACCATGATGGAGCGTTGGAAGGCGCGGCGGTGCATAAATTCACCATTTTCCAAAAGGAACACTTTGGGGCCGAAAACCCGGCTTTCATCACTGACCTTCCCGTCTACCCGAGGCGTTTTGCCGGCGAGGCTGGGACCCTTGAAGCCAGGTTGGAAGAGAGAGGTCGAAACTTTCTTGCTAGAAGGACTGTGTGCGTTCAAGCGTATAACGGAATTGCTCAGTACCTGAAGGAGCCTCCAGAGTTGTTCTACAACCCTGAAATGGCAGAATTTGATGGAGTGTGGCTCCCCTTCACCGTGAGTATCGTAGAGACGTCCTGTATCTTAGCTCTCAAAGCTGTATGAAGCTGACTTTTGAAATAGGAGTCGGGAAGAATCATACTAGACCGCAAGACGTTTCACGAGGATCAGTATTCAAATCAGGTTTCCATCAAAGCCATGACTCCAGACCCACTTCTCTGCCCTCCATACGAATACGGCTATTCCCTGAGCCGGAAAGACTGGTGTCGCTTTCTTGTCGACAATATGCGTGACGTTGAGTGGAAAGAAGGTGTATGGGAGTCGTTGGTATTGCCCACTGAACATAAGCTTGTTTTGCAAGCTCTGGTGACTTCTCACCAATATCCTGATGATGCAAGGGACCAACCTGAGCTCAAGGGCAAGGGGCTCATCTTTCTGTTACACGGATCGCCTGGCTCGGGTAAAACGCTGACAGCCGAGACAGCGGCTGAGGGAACAAGAAAAGCATTGGTCTCGTCATCTCTAGGAGATCTGAATCGCTATGATTCGCCCCGGGCATTTGAGATACGACTAAAAGAGGTCTTAAGCTACGCAACGATATGGAGAGCTGTAGTTTTGCTAGACGAAGCCGACGTCTTCCTCGAAGCGCGTCACTCACTTGGCGACAGCACCACTCGCAACGCTCTTGTCGCCGTGTTCCTCAGGGAGCTGGAATACTTCTCCGGTATCATATTTCTAACCACGAATCGCCTCACGACTTTTGACGCAGCTATGAAATCTCGGATTCACTTAGCACTCGAGTATTCGCTACCAAATGTCGAAACACGGAGGCAGATTTGGATGAACCTTCTGTCCAGCATGCCTACAGAAGGCATCGACATCGAGGATATCGACGACGCAGTGGTAAATCTACTTGTGGAAAAGTTGAACGGCAGAGAGATCTCGAACACATTCAGCACCGCGCGAACAATAGCTAGGTCACAAAACAAAAGGCTGAATCTGGAACACATTGAAAGAGTGATTCGAGTGAGAAATGACTTTGAGAGAAGTCTGCAAACCCAGGCCCAAAGTATGAGCTCAACAGCCACAGGACTGAGCAGCAGTGTTGCTGAAGGTTTCCGAAGGCAGGACTCTATCATTGCGTTTGAGTCTACTTGAAGGATGTGGAGCTTAATACATCTTTCTACAGCTTTCTTGGTTTTCTTTACGTCGTTTCACATCATGTCTCCTGAGTCGATAGCTTCTTATCTTGATGTATAGATCTTAAAGGTCTTTGAGCCTTTGATAACATTGATCATATATGTGGTTCCTCACATTTGAATGCAATCTATTTTGTGAGCAAAGATGTAGACAAGTTCCACCAAGAGTTTGCCATATGTGGGGGCTATTCAGAACATTTTACAGCATATGCGGTCTGATATTAGCTAATATGCTAGTTTATCGATAAAAACTGTTTCATTTCGCTTGATTTACTATGTTTTCTTTTATACGAAAACAAGTATTATCATTCAATGTTAGTCTTGAAACCTTAGTTGTTTTTATACAGGAGTCCAAAGGTATGATCTCATGATACGCAACAAAGGGTGGGTATGGAAAGAACAAGCAGTTGACCTTCGATTAATATTTTGTAGAGGTTTTCGTTCGTTCACTTTCAACCCTTATCACTCGAGCCATGCTTGGAAAACTTTGCAATACATTAGAGTGGAACTGAGCCAGTTCACCCGAAGCTTTCTTACCACGCAGGGAAATCTGTTATTTTTATTATACCAGTTTAGTTTACATATACAGGTGCGGGAGGAACAGACTAGGCAAAATCGTGCCGTTACTTATTTAAAGGGGTTCTGAGTTGCTGGATGAGTAGAAGAACAAATACGGTATGAATCTAGCTTAGTGCGCTCTGGACTTCTGAGAAAGTCTTCAGAACGATTAGCTATGCTTTTCGTGCTCTCGGTGTTCAAGGGGTTTAAGGGAAGAGAAAAAAGAAAACAAAAAGGGAACAAAAAGAGAAAAGGGGAGTTATGATCTCGGATAGGAAAAACGTATCAGTCGCCGGTCGGTGTGCTGCATGGAGCTTCCCATTCTGCTGACTTTGGCCCACAGGTCGGCCGCCTGTTGCATTTGTTCCTGAAATTATGCATGGTGATACCCTTGAACTACCAGGAACATTATTAGCTAACAGGCCTTGTCGAAAGACGTGTTGGCTCTGCGACCCGCCCATCTTCTTCGTTTGCCTACCTGAGCTTGACACATGGCAGCTTGCCTGATCGACCCAGGTTTCTTTGCTTATCGTTTCGTACTCTTCATCTTTCTGCATTACCATTTCATCTCACTACAGCTTCCAGTTCTCTTGTCATGCCATTCATAGCAAGAATTTGCAACGATGCCTGAAGGAAGCCCCACCCAGTATCTCCTGACGGACCCAGAGAAGGAGGTAGCGCGTTTGACTGAGCAAGTATGCATAGCTTCTTTCCACCCACCATCAATACCACCGCACACGACGTTGGCCCTTCACGATATTTTTGAGCCCCTGCCAGCCGAGCTGCATGGCAAATGCGTCTTTGTGCATCAACGCTTTGCATTTGTGGGAGGCGTAAAGAGTAAGTCAAGCACTCCGAACAGAGCCCTGGTTCTCACCCGCCACATCTTGTAGGGCAGGGTTTTGCCGCCCTCAGGCCGGAGACAATCTTTACTGACCAGGCGCTATGCAGGTCAAGCCTGGCGGCTGGATTCAGCTGTGCGAAAATGGCCTGACGCCCCATTGGGTGGCGGTCCCGCTCTACACGACATCATCGCGGCGATCCGCGCTTGGATAGTCGTCACGCCGGCGCCGGCCCTGGAGCCACGTTCGCCAACAAAATGACTGGCTGGTTGAAGGAAGAGGGATTTGAGAAAACCAAGGAGGTGCACATCGACGTTGACGTGAGGCCGAGTTGCAAGGACGCCGAGTGGGACGCCCGAAGTGCTCAGGTTTTGCCAGCTGCATCCACGGGCGTAACCGGCGGATGCAAGAGTTAGCTTATCTGACAACCGCCTGCTTTGCCACTTGCTGGATTGCGCACTGCTAACTGCTTTCTTTGCCGCCAGTGATGAACGCCGGCGTTGCCGAGCCAGTGTTGGATAAGCTCCCAGAGAGAGCAGCAGAGGAGCTCACCAAGCAGGGTGAAACATATCGCATCATCATCGCCATCAGCCAGAAAGCTGACCAGTGATAGCTCTGAGAGAGCTTAGGACGTCCGGAGGGAGGAATGTCTGAAGACATATAGCTGAACTCTTAACATATCAAAAAGAAAAAGAAAAGTTTAAAGACAGAGATACATCTCCGTTGAAATGCAGTATTTAGCATATATATACAAAGTGATAATGTGTAATTACTCTCTATAGACCTCTTGGGTTTCTCCAATAGTATCACGGCACGAAAGAAAAGGAAGCGCCCTCTCCCCCCCGACCAGCCAAGAACAAAAAGAATAAAAAAGGGGGTGTATTTCCTGCCGGAACGCTATGGCGGACCCTTTGTTTATGGCAACATTTGAGCCTTGCGCCGTCCCCGAAGATGATGATCCATGCGATGAACCTCATAACCACCTTCATTGACAGCCTCAAGGACCACGTGATGTCTAGCGGCTAGGCCGACACAGTCCAGCCGGTCATGATGTCAGCGAATAAGCTCTCACTTGCGGTTACAAACTTAAGGCAATCCTTCACTAACTTCGTCATCCAAAGGACATAAAACCCGCATCAGGCGGTATCTAAGGTCAATCGCACGCCTGCAACAAGCATCGGGGCTGAGTTAGTGCTGGTGGGTACGGGAATTGAGCATCGAAATTTGGCCGCTTAGTAAAACATGGCAGAAGCTTCATGGGAGTGGCCCCAGGCAGCTGGATGCATAAGAATAGAGACTAGGACGCCAACTCATGTTTGTAAGATCAGGTGAGCCTGAAGGAAGGGTTCGAATTTTTGGAAAATGGCAGGATGCGGTGGAAGATAATACCAAATGCTGCCATTTCATGCAACGAAGTGTCTCACAATCTTAAGTCGGAGGGGGTAACCTCCGGCCACCCCGGTCCGCTCCCAGCCACCTTCAACCCCCCTCTTTTTGTATTATCTTTTCTCAATCGATTCTATTCTAATCAACTTCATATCTTCATCAAGCCTTTATACAGTCATTATGAAGCCCTATACCGAATTTGAGCTAGCCCAGGCCCTCGAGGCTATCAGAAGGGGTATGTCTCAGCAACAGGCCTCGAAAAATTGGGGCATACCAAGAGCTACTCTTCAGGATCGCCTGGCAGGAGGAGAATCGCATTCAACAGCATATGAACATAAGCAAAGGCTTTCTATCAGCCAGGAAAGGAAGATGGCTGAATGGATCCGCGTTCAGGAGGCCCTAGGGCTTCCACCAAGCCACTCAGAGCTTAGGCACTTTGCTCAACGAATCCTCGAGATCAAGGAAGACCCTCAGGCTCTAGGAAGAAAGTGGCCACAGGCTTTCTTGAAGAGAAATCCAGATATTCAGGTCCGCAAGAGTCAAAAGATTGCCTCAGTTCGAACTAACGGAGCCACAACAGAGATAATACAGCCTTGGTTTCGTCTTTTCGATCTTCCTCAAGTTCAAGCTATCAAGCCAGCTAATAGATGGAATATGGACGAGGCTGGAATAGCTGAGGGCCAAGGAGGGAATGGATTAGTCCTCGGTGGCTCTTCTTCGCATGCGATTCATCGAAAAGAGCCTGGGTCAAGGTCCTGGACTTCTTTCCTCGAGTGTATTTCCGCTACAGGTGCCTGCCTCTTCCCTCTAGTGATCTTCAAGGGGCAAACAGTACAACAACAGTGGTTTCCTCTCCTCTTGGAGTATTTCGATAGCTGGCAGTTTACAGCAACAACAAACGGATGAACTGATAATACTGTAGCACTTGAATGGCTGGAAAAGATCTTCATCCCAGGCAGCCAGCCAGCAAACCCCTCAGAGACCAGACTATTAGTTCTGGATGGCCACGGCAGCTATACAACTGATGAGTTTATGTGGCAATGCTATCAAAACAACATTCTGTTGATTTACTTGCCTCCTCATACCTCTCACGTACTTCAACCCCTCGATCTAGGGATCTTCTCGTCTCTTAGAAGGCATACAGACGAAAAGTCAGTTATATCAGCCAATGGGGGGATTCAACAGTCTTTAGCAAGCGTTTATTCCTCGAGAACTATTACAAGGCTCGTACAGAGGGTCTTTCTAGCCAGAATATCAAGTCTGGATGGAGTGCTACTGGCTTATAGCCTGTTAGATCCTTCAAGCCACTCTTGAGCCCTCTCCTCCTCAAGAATACTTCTCAACACATTCAGAGCCAGCCAAATTCAAGCTCAACAGCATTAACAGCAGCCCAGCATACCCCGAAAGCCTCCTCAAGCCAGCCGGCTATCTTTTCAACTCCTCGCAAGGCTAAACAGCTATACCATCAGCTACAGGAGAATCAGCACCGACTTTCGTCTCAGCCAGTGCAACGTATACTCTTCAGGAAGATAAAAAATGCATTTGACGAGCGAGACCTCGAGTTTGCAAAGGCTCTGGAGAGAAACGAGATTCTGGAAAGGCAAATGGAAGCTAAAAGGCCTACTAAAAGGAGGAAGGTGGATTTGAGCCCAAACTCGAGGCTCGCAAACATTGAGGATATACAGAGGGCTCGAAATGCGGCCAATAGAGATGGCGACAGTCTAGATGAAGAGAGCAGCATCGACTTACCTACTGATGAGGAGGAATGCATCGTGGTGGGTGTATAAGAAGAGGAATGTATATAAAACAATATATATATGGGTGGTTGGTGTGGCGGGCCGGGGTGGCCGGAAGTTACGGTGGCCGGAGGATACCCCCTCCGACTTATACAAATACACGTGCTTCTTGTCCAGGAAATAGGTCAGGTAACACGTTGGGGCTTTAGTGTTCTGTCGAACTGTAAGTAATAATTCTGAGAACAGCTGCCTAGCATGCTGATAGGCTGGGTCGCGAGGCGAGAGCAAAAACATCTTTCGGAGCAGCTAAAGTCAAATGAGCGGCTGCTGTAATGTTTCACAGAAGAGGAGTCCGATGGATTACTAAATCAAGAAACTTCTAGTGTCAGGGTCAGAGCCAGTGTAATTGCTGCTCCATTCACTATATCATTTCTATAAATCAGACTTTAGAGCTCCAATATCAAGTATCCTAACCTCAATCTTTCCGTGCCCTCTTTCTGCTACGACCTGCTTGCTGGAGCGCCGACAGCTGAGCATGCAATTGACTCTCCGGCTGCTGTGACACTGCTTGGTAAGGAAAGCTGGATGTTTCTGACCAATTGTTGTTGAACTGGCTGAAACTTGCATTGATGCTTGTTGCTTGAGATTGAGTCCGATGCTGCTGGCTAGCTGCGCGCGAGTTTGGCGGCATCTGGCCATGGGAGTAATAGGCTTCATCTCTCTGGATGCAAAAACCCGTATCTTTTTCGTGCTTCTTGAACTTTTGGTCAACTTTCCGAATTGCTTCCCGCAAGTGTCCAGCAAGCTCTCCAACTCCGTAGCCATACAGAATCTGTGTGAATACGGCTACGACTTCTTGCCGCTTGAGTGGGCTATAAGCCGTCCAGTAGTCGTTGTATGTAAATTTCAGGGGATAATCTTTGCGGATGGGGTTATCCAGGCTTTGTTGGTCATAATTATCTGTACTCTCATCTGCCTCTCTGAAAGCTGGATCGGAGCTAATGCGACAAGCTCGATGAATTCGAATCTTAATGCCCACCGATGTCGCGACCACAGAGAAGACTCTGACTTTGTCGAAGAAGAGATTCACAAAGTTTTCCTCCTTTCCATCGTCAGCTTCTCTGAAGAACTCATACATATTATGCAGAGCCTGGCTCGCATTGTTGAGGCTCTGAGCGCAGCCAACGATATCGAAGACACTTGTACTGCTCTTTTTTGCCTCGAATGTCAGAAAGTGGAAAGCCCGGTCACAATGGGGCGGATTGATTGCCTCATAGCACACCAGCCTCTGCGTTGCGTTGGGGAACATCTTCCAGTTCGTGCCTGCAGGGAATAGGCTCTCCCGTCGGAAAGCCACGGCGAGGTCAGGTTTCGGTTGTGTGAGGAAGTTTTCCAATTTTCGTGCAGCCATTGTAGGCATGGGTGGGCATTCCCAGGTGCCTTCGACAGCAAAATCAAGCTTTGTCATGCCGGGTTCTCCCTTTCCATATATCAGCCGGTACCTGTCGATCATGGAGATCAGCACTGTTCGCTGAAAGGTAGGTTCGTGAGACTGGTGTGTGCATTTCTTCCCGTCCAGGTTCCAGAGCCTGTCGTTGTAGGCCTTTTCAGCCGGGTCTTCCTCGTCGATCTCGAGCGGCAGCGACTTGATCTCCTCGACGCGTGCATCCTCACTCTGTGAGGGAGACAAGGCAACATTGCGATAGTCTAGTCCTCGCTGGAACTCTTTGATGTTCTTAGAAGCGGAGAAGCGAGCCATTCTGGCAATGAGCCCAGGATCCAGCAGAATAACCTCTAGAAGATCGAGTGTCTCGTCACTCAGTGGGGGCAGGTACCCAACACGTCTGTAAAAGATATCCAGGGGATCTTGGTATCGAGAGCTAGAATCTTCTGATGTGCTTTGCCCAACGCTGCCCTCGATGGTGTTTTCGATGGTATTCTCAATAGTGTTCTCAGCAGCGTCTTCGACACTGTTGGTGCCTGAGCGAGTCTGCGGACTTGTCTCCGCTACTTGCCCAGTCTCTACTAGAACCAGTGGGTAGATGACTTGAGGTCCTTTTCTGGTCCGTTGTGTTCCTGCTTGTCCACTTTTGCGGAGAATTTTCTCAGGATCAAACTCTCCATCCACCACCTCGCCCGAAGCCGCTCTGGTCTTGCGGCGACCTGTAGCCAGTGCAACGGAGCCTGGGCGCTTCTTGTCCTTCACCAAAGCTTGGCTGGCTATGCTCTGTCGGGTACCTCTCGATGGATGCGTTTTGTCCTCACGTGTGGTAACTGCTCTTGTCCTTGCTCCCATGTCCTGGGTTAGCTTCAATGATCCCTGGTTGTACAACACAGCTGGTGCTGGAAACAAAGCTGTAGCTTACCTTTTCAATTGCTCCGGCATCCTGGCTCTGTGGGCATAGGGAGAGGCCTAGCTCCAAAGTGCTATGTTCAAAATATCCATGAGAAGGCTGTCAGGTTGGAAACAACACTTTATTGCAGCTCGACTAACACAGCAGCCATTTTGCCAGCAGATAACCAAGCATGATATGTGGGGTTCGACCTCATATTGCGCCATTACAGGGTCTGCCCAACCACCATCCGAATACGGTCGGATAGACAGAGTTCGTGACCAATCTGCTGCATATGCATGCAGGAGACCGGTGTAGCTCTCTGTATAAATAAGGAAAACGAGCAGTGGGGATGCTACGTTTTCTGCCTAGCCGCTTGGTGCGCTGAACCTTGGGACGGTTCGGGTTGCATTCGGATCTGTCTCGGATTAACAGAAGTCCCTGAGAAGCAGGGCTTGTTGGACCCCTAATCCTCACATCTAAAAGCTACTTTCTTGGTTCCTCAGTTCAGAATTGTCATATACATTAACCACCTCATATAATCTCAAAATTCTGAAGCTAATTAGTAATGACTATGTCAAGAAATAGCATATCTACACCAATTAAATGATATGGTCCAACATCATTCAGATGCGGACTTGATAATAATAACCTAAGATTACATGTGAACAAATGCCTATATATATACAGTGGCACATAGAGAAGTGTGAGATTCAAAAATCAGCAATCGTGTGCTCAAGCACTTGTACAACATCCAAATGTCAAAGCTTTCTTTGTCTAAGTTCTGATATTATCACAGCAAGAAATTGACATCTCGGAACTGCAAAATTGGATTACTTTCATAAACAATCCTGTACATTGTTCCAATCATAAGAAGGAATTCCGAGAAACTTGAAAATCAAAGCTTCATTTTTACATTTGTTCCTAATGCATCGCCTCCATAGTAAATGAATCCGCAAAACCAACAGTATAGTTCCAACCTAAATCCATAAAGATATCTGTCCAAGTTGCGTTGGTATACGGCTTAGCATCCAATTCGCAAACAGTCCCGTTCTCGGGCATCGTCAGATTCGACCAGTATGCCACAGTGTGCTCGACCGTGCACCTTGACGGCGCAGCGAGAGAGGTATGCTATTATTCCAGGTAACCAAAGTCAGCTGATGAAACAATCAAAACACATTTTAGCAAGCAGAGCCAACAACTTACACCGTAGCCATGTATTTCTAGCACAACACTCCCATTGAAACCAGAGCTCACGTTGCGCGCGGAGGCGAGCGGCGTCGCGGGGTCCCAAGTGTTGCCCAGGATGAGCACCGGGTTCGCCGTATCCACGTCAAACCCGCCGTTGTACCGCTCCTTGGGTTCGATCAGCCACTGCGCGCAGGGCATATTAATTTGATCGCTGCCATCGCCAAAAATGGCGCTGATACCGTATAACTCATCAATCACTGGTTGGAACTCGGCTAGAGTAGCGGCGCGTGGTCGCCGGTCGGAGCAGTGGATGGCGACGAGCGCTAGGCGTTCAGAGAGGGCGGGCGCAATTGTAGCCTCGGTATCGGAGGTAATATTCGCCACAGAAGCGCTCAGGGCGGTGAGCTCTGTGGTGTTAGCGGTGAAGAAGATCGTAAGGAGATCGGCCAAGCTGGCCCAGTCTTGTGGTACGAAGAGAGCTGTCCAGATCTGGGCTTTGGCTGTCCAGTAATCGTACACGATGTCGCCATACGGCAGCGGGTTGGCCTTGAAATATTCGAGGAGGTTCCAAGTGGCCTGTTCCATCTGGTCGGCCGTCATGTTAAGCGCGTTGAGAGAGCAGTTCTCGCCGGCCCTAACACAGGTCTGAAAGATTTGGGAGAAAGTATCATCTGATGCGGTCCACTCTTGGTAGTCGCTGGAACCATTAAAAGGCATAAGTATGAATATCTGGACCAGAGAGAGTGAGATCTTACGCTAGTGCACCATGATACTCCCAGGGGTTTTGAACGCCATCCAGAATCATCTTGTCAATTTTGTCTGGAAACATAGCGGCTACAGTAGCACCCAGCGTAGTACCATACGAAAATCCTATTCGTGCTTTAGTATCACATATACAGACCTTGCGTAACGGGTGTCAGTCTTACCCCAATAACGTAACATGCCATCATCATCCAAAGCTTCCGCTATATTGATAAGGTCCCGCGCCGTGAAAGCGGTGCTCACCAGGCTACCATTCACTTGCGCGTTTTGGTAGCAATGGCTGGCGTCTACCCCAGCTCGTGCCCAGAGAAACGCTGCAGAGTTGTCCGAGGAATTGCTGGTCCGACTCCAATCGGAGATGAATCGGACAACTTCAACTTCGTTGGAGAAGCAGTTGAGGTTGAGAGTGTTCTCAGTTCCACTGATTGAATATAGTGCGAGTTAGCATTGATGCAATGGCCCACGATTTCATCAAGGTCGACCACAAACCGCACGTCAAAAGAGACCAAATCATATTCGCCTCCCGTCATTCTTTATATCAATGTCAGTTTACATTGTGCAAAGTGATCCTTCACGCGAGAAACTTACGGAAGTATGTCTGCAACGAGTGCAGCAAAATTCGACCGTCCTGGCTCGCCGGGACCACCAAAGTTGAACAGAATGCTACCTTTTCTGGACTGCGCCACGGCTGGCGTTCTGATGAGCTGCAACTGGAGCTGCTCGGAGCTGTTGAGCGCTGTGTAGTCGAGGGGGACCATGAGGGTGCCGCATTCCAAATTGCTAACATCAGTGTTGCTGAAATCCGCGCGGTTGCAAGACTTCCATTGAATGCCATTGGACCTATAAACGCGGGCGTCGGCGGTGCCGAGCAGCGCAAGAGCTGCCAACATGGATTTCAACACGTCCATCTAAAGCAGAAGTTGGGGATTGACAATATCATATACGAGATATCAAAGTCGTGAAGGGTTTTCTTTCCTGCTTGAATGAAATTGTACGTTCATTTATATGGTGGGAGCTTGTTAATTTATCTACGTCTCTTTTCGATTGACTGTGAGCTATGTGATGGCTCATCTCATTTGAACCTTTACTTGAATAGGAAATAAGAAGTACTGCAGTACTTTCTCACAAAGTGGCGACCAAAAGGAACGGAAAGGCAGAATCCTACATTCAGCTGATGGTCTCAAGTCCAGTACCTTAACTAGATTTGGTAATGATTACCGTGGAAAGGATTGGGCTAAGAACAAGACTGAAGCCAGAGATTGACGACTCGCTCGCACCATTTCCAGAAAAAAACGCATTACACGTTGTCCCTTGATTATCAAAAAAAAAAGAAGAAAAAGAAAAGAAAAGGAAAAAAAAGAGCAACCAGTGAGATTGATAGAGTGTATGATACTCCCCTGAAGCAACATCGAAATTTCAAGCACCCACTCTCTTCCTTTGATTCAGCTTCATTATTGACTTGTTACTTGTGAAAAATGGGGCATATTTAACCCTAACCCTCTGTTTTAGTCTCCTCATAAACCATCTCAGAGCCTAGTTTAGTTACTTAGAAGATCTTCCTTTTGTATTAGATAGATTCAATCTCAATACTCATTCAGCTACTTTCACGTGCTCAGCTCATACATTTCTCCTTAGTTATAAGCTCGGTTTGCAAGAATCAGGTTTAATCTTCCTCTTATCTATCGAAACAGACTAAGCTATTCACTTCTTATTCTTTCAGAATACATCTTTTGTTCCAAATAGTTATACTTATATTCCATCAAAGCCTATAATAGAGTGCAAATCTAACGATCTTACGCTCTCGGTAAAGTGCATTAATATCTACTTCTTTCTATTCTAGTATAGCATTTTGCAATTCCAGAGCAAGGGAAAGAGTATTTGAAAGTATTTAGATCTAGATAGCTCAGATGCATTCTTTCTCGAATCTAAAGATTTCAATCTTAAGTTCTCCAAGTTTACTCAGAATCTTAAGAAGAAGTATAAAAATACTATAATGAAGAACTATAAGCTACTTTTTATCCAGAAATAAGCTATTCTCTATAATTAGGAGATAAAATACTTTTAGCTTTATTAAAATAAGCAGTTGCATGCTTATTAGAATATATAGAGAATATGGAACTGGATTCAGAAAATAGTATCTTTATCAGTTCTTATTTCTTATATGCATATCTATTCAGAAAAGAAGTTTCTTTCAATTTAATAAGTGCTTAGAAATCTGAAGAAAGACTTTTATTCATTCAAGAAGAGCATAAAACAAGTTGTTTGCTTTCAGTATCACTATTATCTTGAGCTAGCTACCAGGCAAGGCACCGATTTTCAAAACTGGTGCTAGCAGCACTAGGATCTCCTGAATCTAGCTCGGATTTACAGCATTAACGAAGTTGAAGAACTTCAGAGCTTTAATAACTTCCTTGCTGCTATTAAAGTTCGCTTCCAGACAGAGTAAGCTAAAATGCAACAACATCTTCTCGCTACAGCATCTGATAATAGTCTGCCTATCAAAACTATCAAATAGCTTTAACGAAATCTCGCTTTAATCTACTAACTTCAGCCTGAGCAGAAAAAAGGCTTAATAATATTCGCTATTATAAGCAGAAAGAACTTATAATCTAGCAACTCAGATACAAAATCTGAGAAGAAATAAGATAAATCTTCCAGCTAAAGCAAAAAGAGAGATTATAAATATCTCTGCAAGTTATATTAAAAAAAGCATAAATAGAGCTCTATAAGCTGCAGAAAGCTGAAGTATGCTTATATTAGAATTAAGCTAGATTCAATCTTCAAAGCTCTATTTAATAAGCAAAGAAAGAAGATTCTCTCTAAGCTAGCTAGCAAAAACTATTAGAAGCTTTATTCAAACCTTATTAGAACTAAATAGCTTCTTCAAAGCTGAATAGAAAGAATCTTATAAAGAATAGAAAATAATAGAAATCTCTATCCAAGCATTATTAAGTGCTAGAATCTCTTAACTATAACATTAAAATATCAGATTCAATACCTCTCAAGCCTGAAATAAAGCACTCTTAGTTCCTCTAAATAAATACTATCTTCAACTCTCAATTCTTCAACTAAGCAGTATTGCTATAAGCAAGTATAGCAATCTTCTTAATACTATTTCAAATACCTTATATCCTTTCCCAAAGCATAGTTCTGAATAACTATAGAGCTGTATACTTCGTTAATAGCATTAATCTTCTAAAGCTAAATATCTTTTCTTTCTCAAGAAATATAGAAGTTGTAAAAGCAGGGAGCTTATTATTACTAATATGAGAATTCGGAAAATAATGCTTCAAAAATGTACTGAATAGAAGGCGAGAGAAACGTACTAAGAATCTAGTTCTTAACTATATAGCAGTTATAAATAGCTTTCATATCAACATAATCGCTAAAGCTTTCTTATATAAGAAAGGAATCTGATATTATAGCAAAGATAGCATACTGCGCTCAGAAATGCTTAAATAAAGCGCAGTAATTGCAAATCTATACAGAGAGTTCAACTTAATCTTTTTCAAATATATTTCTTTTGCAAACTCTTCCTATTCTCAAGCTCTAGCTATACTGCTATACAGCTGAGCTAGCATTCTTGTATTCTCAATTCTAAAAAGAAACAAGCATTCTTATTCTTTATATAATAAAACATTTGAAAGAAGTAATTCAGAGTATCTTTAGCATCTAAGATTGAAATATCTGAATACTAATGCTCTGAAGAAGCTCGTTTATTCAGTTCGTAATATTAGAATCAACAGAACCAGACGAATTAACTGTAAATACTGTGCTCTAGAGCGCATTACAAAGATCATTCAATATATAAGATTTAAATACTATAGCTTTCAATCATTCTAGTGCATTAATTAGGATTTCCTTAATTATAACAAAGCGCAGAATAGCTCAAAATAGGCTCTTATATTCAAAAACAAGTATAGTAGCAAGTTATTTGCCTTTCCGATATCTAATAAGGCACAATTTATAATATTCGATATGCTCAAGTTATTCGAAACCTAAATATAATGCTAATATCGCTTCTTTATTTGCAAAATCAGATAGAATACAGACTTTTCAATTATAAAGAAGCTATATGAAACAATATATATATAATAGTGCGCTAATAACAGCATTAATCTGAAGATTACTTCACTACGCATGAAAGAGTTAAATAGCGCTGCTAAGCAAGCTGAGCATGAAATTCAGAAGCATACGCTAATTCTTCTATTATCAGCCAAACTACTGAAAGATCTATAGCTAGAGTATATAAAAGCAGCTACTTAGCTATTCAATATCTCTCTATTCATGCTTAAGCACTCCGAAATACCAAATTCACTTCTGAATAGCTAGTTCAAGCAGTACTTTCGTTAATATACGCTGGAAATAGTTAGAACAGCAGTCTCAGATCTACAGCCCAACTGAGCTAGAATCTACATATATAAATGCTAAGCATATATTCTGCAAGAAAAATGCAAACTTAGTTCTCATAAACAGAATATAAAAACAGAACTAAGAATACATAAGAGCTATCTTATAAAATATATTGCAAGCAATTTATATTGCATATAGCTTCTAATACTTGCAAGAATTGCAATTATATATAATATTCTATTCAATAAGAGCTAATTCTATAATCTAAATAGCAATAAGGCATTAGAAGCATTATCTTATACTTAGCTAGCATTAATTATTCCAGAAATTAAAAATAATGAGGAAATTATAAATATAATTATTATTAGAAATATATAGAATCCAGTTCTCTAGCCTAATACTACAAATCGAAACTAAGAATCTCATTTGCTATTCAATGAGAATAATAGCCCATTCTCAGAGTTTCTCTTAGAAAGCATTCCGAGTTGGAACTCGGAAATAAGAGCATCTGAGACTAGCAATAGAATGCTCTTGCAAAGCAATCCATTCCAGAGAAGAAGCTTAGAGAATAAGATATAAGAACTTCCAACTCCTGAAAAATCTTCCGAAGCATCGGAATAAACAGATTAGCTAGAAAGGAGCGCTGCTACAAGTAGCAAGAATATTTCAGCAATTGAATAAGTATTTTCAAATACTAAATAATAAGCTACTAGCATATCTATTGCTTAGAATATAAGCTAGCCTGCAGCGTAAGAATACAAGCCTGATTAAGCTTTAATCAGATATTATTGAATAAGGAATGAAATCTATAAATCTCAATTCATACAGCATTCAAACAGAGTACAGAAATTAATCAATAAAGCTTGTTAATACTAAGAGTTATTTGCTATAGCCTTTGTAACAAGCTAAACAGCTCTAATAAATCTCATAACTATCTTTTTGCCTGATCAGCTAAAGAAAGCAATCAGAATATGAGATAAATATTTTCAAACCATATATAGTATGATTGCAGCTGCTATACTTGAAGCAAACTCTATATGCAGAGAAGCCTTATACTTGCAGCGAAAGTACTTTAATGCTCCTCAGCAAGTTACAGAGCTAGCAATAGCTAAAAAGAAGCATCATAAACAACTACTACCCGAATCTGAAATCTGGAAAGAAGTACAAAACAGTTCTTTCTATACTGAATAGTAAAAAGCAATGTAATTAGAAATCCAGGAACTAGTTAACAAAAGAATATAGCAGACTCTCGAGTATAGAAAAGCTAAAAAGAAGCTATTACTACTTAAATAAGTATATAGATACAAACTTAATAAGAATAGTTACTTAATCTTATTTAAAGCTTGAATTTGTATACAAGAAGATCTGCAAAAAGCAAGCAATCTTTAAAATATGTATGCAGCAATGCTAGCTGCATACTCCTTTTGCATACTTATAACTGTAGCAGTATATTTCAATCTAGAAATCAACTAGATAAATATTACTGAAGTATTCCTGAATGCTAGCAGGGAAAGCTAGGAAAGCGTTTTCTATAAGCTGCTTAATAGATTCAAGAAGAAAGGGAAAATTGTGCTTCTGGAAAAGGTATTGTATAGCTTGAGAAACTCGCTAGCATTCTGATACAAGCACTTCTGCTTAATTCTGCAAAATCTCAGCTTTACGCCTTTAACTGAAGAGCTCTGCATATTTACTAATAAAGCAAACAAGCTAATTATTCTATTCTATATAAACAATATTCTGCTATTCTATTTGCAGAACTAGGCATTAAAAGCATGCAGAGTGAAGAAAGAAATCTTCGAGGTATATGAGATAAAGGATTAGAGAGCAGCGGAATGGTTCTTGGAAGTTCGAATTATTAGAAACAGAGCTAATTATATGATTAGCCTGATCTACAATGCATATATTGAGAAAATAGCTAATAAGTTTAGTCTTATAGCTAATACAGCTTTAATATTTCCAATGCTTCTGAATCTTAAGAAGCTTATTAAATGAAAAGAGAAAGTATTAAAAAACCAAATTAAGAAGTATTAGAAGAAGATTGGATCAATTCTGTATACTGCTATTATAATAAAACTAGATATAGCTTTTGTATGCATTCTTCTCTCCAGATTTTTAATAAATCTAGAGCTAAAGCATCTGGAATAAGCAAACAGAGTAATCTATTATCTGTACAAGACAAGATTTCTAGCAATCCAGTATAGAGGAAGCTATTCTAAAGCTTAAGCTCTGCTAATCGCTGAAGATGCTTTCTTTGCTAATAATGCAAAGAACCGAAAATCCTTACAAGGATATATCTTTAGCTTATTTGGAAATCCTATATAATAGAAAGCAACAAAGCAAAGCTTAGTAATCATCTTAACTATAAAAGCTGAACTATATGCTCTTTTAGCTATAGCTAAGAAAACAATCGCCTTACAATGCTTCTTTCGAAATCTTATTTTAAATCTTAGTAAGCTCTAAAATATCTTCTGTAATAATCAATAAGCTATACAGCTAATAGTTACAGAGTATGAAAGGATAAATATAAAGCTCTGCTATATGAATATATACTAAATGTAGCTTAAGCAGAAATTTTAAAAGAGCAAATTTCAGATCTTATATATACTAATACAAAGCATACTAGCTAATAAACTAACCAAGAATCTCAATCGAGCGCAGTTCGAATACTTCAGAGCGCTCTTCAATCTTTAGAATATTAGCTATATTTTAAATTAGAGAACTAAGAAGAAATCTAAAGAGATATAAATAAGCAACTCAATCTTACATTAGCTTCTTTTAAATACTCTTAATTACTAAATTTTATTTATCAAAATCAAAAACAAAAGCTTATAGCTCAGGAGTATCATTCAGAAACATACAAATCAAGCATGCAGCTTTTATCAAACAACGAACTAAAGAATTTAATTACAAAAAAAACTCAATTATCTATCAAAGCCTAAAGCATATCTAAGCTTAAATAGAGCTTACTTCTTAGATAGAGAATAAAGAGTAGCTAATACTGCTTCAATATCAGCTTTAGCTTTCTTATACTTCAGATACTATTTACAGTAAGACTTAACAGAATGATTATCAACAGAATGCAAGATAGACTGAACAGCAGCTTATTTTCCCTTCTTCTTAGCTGAAACTACAGCCTTCTTCTTCTTAGCAGAGCATAAAACTGCCTTCTTATAATTAGCTTCCTGCTTAGCAAGAAGCATATTATGCTCTTCCATAAGCACTTCAATCTGCTTCTGCAGCTTATCAACCTTCGAAAACTTGCCTGCTTCAAAATGCTCAAAAGCAGCTTTCTAAGCCTATACAGCATGCTTGGATCGGATTCCCAGAGAAGCAAGGTTGAGAATAAAGTTTTCCTTCTCTACTCCAGTATGTATCCTTTTCTTCAAGAGCATAGAAGCATTCATCTTCTTAGCAGAAGCAAGCATATGCTTAGCTATATAAAGCTTATCTATAAAAAGCATAAGATAGAAAGAGATTGGAATATACTTGTAATTCTTCGAATACTAAGCATAGCAAGCAGCAGATAAATTCTTCTGATTATAATAGAAACCATCAGAGCTGCTTGCAGCCAGATTCTTAATACAGCTAATATATGAAACATTGCAAACAGCACCCCAGAAAGCATCGTCTTAGCTTTTCGAGAAATCTGCAGCAGGAGTATTGGAAGAGATAGCTACTGGAAAAGTCTTTTTAGCTTGCAACTGAGGAATTCTTAACTTAGCAGCATTTTCAGCAGCTATATCGAGGCGCTTCTGCTAAAGCTTCTGCATCAATGCATCCTGGAATCTCAAACAAGCTATATCCTGCTCAGTAACAAGCCTTGTTACAACTAGTCTAAAACTTGAAAAGCTACTAAAAGCTTAAAAAAGAGTTAGCTAGATAAACATTGGAAGAAAAAGCAGTACAAATCTACAGTCTTAAGCGCCTTCTGAAGAAGCATAGAGCTATTTTCATTATTATTATCATCATCATCAATAAACAAGCTAGAAATCTCTATAGAACCAGCATTAAAGCGCTTAGAAAAACCAATACCAACTGAATCGGAGGCACTATCAACCAAAGAATGCAAAATCAGAGTATTAGCATAAGCAGCAAATAACTCAACTGAAGCTTGAGAACTTGAAGCAGGCAGGCTAGACTGCTATTCCTGGAAACAAGAACAATTAGTTCAGCTTATACCAATCTCCAAATAGCTCTTTCTATACTTATATTAGGAAGAGAATGCTAATCAGCAGTTAGAATCAAGACAAGCTAAACAGAGCTTGCACTCTTCTCTGTAGCTATCAAGAAATCATTATGCAACTCAGATATGCTAGCAGGAAAGCTAAGATTTGCATCTAAGAGATCCTCATCAGTCTTCATATCGGAAGAAGAATTAGAAGAGGCTATATAGATCTTGCTCTTAGCAGAGTTGCTATTATCGGAAACAGCTATACTAAGCTCGCTAAGAGGAATAGAAACATTAGACTCGCCTAACGAGAAATCTGAAGTAACTAGAAGAAGCATATTAATACGCAAAGGCTTTCAAAAACCTTAAAAACAGATAGAAAAAGAGCTAATTGAAAAAGAAAGAGAACTGGAAGAAGGCAAGGCGACTGTAAAACGCGCTTATATAAGCTTAAATGCATTTGCAGAAACTCTACAAAAAACTCACTTTTCTGGCATATCTAACCAGTCAGATGGGGGGTGTGTGAAAAATGGGGCATATTTAACCCTAACCCTCTGTTTTGGTCTCCTCATAAACCATCTCAGAGCCTGGTTTAGTTACTTAGAAGATCTTCCTTTTGTATTAGATAGATTCAATCTCAATACTCATTCAGCCACTTCCACGTGCTCAGCTCATACGTTTCTCCTTATTACTGAAGCTGTTTCTGCAAACTGCCAGTAACACACATATTCAGTCGTTATAATTAAGCAGTGTGAGTAGTTGGGCATAGCTCTGCACAAATTTCTTGGTTCTTAATACAGGATAGATCTTGACGAGCAGTACATCAAATGGCTCTTCCTTCCCACCACAAATAGGATTTCCGAGACGAACCTTAAGAGCATTGGACATTCACCAATAGGAAACGTTTGTGGGGGGAAATGTCTTGTTCGCATTGTTGGCCAGGTGTAGCTACCTATCAAAAAAGGAAATGAACAGGAATTTGACCAGTCCTCAAGCACAGAATACCCCTTTTTATGCCCTCACAGCCGGCAGTCTCATCTGACCGATGGCCTTCCAGTCATCTTTCCCCGCAACATTTTCATGGACTCCTCTGTAAGTGGTCATCTAGCACTGTGCCGGCAGACCTACTCGAGTCTCTGTCTGCGACAGTGGCCACCGTTGTGTTTGGCCGTAGCTGTAGAAGCCGCAATGGTCTCCTTTCCAGACGACGAAGCTGCAATCAACATTGAAGTGGACAGAGTGACGACAGATGTATGTGATGTCGTGGCTGAAAGTGAGGCGGAGGACGCTGGTATGGTGGCGCTCAATAGGTTGGTAGCCTCGGACTGGACAGCCTGCCTCGTCGATGCGGCGGACAAAGACTGGGTGGTGGCAGTGTTGGTGAGCGGGGCGGAGGCAGACGCGGCAGTATTATTTGCGAGCGTGGCAGCGGTGTCGCCACGGTACAGTAACGAGCCCCATCCTAATCCGTCGTAGTTTCCCGAGCCCTCGCCCAATGAGCCTGCTCCTCCCTCAAAACCTCCATAGGCGTTGAGGGTATAGTTCAAGTACTCCGCTGTCCAGGGCGCGTCTAGCCCCTTGACTCCAGTATAATGGCTGTACAACAGCTCCCATGTTGGGCGTGTCGCTCCCCGGGAGGCGTTGCTGATTGTCGAATAGCTCACTATACCGTTGGTGTAGTTCTCGAAGGGGACGTCGTAACCCAGGTTGTACCGGGCAAAGTATTCGGCACTGTATCATCTCCCGATTAGTCTAGTACGCGGCTCACTCCAGAGCTCGTTTCAACACTCACCCTTGGAGAATACGGCTGTTGTTGAAGGCAAAGAGGTCCTCGCCTTGGTTCCACGCCTGCTGAGCGATAGCTGCAAGGAGTTGGAAGTCAAGCACGGAGTGGCCTTGATCACGACCCTCCTCCTGACCCTGGCCGAGGAGATTGCCCGTTTCTGGTTCCACGACAAGATTCGTGACCGCATGATTGATCGCGCCATTTCCCGTCCCGTTTTTGAGATAGTTCACGGCGAAGTCCCATGCTGTAGTGTTGTCCGTGAGAACGCCAAAGGCCATCATGGATGCAATGTTGGCAAGTTCCCAGTTGGCAAAGAAGTGGAGTACATTGTGTTCAGCTGGATCCTCGTGCCGGAGGAACAACTCGTTGAGTGGAAGGAAGACATCGTGCAGCATGTCGGTAACGATGGACAAGTTTGCAGCGAAGGGTTCGTAGTCGCGCAGCAACTCAGCAGCATTGGCCAGCTCGTATCCTTGCAGACCAGAGGTGAGGTATTTGTCCGATCCGCCACCGCCAAGCGTCGTGAGTGTCTGCCCCCACGAGGTCAGAATCCAGCCGGCAGTGTCAGCATAGGAGTCGTTCCCTGAGATCTTCCAGCGCAGGCCCAGGGCAAAAGCGGCAGCAATGTCATGCCACAACAGCTCTCCGTTTTCGGCATTAACACCGTCCGCGCTCCGGTAGATGGCGCTGACAGCATTACTTTGGTACGAAGCATCCGCGAAGGAAATGCTGGTGAGTTCGTTCCATGAGCTCAGCCAGGGGTCCAGACCAGCAGCAATGTTAATCTTCGCACGGGCTAATTCTGAGTCTGTGACCAGCAGACCTGGGTGGTTGAATGATACGACAGACTGAAAGAAAGGAAGTAGGAAAACACACGAACGAGGCATGTTGAAGGATCGGCTTGCCATCTTGAAAGACAGACACTGAATAGTAAAAATAAAGAAGATAGTAAAGAACGGTAAACTGATGCTCTCATGCTTCAACGGGAAGGTCTGCACCCGTGCGCCATGATATACTCAATAATTGGAATGTGCTTTGTTCACATCGTGCCCTTCGGCGCGAGCACGAGTTCTTTGCTTATGTATGAACATAACCTACCATATGGTCGTACATAGTCAGCCATGCCCACAGCGTGTCGACGAGGGATTCTGCTAGTTCTAAGCAGGGCTTTATGGAGATGCTACTGGGATGCGTGAGAGCAATTCAATACGACATATTGGCCTCCTGAGCGACTGGGAGGATCGTGTCGCTCCCCTATCGGCAGCAGCCGTTGGTTTAGTACGTGCTGTAGGCAGCATCGAATCCAATCTGAAACAGTAAATGCCGAGCCGAGATTGCAAGGAAATTAAGTCTAGTAGCACCACACCATGCTAAACTTCATAACTATCCATTCTAGCAATTACAGGAGCAGACGATCCCCAGTATTTAATAGTCAATGTGGGCTGACGTCTGGTGTTAATTACTATGGTATGATGGGTAATATTGGGTACCCTGGCCAGGTTCTGTGGAGCTTTATTCGCTGCGGCCCCCAGGTACAGTACTATGTAGTTGAATGGCGGGATACCATCAAGAGGGTACAGCAGCACACAAGACGCACGGGCCACAAAGTACGCGACCAGGGTGACTTTTCTTTCAGTATGAAACCATAGTAGTACGTACTATCCACACTGTGGGAGATGGACAAAAGCCGTGGAGATCTCGGGCTGTTGTGTGAACGAGACTCCGGCGCGCAGCTGCAGCTTCATAGCCCAGCTTAGTCCTAGCCACGAGTCTAGATAGGTGAATATTTACTAAACAGCAGGCAGCAATGTGTTTGTCACTGCCCTCGTTTCTATGAGTGTTCTCGCAAATGCAATCATTTAGTCAGGTTCTAGCGAGATGCAATAGTGCGCAGCTGCTTCATATGCTGCCCCCTTTGGGTCTAAATGGTACTGGACCGCTACTCTGCGGCGTCGACGTCGGGTGAATTCTCAGCTGCCCAGAAGACCGAGGAATGATTACAATTGTTCGAGCCAAAATTCTCCCGCGGAGTTTTTATTCTCCCGTTGGGTTGGGGGGGGGGGGGAATATACATCCAACATGACACCGAGAAACGCTTTCAACCGAACCAAGGACTTGTAGACCAACCCCTGCTCTGCATATCCTCGTGGAATTGAGAGCTCTGGTAGCAAGGCGAGAAGATCTTTTCACCGTTGAGTCTGAATAATACCGAAAATGCTCGAAAAACACTCTAACAAACTTACATATCAGACGATTTAGTAGGCTTAGTTGTTGCGTTATTGGAAAGATCCCGAAGCGTATTCCAGTTAACAGCTTGTAAACAGCTTGAACAATACTTAGGGATTTACTTAAGTAACTCTTTATATTCCAATGATACAGAATGCATCTGCTTCTATGTTCTGCGAAAGTTTTTTGGTCCTCGTTCCAAAGCACTGCGCTTCTGAAAAGAGCCACACAGCAAAATGACAGTATTATAATACGCTTGAGTATGTCCCGAAACGCACTTAGTTGTTTGTTTAATACCAGCTCAAATTACTCGGCTGATAATATGATGTTTCGCATAGAAACATGCCGGAATAAATAAAGAAAAAGTCTTTACTGAATTGCCCCAAACAGTAATCTTGGCTGCTTATAAAGGCCCGGAGATCCAAAGTATGAATGAGCAGCTATTGTAACACAAGTCAAGAGTGGATCTCGTTGATAACAACACTTGCTGATGACATTTTCGGGCTTTACTCGAGTTCGATAACCTGCTCAAATGTACATGCTCGGGATATGGAACCCGGAGCTTCTTGTAAAGCGGGACTATTTAGACCTGACCAGAGTCTGGCTGGTCTAGCCTCGGAAGCAGAGCTGCGTGAGCAGAACCATAACAACCAGAATATTCATCCAATATCAATTGCATTCAATACTATGGCTTCCAGTACCAATTCCAGTGGGGTGGCTCATATCGCCAACACTGACCTTGGAAGCAAGACCACAGTCAAGATAGTACTCGGCGCCATGACGCTGGGCAAGAAAGGTAGCCGGCCCTCAGCACATTACATCAACGCTTCCTCCCTTTGCCAATCACCACTTTCAAACTCCTACCCCCTCCTCTTTTCCTCTCTGCGTTGAAAAAAGTACACTCATTTGTGATAAATACATTTTATAGGCACTGAAGTAGCCCGTGTGCACGACCTGAGAGACTTCACAATTATGTTGGACATGCTGCAGAAATCTGGGTATAACGAGGTTGACACTGCACGGATCTACGGAGCCTCTGAGGAGCTTCTCGGCCAACTAGACTGGAAAGGACGTGACATAGTAATGGGCACGAAGCTCAGCCCCCGCCGGTCCGGACCCAACCCATACTCGCACAAGACAAAAGACCTTCAGCGAGGCCTCACAGACAGCCTTCAGGCGCTGCAGACCGATACGGTCGACTTGTGGTATCTGCACATGCCAGACGTATGAGGCCCCCCCCCTCCCCCCGGCGGAAAAGATCCCCCACTCTCTCTGTCGGAATTTTTTGAGGTACCTGCTCACTCTCTAGTATGATTGTAGCATGATACGCCGTACAAAGAGACTCTTCAGGCCGTCAACGACCTCTACAAGGCAGGCTTGTTCAAGCGGTTTGGGATCAGCAGCTATGCTGCATGGGAAGTTGCTCAGATCTGCGTAAGCTGCTCTAGTGAACAAATAGTCCTTGATGATCATCAGCATTAGATGAAATGGGCTAAGAGCTGACTCTCCTTGTGTGACTGCTAGGAATTGTGTATCCAAAATGGCTGGAAGATGCCGGATGTCTACCAGGGGTCCTACAACGCACTTCAACGCTCGGCTGAGCCGGAACTATTCCCTTGCCTCCGAGCCTATGGGATCGCCTTCTATGCCTTCAGTCCCCTGGCTGGTGGGATGCTGACGGACAAGTACGAGCGTGATACCACTCAACACGAGCCGGGCAGCCGGTTCGATCCAGCCAAGGCGCAAGGGCGGGGCTTTCGTGGAATGTATTGGAATGAATCTTGTTTTGCTGCTCTGGACATAGTAAGACCGGTAGCACAAAAGCTAGGCCTGACAACTTCCGAGGCGGCACTCAGATGGCTAAGCCACCACAGCTCGTTGAAGGATGACGGCCTTGATGCGATCATCGTTGGCGCAAGCAGTGCAAAACAGCTGGAAACGAACCTGACAAGTCTAGAGAACGGTGCATTGCCGGACGAATTAGTGAAAGCCTTTGACGAAGCATGGATGGTCGTGAAGGGAACATGTGGCCCGTATCATAGATGAACATTGCCTATAAATACTGAAATACAACTAGGATCGTATCTGTACCTACAGGACGGAATATCGACTCTTTTACTGAAATTAGTATGACATAAATTACTTCGAGGCGAAAACATAGGCCACAAACTGCATCTAAGTGGCTTCCACGTCGCCGGGTTGATTATTATAGCGGTGTAAGCTTCAAAAACATCTACGGGCATAGTATCTGGTACATATTTCGCATCTTCTTCAGTGATTTAGCGATGCAGGAGAGTTTCAAAGAAGTTTATTCAGGTGTATAATAGTAGACAACCCATGTTGTACAAAAAGCCCACCCGATGAGATGACGAGAGGGCTGTCAAGACAGAACAGTATCGCCAAAAAAGTTTCATGACTGAAGATTTCGCCGTAAAAAATATAGGCTTTGTTTCTCTTACCGGCAGAATTACTCTCATTTATGATGAGAGATCACGAAAAGACTTGACCAGTTACAACCAGTCGTACTGCCCATAATAAACCTATCTAACAGACGATAGTTCTGGCCTACTGACAGGAAATATCACTCAGTCAAAGCCACTACGCTTTATAACAGAAATTGAAATACTTGAAAGCAACCGATGCAAGATTCCACTCTACGGTAAGCTCAGCTGGAGTATCTGAGTACGAACTCTGCCCATAGTCATTCATTAATACTTGCGGGAGTCGATTGCTATGATCTGTGGCGCTGCAAGGCTTCTGACGAGAGCTAATCTTAGGTAAAGAAATGCTCCCACTCAGAACAGTATCTTCCAGGAAGGTTCAGTCAGCAAGGTATATCGGTCTATTGTCATCCCATGCTCAACTGAACAAGGTGCTTCGGGGTAATCTCCCGCACCAAGTCTGAAACAACCATAATCTTCCATAAAGAATCAATGAATCAGACTGGGGTGGTACAAGATGGTTGAATCGGCCCTTTTGTCCTCCTTCCACCGATTGTCACCTTCTACAGGGAGCCTGCCATATCATCGCAATCCTCATGCTGCCACATTCCCCTCCCTCAAATCCCCGCTCGCGCAACCAGTCTGAAGTCGCCCTGATATCATCGGTGCAAAGTTTTAAGGTGGGGAGACGATACTCATCGCCCTGGTATGAGCACAGCTCTGTCCAAGACGCACAATGGCTCGAGATACCAGCCTTGCCGCTGACTACTGGAGAGACGCTGGCTCTACATACGGTGATGCCTTGCTCTTTTCCACATTTCCCTGCCTAAGCCATATGTGTGTGTGTATGAGATCTTTGCATTCTTTGCTGTCAATAATACCATCATCGTCGTCCTTCCCTGTCACTGTTTGTTCTCCTTCACGAGAATAGTAACAGGCCCCTTCGTAAACGACCCCCTGTCGGCCATTTCTTTCAGCGTTTGGCCGTACATTTCATAGTTACATTCTAAGGATCCAACAATTGAGACCCCCGGTTCTATTTTGACTATCACCGCCCGATACAGGGACTCGAAAGATAGACTATATACTCAAATCAAGAGAGGTCATCGCTTAACACAAGAGCAACAAGAACCTCACTCTGGCTGATGATCTGAGAACTTACAAGATCATCCCATCGAGCAACTTCACCGACTAAGATACCATTGACATTCATTGATACAACAAAAAGCTATACCTAGATTCTATGAAGTGGGATCACGAACGCTTGCGTCAAAGCTTGAAGGAGTTCGAGAATGAGGCTTATAGCAGTAAATGAGGATCACGATCAGCATTACCAAGATTGTCATAGTTATAAAAACAAATGTTGGTTCCGTTCAGTACTCAGGTCTCTGGGCTGAAACTGCGGGAAATAGTGGTGGATTGGGGCGGCGCAGATTAATTGTCACTCATCCATCAGCATGCGCTGAGTCAAACTTCAGCAGGATATCATCACGGCTTATGCATTGGCACTCTATGAGTTTGCAAAGAATATGACGATAATAGCGAGCCTGTGTTCCAGGATAAGCAACCCATATATACGTAGCAATGATCGTGCACCCAGGTTACTGCAGCACACTGCAGGTCGAGCTCGTCCAGAGGCAGAAAGTATGACGAGTGAGACTAAAGAACTTGACAGATTCATGTTCATCCTCGAAATTTCCTCAGAAATTACATTCTCAAGGTCATTTGATCAAGGTTCCAGAGAATATCAGGGATGCAGAACACTTGTTGATCAGCTCTAATAGTCTGATAAGTGAATACTGAAAGAACCAAAGTTCTCTGTCATTTACATCGCCAGCTAATTTTATCCCTTGTTATGCCCTTTTTGCGTTAGTGTCAATCTGGGCAAATCCCGGAAGCCGGACTGTTTAACACACACATGTGAGACAAAGAGCTCGGTGGGGAAAATGGAAGAATGAAAAAGTCCCAAAACGCACTTTCGAATCGGGAGGCCAGCTGAGACTGGAATCTAAGTACAGGCGACGTCACTTATGACAGTAGCTATGCGGCGAAGCCTCTGAGAACAAAGGTAAGACATGCGCGGTCTGCAACTAGAGCGTTTCCCGCCTGTTAAAGCCACTCGGGTCTTGCACTTTCATTTCTCATTTTTTCTTTTCTTTTGTGTAACCTCATTACGGGACAATCAAAGGCCCGAACCTCAAAATCCATCCGAGCCTTATCCTTTATTTCAGGGAATTCACAACACACCAAACGCCCTTTCTTTACACTTCGCACTTTCTGAGTCTTCCTCAGGCTTCTTTCCATCTTTTCGCCGCCATCGAAGCCTGCCTTTCACGCCACCTTGTTCAGTCCTGTATCGTGCGTGCCCTCTGTATCAAGATGGCCTCCCCGCAGGACAAACAGCCCACACCTCCTCCACCACTATCAGCACAACCACAAACGGACGAGAAGCAAGACGCAAAGGGTAATGATGGCGAGACCAACGCGCCCACGGGGCTCAAATTCGTATTGCTCATGCTGTCCGCATTCTCAGCAATGTTTTTAGTATCCTTGGTACGTCACAGAAGCGCTGTGGTGCAGGCAGACCACAAACTCCAAGCACACCCGTCACCCCTACTCTTCACTGGGGATCCTGACTAACAGGTAAACATGGCAGGATAAACTCATCATCTCGACCGCCATTCCTCAGATCACCAATGACTTCCACTCCGAGGACGATATTGGTTGGTATGGAACTGCCTACCTGCTTACGAATTGTGCCTTTCAACTTGTGTTTGGCAAGCTCTACAAGTTCCTCCCCGTCAAAGTGACCTTCTTGTCGTCTCTGTTGGTATTTGAGGCCGGCTCTGCCCTCTGTGGTGCAGCTCCCAACTCGGTTGCCTTCATCTGGGGGAGAGCTATCTCTGGCCTGGGAGCCGGCGGCATCCTCCCCGGGGTTGTAGGTCAATGTCCTCCCTCTGCTGCCCCGTCACCTGGCTTAACACCTTGCTACCTTGCAGATGGTTATTATTGTCTATGCAGTCCCTCTTCACAAAAGGCCCAAGTATCAAGGTGTTTTCGGTGCTATATTCGGCATCGCTTCAGTACTTGGGCCGACTGTCGGCGGTGCTTTTACAACGTACGTTACCTGGAGATGGTGCTTTTATATCAACCGTAAGTCTTGAATGTTGGCAGCCTAGACGGCTCAGTCTTGACTGACGCGTCCGTATCAGTTCCAATTGGAGGTGTGATCATGGTGTTGTTGTTTTTCTTCCTCCACCTGCCCGATCACCCGGGCTCCAACGTGCCTTTCAAGGAGAGGATACGACAGGTCAACGCCCTGGGCTTCGTCTGCCTCGTTCCCGGCATCATTTGTCTCTGTCTCGTCCTACAATGGGGTGGCACTACGTATTCTGTAAGTCTGTGATTGAACGATTCTGCAGATGCATACACACATGTATACATGCGCATTCTATATACTCGGTGCCTGCTGAAGCTGACTGGTTCGGGGTGGCAGTGGGGTGATGGACGTATTATTGGCCTATTCGTCGTCGCCTTTCTGCTCTTGATCGGCTTCATCTTGGTCCAGGTATGGCTCCCAGACCAGGCCATCATGCCGCCGCGCGTCTTTGTGCAGCGCAGCATCGCCGCAGGCTTCTGGTCAAGCTTATGCTGCGGAGCACACCAAACCATATTCTGTCAGTGCCCTACTCAACATTTGGTAGCAGTAATGTTCTCGTTCTGATGCTAGGGGAAAAAATATTCCAGTGTACTACCTCCCAATCTGGTTCCAGGCCATCCAGGGCAAGTCTGCCAACACCAGCGGTATAGACCTCTTGGCCATGGTACTACCCATTGCTGCTATGGCGCTTGCAAACGGTCAGCTGGTTTCCTATACCGGATACTACACGCCATCCTTTATATTCGGCTGTTGCGTTGCTGCTGTTGGTGCTGGTCTGCTGTGTACCCTCGGGGTTCATGCCTCGGAGGGTCAATGGGTCGGATATCAGGTCCTGTACGGATTTGGCCTCGGCTTCGTCTCACAGGCTCCTAATATGGCGGCACAGACGGTGCTGCCGAAGCAGGACGTGGCTATTGGTGCATCGCTCATGTTCTTCGGGTGAGTCATCCATACATATCCCCTCCTCCCCCTCTCTCTCTATGTAGAAGACAGTGCTACCTGTCGTAAGATGAGATATTGGCTGCTTCGTGTTGACACGCCACCCTTCCGCTTTCTCGTCTCAGGCAAACACTATTCAGCGCAGTCTTCGTCTCGGTCGGACAGAACGTTTTTGACAACCAACTGCGAACCCGGCTCGCCAAGGTCCCGGGCCTTGGTTCCGTCCCCGTTCAAGACACCGGTGCCACGGACTTCCTCGACAGCCTGAACAACCAGAACCGCTCTGCGGCACTCGAGGCATATAATGGATCATTGCGTACCGTCTTCGTGGTCGCCATGTGTATGGCCTGCCTCGCTATCCCGGGCGCCCTTGCTATGGAATGGCGTACTGTCAAGAAGAAGGGTGGTCCATCCCCTGCTGGGAAGGAAGGAACCCAGGCGAACGGCCAGGAGATGTTGAAGGCCCCAGGAGAAGCCGGCAACCCAGAATCAACTCCTGTCAAGACCGCCGACGAGGAGGAGGCGGTGGTACAGGAAGGCAGGAAAACATCCGTGACGGCCTCAACAGGAGGCTCTGCCACCGTGCATACTGCTCCCAAGGGCGAGGAATAGACCGTGTTGCGATGCCTGCACCTCAAGAGGAGATTTCTAGGCGCGAGGGTTGCGACCAAGGTGAGGTTTTTGCGGCGATGGCCGAGCAGGCTCTTGGCGGATAGTATGTTGAGAGCAGTGCCTGCTAATACTGGAGGTGGTGGAGAAAGTGGCAGGCTCAAGACTTAATTAATCCTAATGTTAGGTGCTAAGAAGAATGGTGCATGCGTCAGCGCGGCGAGATAGGAGTTATGGCCATGCGACATCACATAATTAGGGTCCTACCGGACACTTAGAGAGCCGGATTTGTGTATTATAGATTTGACCAACGCCACTCAGCGTCCAATTTAGAATAGTTAGGTGTTTCATCGAGCTCCAGCGAGCTGTTTATTCATATTATCTCAGGCAGAGACGAACGAGTCTAGAGCCCACGCAGCCTCTCGCTTTAGACACGTCAGATGCACTGTCTTCCGCCTTCGACCTCTAGCTGCGGATAATCTGGCACCTCCCAGTCCCCCTGCGCTTCAGGCAAAGACCTGTAGAGCAGCTTGTCGATCTTCAATCCGACGAGCGCTCCCATGATCCTATGCATGAGCCAGATCCCGGCCTGCGTCTCGTAGTAGAACAGTCTCGGTATACCAGGGGGTAGCTTCTGCATTTCGGTAACGAAAGGCTTCAACACAGTCTCGTAGCCCCGGAGCGCAGCGCCTACATCGCCTTCGCGCTGCTTAGCCAGCTCTCCTGCTAGGACGAAGGCTCCGACAAGGGCACCTGTCGTGCCTAGTCCTGAGTTTGGGCTAGGGCAGTACCCGGCATCTCCCAGAAGCGCTATGCGGCCATCGTGCCAGTGATCCAACTTGATCTGGGCCGACTCGTACGCGTAAAAGAAGTCGGCATTGTTGAGCATGTTGTCCAATAGCTGATCCGTCTTCCACCCGGCCCCTCTAAAAGCCTCAGCCCACGCCGCCTTCTGCTCGTCAATGCCCTTTGTCATGGACCCGATCAAGTTCCGACTAGGATGCATGATGCTCAAGACTACCTGTGTGAGAGGCTGGTCTCCAGTACGAGTAGCGATGGACCGTCTGCCGGGGGCATTGTACATCTTGGCGATCTCGGGCTGGTTCTCTGCGGCATCTCTCGGGATGTTGAACAAGGCCATGTATACACCCAGAGAGGCAAACGTGCTCTGGTCCTCCTGAGCACCAAAAGCCATCCTACGCGTGCTAGAACGCAGGCCGTCGGCCCCAACAACCAAATCGAACTTGCTTCTCGAGCCATCCGAAAATACAACATCGACACCGTCCCTGTGCTGGTGCATCTCCGTCGCGAATTTGCCGAATCCGTATTGTAACGCCTCCTGCGGCTTCCGCCCCTTGGCAGCCAGCTCGAGGCTCTTCTGGTACAGCACATCCACCAGCTCACCACGCATAATCTCGAGCTCGCTTGTCAGAGCCTGACGGCCTCTGCCCGTCTTGTTCTTTCCCAGCAGCGCCCTGAAGCTACCGTGGGTGTCGACGAGCGCGAGCCCTTCCTCCACTGCGCACCGTGCCCTGATGGCCGGCAGCAGGCCGATACGCTGCATAATTGGGATTCCCTGCGCTCGCAGGTCGACTTGCTGCCCGCCAGTGCGCAGTGCTGGGGCACGCTCGACCACTGTGATGGCGTAGGCGGCGGCGCGTACAGGCGAGGAGAGGAGCATGGCAGCCAAAGCCGTGCCTGCGACGCCCGCTCCATTGATAAGGATCTTGAAAGCCATAGGTACGACTGGTTCGGCTCTTGTGTTCGCTCAACTGTTGAAGACGTCTGGAAACTTTGTCGGCCTATCTATGACGCTGGGATGTTTTCCTGCGAGATTTCGATTGCTGTCAGTGCACAGGCAGGCAAGGTCAAGAGATAATTCTTGCGTTGCTCCGTGAGTATCAGACGGCAGGGTTTTGTTTTTGGTTTTGGTTTTTTGAATGACTGGCCAATATTATTACCAACCCTCTGCATCCAGCTTGAAACGCCAGCTGGCCAGTGAAAGCCTATCGAAGCCGAGCTGCCGTCGCACAGGCCAACATTGGAAGAGGTAAGACACAATTACATAATGTTCTCTCCCATCTGGGAGTGACACAAACCATCATAGCGGCGTCATAGGATCTGCAGTATTCCTTTTGATCCGGATGATGCAGAAGCATGGCCTATGTGCTGCTGTAGTAGCGGTGTTGTACAGCGGACGAGCTCTCTTCGCGGTACACTGGCGACCTTAAATTTCGTCCGTTGGGAAGACAACCAGCTCGCTATCATTGAGTTTTGGACATTTCGTGCCGCCATAACTACGAACCTCCAGGTAATTGTTACGCAGAACGCAGAGACAAATCCTCTATTCATGTGCTCTAACGGTCTCGGGCTGTCTTCCATACACATTATTCCAAGACCCTCTCGAGGTTTCGTTTCTATCATTACTTCGCGTCTATGATACTACCATCAATCATCCCTTAACCCTCATCTCAGTCTGCTTTCATTAGTGATTCCCTTCGAGCCTCCCCAATGTCAATGCCGAACCTTTGGGAGGCCTGCGGTGCCCCGTCATCCTTATCCCACCAACCCAAACTGAACAGCCAAGAGCCCCATAAATACCTCTGACGAGACCGATTGTTGCAAGTCCTTGTATCTGCCAAGGCCTCGCCGCACATCGTGCTACCAGCGAGCAGCGCCGCCATACCTGCAATGCTGCAAGGGTTGTGCGGCAACACTTTCTTGGTGTCCATGATCAGATACGCCGCCAGGCCACATGCTGACATTGTACCAAGTATAATCTGCAGCAACAGCTTGGATGGTGTGTTCTGCCGGAGCACTGCCCGGTCTGGGTCGATCCAAGTCGCCTCGTACTTCACAGCGCTAGCCTGCTCGGTGACGTTGAGAGGTACTCGCATCATCAATGAAGCAACCTGCGCCATGTATTGTCGGTATACCGTCTGGACAGCATCTAGGTATCTCTCGCGGTTCTGTGGTCCCCATAAGTCCTCGGGGGGCGTCCCTCTGCTCAAAAGCAGAGCATAGAAAGCGTCAATGGAGTATTGATCGTTTGGATACTCTGCCATAGCTGCAGCGTCTACCCCTCCAAAGTCGAAATTCCCGTTCCAAATAGCCACCTTCATGTTCAGCTCCGCTTGGGGGCGCCAGGAAAATGCAGTCTGGCCGTCTGGCCCGCTTGAGAGATACTCGACCGAGGACTCGTCCGGAACAGCTGATATGACTGCGAAGTCTGGGACGCTCAGGCTGACGTTGGTCTGCACTTGCGCCATAAGCTGATAACAGGACATGATCGAGAAGTCTGTTGGTGATGATGAAAAGTTGGTCCGTGATGATGAGAAGTCGGGTGGTGTTGGTGATGGAAAATCAGGTGGTGATAGTGGAGAGTCGTCAACGCCCGAGTAGTTGCCGAAGGTGAACGCCAGCGACGGGCAACCAGGAGGGCTATTCTCCTGCCCGGGGTACTCAAACTCTCCGAAGCTAGGTGTTTCTCCAGGGTGCAAATCTAACATCTGTCCGATCCAATTATTACCACCTTGCAGCCATACTGCCACAGACCACTCGATGCTCGACGTACTGACGTTGCAGGTGGCTGGCGTCTGTGTCGAGCTATCGATGAAAATCGTACTCCTTAACGCGTCGAAGCCGACGCTTGTCGTGTTTGCCTGAACAAGTTCGCACTCTAGCTCAGCTCTTAGAGCAGGCAAGATAAGATTGATAGATCTCTGTGACGACGACGATATTCGCTCTGTAGTGCTTGAGGACAGATTCAACATCGGGATAGTTAGCTCTAACGTAGTCCAAGCCGGATATGAGAGGTTTAGCATCGCGAAGCTGGGCAGAAGAGCGGCGGCGCCCCCGTCTTCGGTCAAACTATTTGGCCACGAAGGATCAAAGCGGTCGACCTGCAAGACAGATAGTGACACAGGCCCGGGGCTGCTGTCGACAACGAAGAGACCCGATGCTGCGATGGTGAGGAAGCTCCCAATAATTGAGGCAAACATTGCCAGTGCTGCCGGCCAGTGATGATGCCGCAGAGCCGAAAGCAGAGACACGACTGCTACTTGTCCGAGCAGGTTCTCATCAATACTTTCGCTTGCCTTGGCCTTGCCCTTTTTCAGTCTTGCAAACGGGGTCAAGAGGACCAGGTTGAACTTGAAGGCGTCGTATAGAAGCGCAACGCATATAAACACCGCCGATGGAACAATTCTCGTTCCAAATGTTGCCAAAAGACTATGCGGAGAGTCTAGGATTATGATACCCTCTGGGCGACTTGAAAGACGCTGCAGAGCTTCTAAAACCGTAATGATCACTATTGGTAAAGTAAAACTGATAATGGCAAGCCAGAGACGTAACGGTATCGGTGTCCACCACGTGATATCTCCGGCCGTCGGACTTTTCCGGACAGCTTCACGTAAAACATTGCTGCTTGGTGTGATGCAGAATCTATCATTCCAGGAGCATCTAGCTTCGCTTTGGAAATTGTAGAGAGCGATGGACTCAGCGATGTCATCCGCTTCTGCGTGGCCGCAGTGACCAAGTAAACCCTGAACCTCAGGACTTTGGGATAGGATAAATGCAGTTCCTCCGATGGTCCCCAGTCTACATGGAGAGACATCCTTTGGCCGAACAAACACCAGGCTTATCCCTGCTGCTGCGAGGAGTAAAAACCCGGCGAACATTGTCCATGACGCAAGGGACGACACCAGAAGTCTCGCTGAGATTGAACTAGCCCTTCCCACCAAAGGGCCCGAGGTGTTTGTGATGAGGAATGTGTTGGCCACTTGTACCCCTATGTAAGTGAAGGTGTCTGCTGCTGCTGCTGCCATTTTGGAGTGGTTGCCCAAGAGGTCTTCAAAAGTTGAAGCGTTGGCCAACATTGCCAATATATTGAAGAAAGTATCAGGTTCGTCGATTCCAGCCGACTCAACATCGCCAAATAAGTCAGCGATATCATCGGCGTCGTAAAGCACACGCTGGGCGTAAATGCTTTGTGTAAGATTCTCGAGCAGTCTGTTATTGCTACTCTGGCTGTTGATAGAATCCACAGTAACTGCAGCGGGTGTTTGTGAAAGGTCGTATGTCACGTTCGCCCTTACCATGAGGTAGGAGATATTGCATACAACTGCGGTAGGCGGCATGATCTGGAGAGCCCAATTTCCTGTTGTACTGTTCTTTTCGTATCTATAGGCAGCTGAGGGAATGTACGACTGATTGTATCGTAGGTCGTATAACGTAACGAGCCCCCATGGTGATGCGCTCATAGGGGGGCATTGAACGATACCCGGACTACCGTATAGTTTGCGGCTGGAATTGGCATATGGGACAAAGCTGAGGTCTGCTGGCTGCATAGAAGGACAGGAATGCCACGAAACGTTGGGACTGATCGGGAGGCCATCGCCAATCAGGGTACTTATGTTACCAAAGGTTACATTTGCTTCCTCGCATTGATTGAGGGGTTGAAAGGTGTCCACGGTAGCTTCGATGGATGACAATATGCCGTTCAAAGTTGCGTCGGCAGGAAGCTTGAACCGTTGAAAGGCCAAATTCCACTGGATGCCATCTGGGAATGGTAGACCCTCCGTAAGAAGCGCGTACGCTTCAAAGTCAATCACAGACTCCAATACAGAATTTTGGTCGCCAGTCCTCAAATATTCATCGACAACAAACTCTGAGTCAAGCTCAAGGGCGATGTTGTTGTACACTGTTTGCGAAGGGCCAGACGCCAAAAGACCAGTGGAAGCTACCGTGACAATTTTCAGTGTTAAGCCACCCAACAGGGAGAGAAAAACGGGTAAGTGCCTGAAGCGCACCGCTTTGCAAAGATTATTCGGGAGGATAGGTGATACGTAATCGAGAAGCAATGTTCGTTGGGCAGGTCCTGGTCGATTCTTCAACTCGCGCCATGGCTGGAGCACCTTGCACCAGTATTCGATTTGCGTCCATATACTTCCAACAATCGTCAAAATAACTGTAGGTCCGTATGTCCAGGCATAGTGGTTCGTGGTTAAGACGGGAAAGCCATGGTCTCTGATGGACCATTGTCGTAAAATGATTGTTATGGTAGCGAAAATTGCTTGTGATATGCAGAACGAGAGAAGGGCGGAAGTTGATAACCAGGATGGGTTCCAGTATTGCAGTTTCTCGGCTTTTATCGACTTGTCGCTCTTGGGACATGTTTGGGGGAGTACATGCTGCTCATGTTCAGCCCAGGCCTGAATGGGTTCGATGGAGTCAACAGTTCGTAGCATGGTCGGTCCTGTGATATTGCAGTCCTCATCTACTTCCACTGCAGCATAACCGTCTCGGTCTTGTTCGATTCTGGGCATGTATGGGGACCCTCTGCCGCAAATAACCGCAAGATCCTCGCCGTCGATGGTCCGATGGCCCGAATATGAGTTGCTTGGTCGCTCATCATCAGACCGACTGAAAGTCCTTGGAAATAGTTGAGTGACATCATTCATGAGAGATCTTTCGTCCTCTAATCTCGGGCGATGATCGCAGACTGCCCCAGCAAGACTACAGATGCCGTGCGAGGTATCGGAATCATGAGGAGACTCTGGCATCATGGGTGCTTGGTTGTGTCTTTGTATTGACTGTTGCGAAAGACTCACCGCGTAGCGGATATCTTTTACCAGGTTGCAAACGTTGCAGGTATTAGTGGGCCATTATAACGACTTAAGCTCACTAGACACGGGGATTTACCTTTTTCAGTCATTTCTACCATGACAATACTCACTACGCGGACCCCAACGAGGCCAAATCATCGGGTGCAACTGGCACCCATCATATGTCTCGCCACCAACAGCTGAGAGCAGCGTTTCAGAATATGATTGGCTACACGACTGAGAGGTATTGGACTGCTTTTGTGGCATGCTGTGTCCGCCCCCTAGGAGACGGGGCGTCATTTCGCAGCGCCAGTATAGCTGAATCGCCACATGGTTGGACCCTCAAGGCTTTTCTTCCTTTAGCCTCTTTCGCCCACCTTAACTACTAGAGAGTTCTTATTGAGGTCCATGGCGAGTCGGCTCTCTGTGCCCATCGTGATTGTGCGTTCAGATTTTAGAGGGACATCTGTATTACAATAGAATTCCTTTGCATCTGGTCATTACAGTAGCCTTTCCCTACACTCTCGCATCTAAAAGTCATATCTTGTCTTGATCTACGAAATGGAAAGGTGTAGCCTATAGCATAACATGCATTATATGTTGCAAAAATGAAGTTGAGATTGATTTTGTTGATTCGGAAGCTAAGAACGCAGAACATGTTGAGTGCTGTCAATTTGTGTTGCTAGACCAATTACCTGCTCTTCACTCTTTCAAGTGGGCTGCCGATTAAACCTGTCAGTTGCATTGAAATAACCATTTTTACTAAAACCTTGATATTGTTATATTGGAGGGCTCCTCCTCTACCACATGCCATTTCGAATTTGCGGTTAGTTTGCCAGTGAAAGACTATGGAAGAAAATGATTTTAACATAGCAACGACGTCTGGATATACCCAAAACATTCTCAAACCTATCGACCATTCTTCTAATATAGAACATCATACAAAGAGTTCTGTTTCTTGTATTCTTTTTTTTTTTTTTTTTTTTTTTTTTTTTTGCCGTTATTGCAAAAACTGGACGAGATTTGGTTCGACCAGCGGGGAAACACAAGGTGGTTCTACTGACCGCGCAGTCAGCAAAATGCTTCAGCCCCAAATCCGGTTTAAATACAGTAATTAATGTGGCGCGCTTACAAAAAATGGGTGCTGTTGGCGGCGGCACACTTACTGACCTCGTATCGGGTCGCTCCTCAAAGCTGAGTACGGGGCCATTTGGCCCCGCGCCAGTAACAATCACTGTATCAGCGGTAGATGCTGTTGATGATGCAGCTATGGCAACCGCAACCCCCCGTGGTGGTACAGGGGCCGAATGGATTTTTGCCCGCATACCTGAACTTGTTTAAAAGGCGCTCGCTCGCATAGCTGAACTTGTTACATTGAGGCCACAACAGACGGCAAGCGTAACATTACAGCACATCCCGAATTTCCTGAAGAGACAAGAACGCTATGTTTGACGCAGACTGGTCCCAGTGTTCATTCAAGCAGTTCTTTCCCGCATGGAACAAAACACTTATCGATTTGATGGTCAATGAATGCAATAGCACCCTGGATCTCTACCGTACGCATCCTCATTCAGCCTATGCGCTAGCCGGCTGTCTCCTCGACAGCACACCATCGTTCCGTCAATCTGAGATGAATGCGGTTTCTGTGATGCTTGGTCTCACGCCTACCGCCATTGGGTTGATAGGCCCTACAACCGTGCAAACGAGTATGCTGGGCCTTCGTAAGCCTATCCTGGCGTTGATGGTTGCGCTAGGAACACCGGCAGTGGGCCCGCAACGTGGAAGGGATTTCGTCATGGCCGTAAAGCGCATGGGTAAACCCTTTCCGATACCGTCAACAATTGCATCATACGATGATGACATCTCCAATCCTAAACATAAAAACTTCATCTCCGGCATCTGTCTTGGCTTCGTCAAGATCTTCTGGACTATTTGGCCCCTCGGTGTCTATCTTGTTGTCATGGGGTGTATGGCTAACAACGCCTACCTTGCCTATCAGCTCGGCTGCTGGTGTATTTGCAGTTTTTCGCCTCCTGCCTCATGGCTACCTTCCCTGTGGATGTACCTCGCGCTTGTGGTGCATATCGTCTCAGTGATGACAATGTGGCGTCTCGTCACTGTCTCTGGCGGACCTTCAACGCAGGCAGACACGCCGATGCAGTGGCTCCTATGGAAACTTCAGATGGAGATGGATGAGTTGACGCCACTCGTCGCGCATGTTAGGGAAGGACTGCCTGGGAAAGACGATTGGTTTCAGTTGCTGGTCTGGGCGTTGTATGTTGGTGCATCGCTTCATGTCTTGTTCGGGCTGGTGGTCTTGGCTGGTATGTTATTCATCAGCATGCAGGATGCAGCATTTGTCGTCGCACGGTATGTCGCTTGTACACTCGTCTGTCGGCTGATAGTTGTTGTGGAGAATGTAAAGATTCGTAAGCTGGGCTTCAACATTGAGCAAGAGGTGGACTGGAGTGATGTTATCGATTATACTTATTAAGAATAGTGCTGCTGCTGCCGCTGCCACCGCTGCCAAACATTCCTGGCGGGAGGTATGGTTACGTTTCAATCTTGTCTTACGTGGAGGATAGAGTAGCATGACTTGGAAATTGTTTATCTCTTTGAAAAGGGGAACAAGGTGTTGGCGGGGAGAGTGAATTATGCTCAGACGGGGCGTTGCTCTTATTGATAATCTTATTGTAATTATTGTCTGTCCAAAGAAAAGTTGAAAAAATTAACCTTCCTTTCCATGTACAATGACCCAGAACTTCTTTGCATGCCTGTCCTGAATGTTTATCATTATGACTCCTACAACACCAGATTCTTTATTTATACTCAGATTCTGTAGAATAAGTACTAGCTTGAGATGATGTTCTGGAATCGTAGGTTCGCAATATTTGCTGTCCGAAATGCAATGCGATAAATCATATAGAAACACTGCACTGGTTAACCCAAGCCTGGATTACTGAGTTATCTGTCCATGGCTAGGGTCGGAAATCGAATTTATCGACCTTCAATCATGTGTCGATGATCAAGGTCAGTTTCTTTCGCTACTTCCCATACTCCAACGAGTCAATAATAACTATGACATCTTCTGCTGCTTTTTCTTTTTTTTTTAAATTAGGAAATCAACATGATGTTCCGGAATGTTAGCATCAAATTTCTCCATAGCTTGCTCGGAAAGGAAAAATACGATGGTGAAGCTTTGGGAAAGCCGCTAGTGAAGTGCTTAGCTTTGGATAAGTCAAGGGTAGCCTGGAAAGCACGCCAGCAGGAAAACAAAGTTTAGAAAGCGCCCCCACTTTTCTTTGAAACATTGTAGGGAGTAGCTCAGGGATTGAAACATTCAGGGATGTCAGTCTTGTCACTTTTGTTTTGCCGCCGTATTAAGCAAGTGTGTTTCGGCGTCATTCCTCCGTATTCATCTGGGCAGGAGAACTACAAGGGCGTGGAGAATTGGCCATTGAGCTCTATGTGATATCGCACAGCATATCGCGCTCCGATTCTGCTGTCATCCTTAGAGGTGGACAGCAATGTGGACGACGACACCCTCATAAACACCAGACGGCGAGGAGCATTGCTCCTTCATGCGTCTGCGGGTCCATCATGCGGCTGCGGGTCCATCATGCACCGGGTCTACCGTATTTCATTGGTGGATCTCATGGCGAATGCTCTTTCAAGAAGAATGTCCACTTTTCGAGGCTTAATATCGTTCGTCTACACGGAGGCAAAGTCTAAGCATTCGCGTGTTGGAGGTGGGAACCCTTCATCTCGTTGCAACCCCGCCGCGTCCCCCCCCTCCCCTTCCCTCCCATATATCATGAATATTGCTTGGGGGCTTAGTCCTTTGGCAGCGCCCCCTCGAGTGCGAAACGGGAGGGATTAGGAGCCGTAAGCCCCGATCATGGCCCTGGCAATCTCTAGATGTCGTGATTCCTGCACAGCGACGAAGAGGATTGATGGATTAATTGGCCGAAAGTGGGCATCCTGTGGGAATCCTCCTATCAACCCTTATTCAGAATGATCCGAAATGGCCCAACATCCCTCTCTTATAAAACCAAGCTGAGTGCCTGTGAGTGTTGTACATAGAATTATTTCGGGGCTCAGCATCTGCACAGGTTTGCAAGCACAAGTCGCATCCTATCGTTCTTTTCTCTTGTCCCTCGGCCAGATCGAGTATATTATCATTTTGAAGATAGTAGCCACCACTATCCCTTCTTGTATCCCCGTTCACTTCATCTTTTTATATATCACCTCGATTTTTGTTTTCACAATGAGACTATCTGCCGCCGTTCTCAGCGCGCTCGCCGCCACTGCCATCGCCGCCCCGGCCCCGGCGTCGAATGTTCACAAGGTGTCCAATCTTGCCCGCGAGGCGCGCCTGAACCGTCATGCGCGTCTTATGCACAAGGGCCACAGCAAAGGCTTCAGCTCTGGTGGGGGCCAGGGTGGTTTCGGCGGTTACGGAGGTTTCGGTGGTGGTTACGGGGGCGGCCAGGCCTCTGCAACGGCCAAGGCGGCCAGTGCTACCACCTTCAGCACCTCCGCCCCCTCCGCCACCGCCACTTCGACTTCGACTTCGACCGCCGTTTCTGCGAGCACCGATGACGAGTACAACGCGAACTGGGCTGGTGTGGTCGCTCAGACCGACGAGGGCTCCATCACTGGGGTGTCGGCTTCGTTCACCCTGCCCACCGTCAAGAAGCCGACCGACGGTGACCAGGTCAATGCTACAGACCACACTGCCTCCACCTGGATTGGCATCGACGGCTACAGCTGCGGTACTGGTCTGTGGCAGGCAGGTGTAGATGGAACGATCGACGAGTCCGGAACTGTCTCCTGGTACGCCTGGTATGAGTGGTACCCCGGTGATACGGTTGAGATTGACATTGGTGACCTTGCTACGGGTGATGTAAGTTACGATACCTGCTGCCACATCCCCTGCCCTCTCCTAAAACCTGGAATCATCCCAGACTAATCATGAACCAATCACAACTTGTACAGGTCATCACTGTCAACGTTACGGCCAGCTCTACTACTGAGGGCGTTGTCACCATGTCTAATGCTGCAAGTGGCAAGTCCTACAGCAAGACTGTGACGTCCACGTACGAGCTTTGCCTCGCGGACGCCGAGTGGATCGAGGAGGATCTTGTCGTCGACGATGCTGTGAATGAGGGTCTCGCCAACTTTGGCAGTGTCACCTTCGAGGACGCCATCGCTACCACCAAGACCGGAACCCTGTCGCCTGGGGATGACCCCATCTACATGGACGTGGAGGATAGCGATGGCAACATCCTGACCTCGTCTTCCGCCTCAGGCAACACTGTCACTGTTAAGTACGTGTAAAAAGATGGCTCAAAGTGAGGTGTCGAAGCCATGTTTTCTTTGAGGCCGAGACTCTACGCTTCTGAGAGGATGAGATGAGTGTGTGCTTGGGTATTCTGGTGTACATATTTACTTCTATACATACCAATTCCATACTATATAGCGCAAGCTTTGCGCATGTCTGATCATCCTTTGTACTAAACGTCACTCATCTTCCGAGTTTACTCAGGAGAGCCAAGAATAAATCTTACTGCGGGCGTGGTTGCTCAGGCTGTAATCCTTGGGGTACAACGTCTACCGCATGAGCAAACCTGACCCGTCGACTGATTAAGCCCGGGATTTGACATCCTCCTTGGCCCACCTTTCTCGGCCCCAGGCTACAAGTTTGTTCGTAGTTGGTTGTGTTCTTGATATTGTCGGAGATAATTGCCTCGTGGACTTGGATATGTGGTTGTAATTAACAGGCCGACCTCCTGATTCTTCCTCAGCTTCCAGATTATAAGCCCCCTGTCATCGCCGCCCGCCGCCAAGTTAGTAATAGAGCCCATCGCTGGAAAAGGTGATAGACTCTACATATTTCTGTGATCTCGGAGCACTTGGATGCTCTTTTCCATGTTCCACACAAACTGTAGTGCAACTGTGCTGTATTTCTGTCTCTTCGTTCTGACCAGGCTTGTATGCCTTCTCCTTTCTTCGTCTTCTACTTGCTTCATCATAAATCAAGTCCCTAATTACACAGACAGTCGTTTCGTCAGATTCTGGAGAGATCGAACGAGTATCTGAGGGAAATATTGCATGTGAGACCCGGTCATGATAGCTATCAAGCTCCCGCTGCTCTGTCTCGGTGTTCAAGGACCACTCGAAGTCAAAAGATGCCCGAAGCTAAGCTCTTGCCGTCGTGTGAAAACAGAACGGTTCCGACCGTGCCTGCGTGGCCGACCAGTATGCGTTGGAAACAGCACGTGTTGCTGTTCCATAGGCAGACCAAGTCGTCTCTTAGTGTCAGAAGCTATTGATTAGCTGTCGCGGACACTGTGAACCAAGTCACATCGTCTGTGTGTATGCAGCTGCACGGTCAATGGTGATCCGCACTCCTGCCGGTTTCAGTAACAGCGTAATGACCTGTCATATGCTCCTCAGCGTAGTCTCGGATACGGATGGTCCCTCCAACCGAGCAAGACGTGAGGTGGTATTGTTCTTGGCGAGAATGACGGACTCACCAGTCTTCCTAAATGCCCGTTGCCGAGGACTAGCTGCAGGGTTCCTGTTCATCCACATCTCATAACGGCGCTTGCCAAAGTCCGGATATCCTATCGTACGATGCTGAAACAAGAAGAAGCCTGTCATTATGAGAGAAGCAAACAACCCTTATGACATGTCCGTGTACTCTTAGTGTGATTTGGGCCGAGGAGGGGGGGGGGGGGGTTGGCTTTGCTCTTCTAAAGTACTTAGTTACGGTTGCCACATATTTTGTGTCTGACATCAATCACGCAAGACATGAGCAAGCTTCGCCTGTTCGCTATCGCACATATCGTCATAGCACTTTTGCAACGTCACGCCCAATAGCTTTCCATCCTTTCATAACCTCGAAGGATGCCAGTAGTCCGTGGCGGAAGCGTCCAATTCTGTAGCTGGCCGTACAAGTTAGCCTAGACTTCGACTTCACCCAGCTTCTCTTTTCTCTTATCCCTCAAACGGTTACGGACCACTCTAGTCATATGCTCAGATCACCATTCACGCTCTCAACAAAGGGTTCAACAAGGCTTGAAATAGAAGAAGAAGCCGCGTCATCAAGAACATTAATCTAGATGAGCAGACAGATACGTGACATCATCACCATTGCCCCCAGTTCTGCATCAGTCAGGACTCTGGCACCAGCTCATTCCGCTAAAGAGGCGGAGAAGAGGCCGTTCTTGTCCTTTATTGAGGTATATAGCCCTGAATTTGCAAACATCGCGGTTTGTTAAGTGTCCCAAGATCAACGTCCAGGGGCAACAAGCGTGGAGCCCAGGCTCCCAGACAGGTCAGTGATCATGAACGGGAAGGCCTCACAAGCAGGGGACTCAAGTGTGGCGGGCTGGTGAGGGTCATGGCCACATATAGCATCATGAGGGCGATGAGGGCTGAGTCACATGTCAATGGCCCACAGGCGGCACTGCCCGCCCACAGCCTTCAACTCGATAAACTCAGCCCCGAGGCGGAGTTACAAGCTGTGCTAGGGTCACCAGGTTATCGGAGCAGAGAGCTTATGGCTATCATCATGCTGAGATGCCCCTCTTGCCGTGAGGGACACCATCATGACAGGCAACCTCGGTTTCACAACCATGATGTAGTTTTCGTGACATTCGTCCACCTTGTTCGTGATCAAGACCAAGGATGTGACTCTCATTCATACTGGACTTCAGGACGTCTCTCGTTTGGGTTCCTACACTTGAACACGACCATCTCAGGGGAAGTTCTCGTGCAGATCCAAACTCTTGCGCTCGAACGTCGCATTGCTCACAATATTGCTTTTGCCGCAGACCAGACTACTTCGGATACCGTCATGAACGCTGTCACGCACACGTGCACCAAGTTCTCCAAATATATGGGAATGCCTGGGCCTCCTCGAGCAGGCACAATGTCAACCCATGCGAGGCCCTACGTGTGCAGTGTTATCTCTTTCGGTTCTGCGGTCAAACAAAACTTAGGTTGGTGGATCTGGTGCAGGATTGGAACCCCCAACGAGTTACGAGGCAGATGCTCTTGAGCTGAACATTTAGCGCTCGGCTAAAACGCCACAAACCCCGGTTGACGAGAGCTGCTAACAATTTGGTGCAAAGATTACGCCCTCCGCCCTGTTCAATCAACTAGCAGGCCTTCTTATCACTACGTACTGCCCTTCCTTTCTTGCTTCCCCTCTTTTCATCCATTAGGGTGTCCTAGTATACGAAGATTTGCCCTTAAAGAATGCTCGCCAGTGCTCGGAGCCCGACAAAGCGACAAGAGATAGAACACGACTGAATCTATTCTTCAAATCACCTGCTCAATGGTCTCTCGAGTAGAATGTCTCACTCTTCTAAGAGCTGTTGCAACTCCGAGACTATGAATGACAATGCAAGTCGACCTAGCGAACACGTGCTAGACACAAAAGACCCCAGCACAGCAGCCTCATCCCAGCAGTCCCAGCCTGGTCAAGGCCGCGAGGGCAAGACATTAGGTTCTCTGCAGTTCGAAAGCGATGCAGAGATCCTAGAAGCGTTATTCATCCGCGAAGAGCAGCGCATCCCAGAGCAGCAAGAACTCCAGCTCTGGACAGTGCCAGCCCACCTGTCTGGTCTATCGCCTGAGGACAGCGTACCAACCGCCTGCGAGTACGCTCGCAACAGGACATCCCACGCTGCCTTCCTCAAGCAGGCATTTCTCTGGAGCTACCTTGCTGGAGACCGCTCGTCATTCTGGTGTCGGGACGCACGCGAGCCGCCAGTGGGCAATAGACCGCTTTATGCGCCTCTCGATGTCACCAAGAAAGAGATCCGAGTGCTGAAGATCACATGTACTCGTCGAGATGATGGCCACGGCCAGAGCTTCCGAGCCAGCCTGATCCCCGTATCACTGGCAGATGAAGATCCGCAGTATCTCGCTATTTCCTATGCGTGGGGAGATCCTTCGCCTATCGGTCGCTTCGAGCGCCATCCAGACGGTTGCTGGAATGAAGCCGAGAATGAAGCCGAGAGATACGAGGGCAACACTATCGAATACAACAAGGCAGTATTGGCCATAGTCAGTACGCTCGTCCAGCCAGGTGCCACACTCTACCTGTGGATCGACGCCGTATGCATCAACCAGAATGACCTCGACGAGCGGGCCAACCAAGTCACGCTGATGGGACAGGTCTATTCACGGGCCCGTCAGGTCGTCGTCTTTGTCGGCGAGGCAGACGACGATGCGGCCAGGGCGCTAGATCTCGCGGGCGATTTCAACCGGTTCCGTAGTATCGTCGGCGATCATCTCAACTTTTCGGGACAAGACGAGCTCGCAGCGGCGTGTCTGCGAGCAGGCCTTGACAGGCAGGTCTGGCTCTACCTGCTTCGCCTCTTCCTGCGACCCTGGTTCTACCGCTATTGGGTCATCCAGGAGGTCGTGCTCGGCACGAATCCTGTCATGATCTGCGGCCGACATGCTGCGTCGTGGAGTGACATGGTCCAGACGTGCCAATGGGCCAACAAGTCGTCGGTTAATATCGGTACGCAGCTGCACCAGGCTGGAATCAGTCGTGTCGAGAAACAGCGGCTCCTGGCTGCGTCGGATCGTGGGGCTCACGTCTGTCGCCTGGAAAACTTACGCACTTATGGCCACGATACGTCCGCAGCTTTCACGTGGATTCTGCGGTCATTTGATACCTGTCGGACTACGGACCCTCGAGATCGCATCTTTGCTATTCTGGGGCTGCCTCACGTAGCAGGTATGAACACTGCAGCCTTGAAGCCTGACTATACCATCAAAGTCGAGGACCTGTATGTTCGGGCCGCGAAAGGAGCCATCCTCCAAGGCGAGGCGATGCCCACCCTCGCCTTTGCCGGCATGGGGTACCGCCGATCTTTAAACCTCCCCTCGTGGGTCCCAGACTGGACTTGTCTTCCTGCGGCGTTCGGCAGCTTCTGGTATGACGCTCGAGAGGCCGACTACTACACGATCAGGGGAACACAAGTCACGGTCAGTTGGGACCAAGGCTGCCAAGGGGCCCTTTCACTCGAGGGTCATTTTGTGGACAACGTGTCGGTGCTAAGTAGCCCAATTCTCTCGGGAGACGTCAATTTTTTGGGGTACGACCCGGAGCAGGAAGCCTGGCCTGATGAGGTGCTGGAGCTCTCCAGGGCATCTCAAAAAGAGCAGCAAGACGAAAGCCAGACAACCAAAGCCGCCAAAGCCGCCGCAGAACAGACAGACAGCAGGCCTGAGCCATGGAGGACACGTTTGGCGCATACGCTCGCCGCCAGCTTCGGTGCGCCTAGTGCCGCCCTCCACAAGAGTTTCGAGGCGTTCCTGCTGCTCTCGAGGGTAATGCGCTCTGGGTTGCCTGCGAGCTGGATGATATCACTGGAAGACCATCATATAGGGCTAGAGTACGCAAGTCTCTGCCATACTGCGACAAAGGAACGGCGCTTTTTCATATCATCAGACGGTCACTTCGGCCTGGCGCCGCCAGGCACCCGGCAAGGCGACCAGGTGTGTATCTTCTCCGGCTTCAGGACGCCATTTGTGGTGAGATCGGCCGAGCCCGAGGCTCAAGAGCAGCAGCCCGGCGAAGGGGCCGTGGAGCTGAGGAGCTACATTCTTATTGGTGAAGCATACCACTACGGATTAATCTCGGGAGAGCTGACGGTGGGTGGTCCAGCGGAGAGTATCCGACTCGTCTGAATGAAGATGGTCCCGACAAGACAAGCTAGAGTCTTCTCTTCCAAGTAATCGCTCTAGAATTGATCAGTGGGAAGAAACATCCCAAGAAGTGGCAGTCATGGGAGGAAGGTGGTGTCCAGAATTACCAAAGCTGCATTCCAACTCGCACATGTTCCGTGATATTTATGCAGAAGAATACAGTATATTAAGAGCTATAGTCCAATCTCACGCGATGATGATGATTCTGGTCATCTAATTCACTCATTCTTCCTCTTTTTTTTTCTTTTTTCTTTTTTTACTACGGGGGAGGGGAGTTACAAACAATTACACAGAGCTTGTGTAAGAGGTGAGAAGCAAGAAGAGAGAGACACATAAAGGTGTCCAAGTAATGCTGTAGGACCCGAATATCCAAGTAGGTATCTAAACACTCATCTGTTTTCAGGTATGCCTGGCAAGGACATGCAGGAGTCTAAAATCATTTCACAAGGTATGACACTCATCACGACAATATCAAAGCCTGACTTCAAATGATCATTGTCTTTTCCTCTCGTGTTGAATGGAAAGGATTTATATTTAATATCCCCTTCATGACAAGGACAAACCCGCTATCATGCATTGAACGCTTCTACCTTGCTATTTAATAGACGGTTATCTCGAAAACTTGACCGCCGACGGTCGACCCAGTGGTCAAAACGCCGCCCGTTGTGCAGTAGACCTTGTTCTTCTGCCAAGTGGTACGGCCAAAATCGCACCCAGTTGACTTGCCCCACTCCGTCGCATTAGTTGTACCCGCGACATCAGAGGCGGAGCTGACGTTTCCAGTGACGTCGTTAAAGACGAGCTGCTGAATAGTGTCCTCGTTGGATGCCATGTACGCATACCTCGTGCCGTTCTGTGCAAGAGCAAACCCATTGTACGAGATGGCGAAATCATCATAGGAGCCATCGTATATCAGCTCAGCAGTGCCGAGGGTCAGGTTGTCGTACAGAGGCGCACGTGCCAGACCGCTCGATCCGGTCCAGTACAGGTAGCCGTCGGCGGCAGCCTTGATACCGTTAATCGAAGACATGAGGGAGTCCTCGAAGGCGGTCCAGTAGTCGCCGGTGTCAACGTTCATGGCGACGACCGTGTCCTGGAAGGTGGCGGAGGCCAGAATGATGGTCTCATTGAACGTGGTCAGGCCGTTGAAGTCGGTCACGAGCGGGAGGACAGGCTCGGCGATAAGCTCGATAGCCGGGTTGTTGCCGTCCCCCTGGTTAAAGTCTACCTTCCAGACTTTGGTGGCGTTTTTGGGGGGGTCGGAGATGTTCGAGCCTGTAGTGTTGGCGCCTGTGATATAAAATACATCGTGGCTGACCTCGGTAATCCCGCTCAGGCCCAGGATAGAGGGGAACGTGCTGATGAGGACAGCTTCTGGGTCTTCCTGGCTTGGGTCGAAGGAGAGGAGGTTGGCGGGGGGGCCGATCTGGGTTGCAAGGACATTGCCATTGGACCTAACCCGCAAGTTCTCCACCCAGGTCGTACTGCCGTTGCCCTGATACAGAGTTCGTACAGTCGCAGTCGCCGAGGCGAGGTTGGCAACGGCAGAAAGGCCAAACAAAACAGAATTGGAATGCATTTTGAATCGTGTCGTTGGCGTGCACTGCAGTGGCTTGGTTGGTTGCCGCAATAAAACTTCTTAATATAGGCAGTGCCGAGAGGTTGGGCGAGTGACGAAAAGGGTTCTGCTGCACTGCGCTGCTGCTGCCAACTATTGTAATAAGAAAAGTCTGGTCATGGAGGGAGCATTGTGTTGAATCGGACGTCCAATTCAATATATACATGGTGATTATCTTGTGAATCCATCTGTTTCTTTACACAACTCGCACAATTCGCACATCTGGCCTCGGAATTAGTCTAGTCATGTCAATGCCGCGGAGATTGGAACGCGTCATACTTCGATTGCTTTTACACTTTTACATCCCAAGCTCCACGCAATTCTGTCCCTGGTCAGGAGCCTGAACCCGCAATAGCCCCTGAGTCTTCCACCTGATTACTTTACGTACTTCTGAAGCATATTAATACACGCCGATACAGTGCGGCTTAGCCGTGCCGGTCTTGCAGACTAAAGCTATTTTACGTCCCATCGTGGCGGCTTTGAACTATGTTTCGGAATGGAACTAGCCATAGTGAAGCAGGTGTGTATCCTACGAAAAGTAACTCCCCCATTACACTGCTTTATTGTAACAGTGAGGCGGGGTGGTGTTGCATTGGGGCTTGCTAAGCTGCAGATGTTTGCTATATACAGGAAAGCATAGGTCCCTACTAGCGCTGCCCTGGCTTTCATGGCCACGAGGACACAGAGGACCATGCAAGCTCAGCCTCTACTATAGTATATTTTCGTAATACTGGGGTCAGCATTCTGTGCTTCGGTACCTAGGCACTTACCATTGCTCAATATCGAGAGAGCCCGATCACCATCTCACTCAAGTTAGAGATTGCAGTAATCAACACAAAACCTGACCACTGGCTTCTGCGTTCTAGCGGCATGATGGGATACTTGTCGTCTCGCCCTCGCCTCTGTCGCCGGGCTTGTAGTTAACCGCTGAGAATGTACGCTGGTTAGCCCCATGCTCTCATTGGTTGATCATCCTGCACAGCCGCTGCTCCATATCAACTGAAATACATTCTGTTACCGTTAATCACGCTATGTATATGGGCTTGACAAATCTATTGCCCAAAAACTCTCGGGTACAGGTGGGCTCGGTAAACAAACTCACAACAGCAGGTCTATCCTCGACTACAGCTCTGGACTCACTGTCATGGTTGTCTTCCCAATAACAGAGAGACCAGCCTCGACCAACCGGCTTGTTAAAAACTGGTCAAGTGATGTGGTACGTCTTTCTTGAACTTACGTTGCTGACAATTTCGCCATTGCCAGAGGGACAGCCATCCCGAATAGCATAGCAGCTGGCAGTCGTAATCATGTCCAGTAGTATATTAGTAGCGGAAACACACTGCCGCCATGGTACTTCAAAAGACAATGTGATGAGATGCGCCAGATGGAAGTACGAGAAATCTGAAACTCTGCTATTGGCTCGGCAAGCACAGGGTTCACGGGGTACAATTGGAGCAGCGTTCAAGGTGGAAAGGTAATCTGATCGCGACATTCGGTGTAAAAAGAAACCGCTGGCCCTCGCACATTCAGCACTTCTAATGCGACCAATAACAGAGTCGCCCGCCATCTTTTCGGGCCTGGGGTGCATTTCCACCTACAACTCCCAGGGTATAATTCTCACACTTCGCCACCTAGGCTATACATGCTATACCATACAGAATCCAGGCTGAAATCAGACTCTTTTTGATAAATAAATGCCAATCTAGTGAATAGATACCAGAAAGTGAGCCAGACCTGTCTGTAATAAATATATCTTTTTAATAAAAAAATGCGTAAATATAGGAGAAGTAATAATAAGTTCACTTGGCGAGTATGTACTGCCTGGGTGGCGAAGTGTGAAAATTATACCCTGAGAGTTGTATGCACCCGAATATTCACTGACGCCTACGCACAGGCATCATCTGTCTCAACATTGCCTGGTGCTTGCTGATAGGTACTTGGCCACCATTGCTCCAGGTGGGCCATCGTCTTATGGCTGTTTCAAGATGTCGAAGACGGTAATTATGTCACAAGCCTCTGGGATCTAGTCATGCATACTTTGCGTATTGACCGTTGGAGGATAACAGGGCCTTGAATTAGCTTTTTATTGAACTCTAATCAACATAGGGAGCAGCATTAGAGGTACTTCAAACCAGGATCTCGCGGATCTTGGCATATATGCCCAGTATTTTCCGAGATGATGACACCTGGTTTCATTAATCCCCTTTTTTTTGTGCTGTTAGAGCCAGATTTCATGGTCAGACTCCCGACTAGAGACAGTCTAACATGGAGTGCCTGACATTGTTGCAAAAGACTTGTGCGTCTTGATCGCCAGCAGCATCAATGCCCTGACAGAGAAGTCCGTGTTGGCAGCTTTGTGCAAGACGGCCGAAGCAAAGTTGAAATAGAATAAGACATGTGAGCTTTTGCATCCAAGAATGTGGTATGCACCTTCTCAATATCTAATTATGGGATTGGAATCCATGGACTTCACCCTATCGGCACCAACACCTTGACCATGCAATATCAACAATGAGGTCTGGGAAACCTTCCTCAAAAACACACAGCGCTCATTGCAAAGATCTTGGTCACTTTTTGATCTTCTTCAACAAGGATAGCATAGCCTCGATGGACCCCATTGAGCAACATCAGCAAATAAGCATAATTACAACGACCGAAATGGCATTGCCCTGGCACATCTGCTCAAGACAGAGGCCGTATGAGAACAACACGCTCTATGAGCATTTAGTACACAACATGCAAGAGTGCATTGGAAGAAGTTACAAAGTACGCGAGGGCTAGAGGGCTCATATTGCTGTGCGCTGAGGAGGGAAGAGAAAAAAAGAGGAAAGGCCCCGAGGGCAGCTAACTGAGGCTATCAACAGGTCTAGCTGTTGGCTGGCTGGCGGGCCGTGCACGGCCCTCGCACAACAAGCCCTCGCAAACAACACCTTGGTCTTGATCATCCTGAAAGGTATTGGGCATCAGAGTCTTGAATTAATTTTCACAGCACAATAGAAAATTATTGTGCGCATCATCGATAGACGTGATATTATTAATTGAGGACAATCTCGGCCCTCGCCCATTAGAGACGGGCACTACGAGCTAAGCAACCGGATGTCGGCCTCATTGAGGTGTGCAAAGGGTGCAACGGTCTGGACCAAAGCTGTGAATACATAAGAACAAGCGTATTCTTGGCGACCACGGGTGACTGCTGTAGAGAGGGGACAACCGTTGCAGCTAGCCGGGTAAACACAAACCCAGTGCAGGCGCGCATCAAGAATAGTTGCCGCTAAAAACGAGCACGCGATCCTTTAGTGTCTGGATCTCTCTTCTTTTTTCTTACCCGACCCGAAGTTCAGCCTTGCCGCTAGATAACCATAAAGGTGGCGGTTGTCTACCAAGCGACGTGCGGACTAGAGCCCTTTAGTGCCCTTTCTTTGCCTACGCCTTCGAAGTATGTCTTTTTTCGGTATTATATTTATTGAACTGAACAGGACAATATCACTTTGTCATCGCTCGAGTCAAGAACTTTTGTTTTAGCATCTTCGAATCTTATCAGCCAGCGCCAAGACAAGCTGCCTTGTCTCTTTGAACCATTTGCATCGTCTGTCCTTGATTGAACATTGTATAGCGCTGTCTTGCTCTGAAGACCAGGCAAGCCGCAAGATGGAACTTGTCTCGCATCCCGGAGCATTTTCAGAGGGCCGTCGCATCGCGTCGCGTCTTCTACTGACACTGTCATTACTGCCAAAGCAGCCTCTTCCTCGGCTTTATTCGTCAGGACACGGATCGTGTCCTGATCAGTATCCTGACTCGCCTTTTGTTGATAATGTACGTACCGGGGAGCATCCTTCCATTAACATGACTACATGGGAAAGTCGCCTCATCGAGGGAAGAACAAAAGATTATAATTGGCTTTCCTCATAAGCTTGTAGTGATAGATTAATATTACGGACTAATTCCTCCATCTGCTCCTCCCTCTTCTTCTGACCCGCAAATCTAAGCTCATCAAAACTCGTTTGGACATCTGTTTAATAATTTATTCATTCATCATGGCTTCACCGAGGAGCGGAAGTATCAACAGTACTGCAAGTGGTGCTGTGCTGACACAAGCTCCTGTATTCAAGAGGTCCTTCAGTGTCCAACATCTACCTTCATACAATGAGCGTTTCACAATCGGCACCCCACGAGCGAGACAGTTCAAGTTCATGTCAGTAGGCCATTCTGTTCGCAGTGCAGAGACCTACCATCCTCGTCCCTATTTTCGCTCGCGGAGGATCAGAAAGGGTACCATTGACCGACCAGAACTGAGAGAAAAAGACCCTCGAGGGATCTGGATCACGCTGATCCCAATCTTTGGCCTCCTCGTTGGTCTGGCGGCTATTGCACTGTTATCCTGGTCTGGTTATGCCTCGGTCAGCAACTACCAATATTGCCAAGTTTTTGTGGATGATTTCTCGAATGGTTTCAATTCAACGATATGGACCAAGGATGTCGAAACAGGTGGCTTTGGGTAAGATAATCCAAACAGATGGTTGTCCTGTTCGCACGCCCTTTTTCATTGTGCTAACACATTAGCTAACCACAGCAATGGCGAGTTTGAGTTGACAACCGGTGGTGATGAAAACGTGTTTGTCCGCGACGGACAGCTCGTTTTCACGCCGACTCTGCAAAACGAAAGTTACCTTGAGACCACCAGCATCACCAACTTGACTGCAGATGGCACCTGCACTGAAACACCGTTATCGGACGCCTGTGTCTTATCTGCCAATCTTACAGCAGGAGAGATTGTCCAGCCTGTCAAGTCTGGCCGGATCAGCACCAAGAACTTCGCCGTCATCAGATATGGTCGGGTCGAGATCACTGCCAAACTCGCCGCCGGCGACTGGCTCCTTTCGCAGTTTTTCATGTACCCAGCAGAAGACTACTATGGTACTTGGCCCGCGTCCGGTCAAGTCGACGTTGGGGTAGTGAGGGGCAACAATTACTCCTACGGCGACGGCCTGGGGAACCAGTTGCTCCAGAGCTCTCTACACTGGGGCCCGGATCCTAGCACGGACCGTTGGCAGCACACTACTGGTTCTCGAGAAGCCTTGCACGCAACATATAACGACGACTTCCACACCTTCGGCCTTGAGTGGACACCAAACTACCTCTTTACATGGGTCGACAGCCGTCTGGCTCAGGTCACATACCTCAAGTTCGCCACCGACTTTTTCAACCTTGGAGGCTTCGGCACGACATTCGAGAATGGAACAAGAATTGTAGATCCATGGGATGGACCCGGGACAAGTCACGCCACCCCCTTCGACCGCCCATTCTATCTAATTATGTCTTTGGGCGTGGGAGGGACTTCTGGCGCCTTTGCGGACGGCGTAGGAGGCAAGCCGTGGGTGGACGCATCTACCACAGCAAAAAAGGACTTCTGGGAAGCCAGGGCCCAATGGGAACCGACCTGGAAAAAGGAGGGCCATGGTGAAATGGTTGTGAAAAAGGTCGCCATGTGGCAGCAATGCGATGCTGCGGCCACTGACCTATCAGGATTCACTCGATAGAGATGAATATTTTTGTTCTTGAATAATTAGAGCGTTGCTTTCGATCTTGATTCAAGCAGCCCAAATGTCAATTGCTGTAACTCTTTCATACAATTGTTGCACATTATACACGTATAAGTTACTCTTCATAGATGACTTGTTCCAACGCGGCCATCGTCAATTCCTCTTTTCTTCATCTCTCTCTCTCTCTCTCTCCCCCCCCCCCTTTCCTCATTTTTCCCCCAGTCCCTTCCATCAAATTTTAAGCCTCTGACCAAAGAGTTAAGCCTTATTGTGCCTACGTAGCCGGGCATAACCCGGGCTTGAATTCCACGCCACATAATAGTTAAAAAAGCCCAGTCTAATTAATTTAGCATTCGAGGCTACTGATTGTCACTTTCAGTATGTCAGACTATTATAGTATCTTTTCACATCTGTTATCATCCGGTCAAAAATGAGCGGGTCGGATCTCACCAAATTAGTGCCCGATGACGGGATTTTCCTCCAGTCCCATAATGTCGGGACAAGCAATGCAAGAGCGGCTCCAGTTTTGAACCGATAGTTTTTCACATTGTATTCCGTTTGCAGACTATTAAAAGGTGGCAGACATCTTGTCTTTGGTGTCTTTGGTGAGAGTGAGAGAGAAGGAGAAATGACTCGGTCCGGGATATCACCACTTGACTTGTCCCACTTCCCGGTTCCGTTTGCAGATAATGATCATACTCTTCTTTTGAAAAACAACCTTATGGTGTGGATTCGCGGGCTAATATGTATCTTACGGTTTTTCCCGCTATAGTTTTTTTTTTTTTTTTTTTTTGTCTCTTGTCGCAAAACTACCTATTTTGTCTCTGACGACGAATGACCAGCTTCGACTACTACTATGCAACTAGTCAACGAGTCAGATTCGGATATGCTGGGCAGAATTCGATACCCGCGCCCCATCACTTCTGTACGCCGTGCTCTCTGCCCAAGCTGCTATCGAGAAAGACCCTTTGACTCGGGCCCACCATGCTGTGTCGGTCCGAGAACTTGTTGCAGACACTTGACGAGGTCATCAAAAGGTCTAGGTCGGATGTGTATACTATGCCTTTGCCACTCAGACCCTATCTCAAAATGTCATTCCGATTATTAACCCTCCACCTAATTATACTAGCCGTACCCCGTCTTGCGCTCATGAACATATTCTGACAGTCATGTCCTTCCACACCATCCTGTTGTCTTAAAGAGGAGTTGTTTTAGCAATGCTGTGCATATCGTTGTTTCTGGGCCTGCTGCCCATGCTTGCTGCCGCCATAACATCGCAGTTCCACACCTCTACCAAGCGTGGTTTGATCTATATACCCAATTCCAACTACCCAGAGGATAACCAGATATGGATTCGACCAGGAAACGATCTGACGTGGTACTACAACTACAAGATGTACCCGAATCCAGAATATGTGAACCATTCATCACTAGAGTTTGTGCCCATGTTATGGGGTGCCCCCTCGAGTTTCAGCGACACAACCTTCCTCGAAAACGTGACGGCGCAGGTCGTCCAAGGAAGAAACATCACCTATGCTATGGGCTTCAACGAACCGGATAATACAGCAGACACTGGAGGCAGCGACATCGACCCGTCTGATGCCGCAAAGTACTGGAAGAAGCAGATGGAACCCCTGGCGAAGTTGGGCATCTCTCTCGGGGCCCCAGCTGTAACTGGTGGTTCCTCTGGATTCACTTGGTTGTCCAACTTCACAGAGGCTTGTGACGGTGGCTGCACCTTCGACTTCATCCCTATACATTGGTATGGCAGCTTCGATGGGTTGACCAGCCATATCGCGGACGTCTTGACCATCTATCCAGACAAGAAGATATGGGTAACCGAATTCGCATTGGACAACGCGAGTCTAAACGAAACGCAAGACTTCTTCCAAACAACCCTGAATTACCTGGACACGAATGAGTACGTTCACCCCTTTCTGCCCACACTATTAACGACCAACATCGATACTAACCCAGGCTCTGACCAGAAACGTCACTCATTATTCCTACTTTGGCTCTTTTAGGTCATCCACATCCAATGTCGGCTTGAATGTCGCCATGTTGAATTCTTACGGGAATTTGACAGATATAGGGAGTTGGTACCTGGGAGGCAATGCCACAGGGGTCAAGCCGGACAATGTCACTGTCGCCTCCAACACCACCATGACTGCCCCTACACCAACGTACACTGTACCAGCGTTGGTGACAACAATGTCCGGTGCGAAGTCCATCGCAGCACCGAATTTCCTTTCTTTTGTGGGGATTGGCGTTTTGGCAATAATTTTATAAGCTTCGTAAGATGAAACAGGAAAAAAATATCAACTTTTCATGCAAAGACTTGATTGAAACGTTTGCATTCTGGCGTCTGAAGACGGTGGCCGAGGATTGAATCATGGATTGATGACCACAGACTCGCGAACAATACGGATATTTAGATGACTATGTAGACTTTGCATTGAGCTGCAAAACATGGTCTTCAGAAAGCCGTTCACTGAATCCTCCGCAGAGGCGCGACATACATACATACTAAGCATTTACTGTTGGCTTTCAGGCACTTTGCAAGAAAAATTGCTCGGGAGTTTATTGTCTATTATCTGATTACGTGTTCACTCGAGAGCTCATGTTGACCGAGTCTCCTCATGTATTTGTAAGACGGCCGTCGTGAAATTATCAACTTTTCGAGAACAGAATCCATTCACATATGTTGAAGTCCTACGAAGAAGCCGATGCGGTCGTCTCTATCGCCCCACCGTTTACACTATTTCTTCAGTGACGCGACCTCACTCAACTGTTGCCCAAGTGGATCTGACCCAAAATCAAAGATAGACTAGACTACTGTCATCGGAGTTTCTTTTGCTAGCGTCACGGGTGCCAAATCGACTGTTGCTATTTTCACGACGTTTGCGGACAATCTCAAAAGTTCTGGGCGGCAAGCCTTTCCTGTTCCGGACAATTCTTCATGCTTGTATAGCGAATCCCAAGAAGAATCCAAGTCGGATAGCGACCCTGTCATAAGTTCATGTCGGGTAAATGAAAGTTGGCGATTGTCCCAAAAAATTGCCACGAGGAATGATGACTCGAGAACTATCATCGTGGAAAACTGATTGTACAAGCTTGTAGTTGTGTCTCAAATTCTCTGCACAACCCATTCATGAGCAGCGATAGCCGACTTGAATGGAAGCGTAAATGCCATGACTTCAAGCCGTAGCCTCTGGAGGTTCCATCTTTCTCCTCTGCCATCAGCACAATGCACAGCAAGGCTCCCAGTGTGAAGAACTTAGGCGTGAGCATGTCAGGTTCAAGGACGCCGACGATGGCCGTCAGCGGCGGCGGCTACCACGAGGAGCTGAACGTCGGTGAGCTCTTTGATAGGTTGCATGGGATGACACTGAAGGATGCGACATTTCTACCCAAGGTACGTCCCAAGTGCTGATGGCATAAATATGATTTAATGCTGAAGAAATCGTCTCTAGATTGCCATCATCGGGGACAAGGCCAGTGGCAAAACATCAGTGTTCGAAGCTTTGACTGGACTGTCCTTTCCAGCATCAAAACTACCATGGTCCAATTTCGCCATTCACACACAGTTCAAGCGCACGATAGGCGAGAAGCCCATTGTGAAGGCACATATTCTCCCTGGGCCACTCGATAGTCAATATGAGGCGGCCATTAAACACCTGGAGAGTTTCGAGGTGTTTCACGATGGACCCTTCACAGGAGATGATCTCATCGGAATTTTGCACCAGGTAATTTACTCGTTCATGAAGCTTATCAACTACGTTGCATCCTCCCCTTTTGCTAATGATACTGTAGGCTGCCGACCATATGGACATCATGATAGACGACTCCAGTGGCACTGGAGATGATGCAGGACTTGATAATGACCGACAATTCTCCGACAATGTCCTCGTTCTCGAGATTTCGGGACCTCAAGTTCACAATTTCAGCGTTATTGACTTCCCTGGACTCATGCGCAGTATGTGCCGCTACGCTTGCTCTTGATCCCAAACTGGCCGAGGCGACTCTGACACGCCGTCTCCAGGTTCCTCAACTCATAACATGCTTGAGATCAACGCTATCAAAAGTCTGGTGATGGAGTACATCAATGAACCGCACTCGATCATATTGTGAGTCCGTTTCCGATGGCACACAAGCAGTACGGACCGACGTGAAATATGCTGACAATGACATTACTCAGAGCTGTGATAGATGCTACAAACCAAATAGGAAACCAAGAGGTTCTGGAATTCACGCAAGCCGTTGATCCAAAAGGCCATCGGACAGTCGGGGTCCTGACCAAATGTGACGCGATCCAGCAAGGTGATGAGAAAAGAGTGAGCCCAATCGTCCTAGTAGTGGTTATTGTCGTCGTCTTTATGTTTGATTTCAGCTAACTGTAGACAATTCCCTTGCAGGTTCTGAGGATTCTGCAAAACAAGGAGCACTATCTACAGCAAGGGTGGCTCGCTGTCAAGAACCGGTCTCTGCAAGAACGGCGTGATGGGCGTGACCTTGCTCAGCGAAACGCAACCGAGAATGCCTTCTTCTCGTGTGACCCTTGGAACAAGCTCAGCCAAAGCCAGGCTGGGATTGCTCCACTCAGAGAATGTATTGGGGACATCACCAACAACATGCTGCAAGACAACATTGACATCTTGGTGCAGAAGATCCAGAGCATGATAGAACCACCTGTGGGCTTGCACTTTACGGACAGCATCGATCATACAAAGGCAATGACGGAAGAGAATCGATACAGCTATGATCGATTCCACTCGGTGTCTGAGCCCATTTCCGAGGTGGACGAGACAAACAGTAGCCAGGAGAACCTAGATCTAGAGGAGGGTTCGATCAAGAAACGACCGACATACCTCATCAACGCTGTTACCGTAGCCTTGACGGTAGCCCTTGTCCTGACCCTGGTCGGACTAGGCTGTCAGGCACTGGCACAAGAGATTGCCACTGACGGCAGCTGGTCTCGTATCTTCTTGCTACTGACTGCGCTGCCGCAAATCTTTGTCAGTTTGGTAAGTTCGTCTCTAGAAATCCTAATGGGTGGTGGTCCCTTCTTCTGTGTTGCCAATTGTGGACATGTCATAATTCCTGAGCTGACTCTCTTGCATAATAATAGTTCTTTTGCCAATCTCTCATCAACACCATCTTTCAACTCCTCGGTCCCGTCAGTCAGTTGAAGGTCAACTCAAAATTCTACTCGGCGAATCCTGTAAAGCGCCTCCATATCAAGAACGGACCACTGCCGCATGTCACCATTCAGTGTCCTGTCTACAAAGAAGGCCTCAAAGCCGTCATTGAACCAACCGTAGAGTCACTCGAAGCAGCAATCCGCAACTATGAGTCTCATGGCGGTACTGCCAACATTTTCATGAACGACGACGGCATGCAGTTACTTTCACCGGAAGAGGCTGCAGAACGACGCGCATACTACGTGGCCCACAAGATCGGCTGGGTGGCTCGGCCAAAACACAATCCCAGCGGTGAGGGACTGCAAAGGTTCATCCGGCGGGGCAAGTTCAAGAAGGCGTCCAACATGAACTATGCTCTCGGCATCAGTCTGAAGGTGGAAGACAAGCTGGTCAAGGTTGATCGCAGTGTAGCTTGGACACAGACCGAGGAAGAGGAAGCGTACCAGAAATGCCTCTCCGGGGTGCTCGATGAAGAACTGGGCCGGGCCTGGGCAGAAGGAGATATTCGCGTTGGTGATTACATCCTGATTGTCGACTCAGACACGCGTATCCCTGAGGAATGCATGATCGATGCGGTCAGCGAGCTCGAAGAATCCCCTCAAGTCGCCATCATCCAGTTCTCCTCGGGCGTCATGAACGTGACGACCAGTTACTTTGAAACTGGTATCACTTTCTTCACCAATCTCATCTATACTGCTATCCGCTACGCCGTCGCCAATGGTGACGTCTCTCCCTTTGTCGGCCACAATGCTTTTCTCCGCTGGTCCGCGTTACAAGAAGTCAGTTTCAAGGAAGAAGACAACGCACACGACGATGAGGGGAGCCTGTCACCCGACGAGAAAGATCCCAACTCCACCACGCCGTATGAAAAGTTCTGGTCCGAGTCGCATGTCTCGGAAGACTTTGATATTTCTCTCCGTCTCCAGACCATGGGCTACCACATCCGCCTAGGTGCCTACTGCGGGGATGGGTTCAAGGAAGGCGTGTCTCTGACCGTCTACGACGAACTCGCCCGCTGGGAGAAATATGCCTACGGCTGTAACGAGCTTCTCTTCCACCCCATCAAGTTCTGGTGGAAACGCGGGCCTTTTACGCCCCTCTTTCTGCGCTTCATCTTCTCCAATATGCCTCTGGGCTCCAAGATCACCATCCTCGCTTATATCGGAACCTACTACGCCATCGGCTACGCATGGATCGGCACGCTTCTCAACTACTTTCTCATCGGCTGGCTCAATGGCCACCTCGACCACTACTACATGAACAGCTGGCGCGTCTGGGTCGCCTTGATTGTTGTCTTCTCTGGCGCTGGAAACCTCGCTCTTGCCATAGTTCGCTATCGCGGTGAACAATGCAGCCTGATTCATCAGATCTGGATCTGCTTTCGCTGGGTGCCGCTTCTCTTCATCTTTCTCGGCGGCATCTCTATGCACGTCTGCCAGGCTATCCTATGCCACATGTTCTCCATCGATATGAGCTGGGGCGCCACCGCCAAAGAGGTCACTGACACCTCTTTTTTCATTGAGATGCCCATCATCGCCCGTCGCTTCAAATTTGTCTTCATCTTTTGCATCGCCATGACCGCTTTGATCCTCTGCGGCGTCTACGTCTTTCCCTATCTCTGGAGAATCGACCAGCTCATTGCTATTTTCCCGCTGGCATGCATTATTTTCAGTCATTTCCTGTTGCCAGTGTTGTTGAACCCAGCATTGATGAAGTTTACCTGGTAAAAGGTTCTCTCATTTATTATAGTATAGACTCTAATCTTAGACAGATCAATCGACGTTGACCGTACAGATAGAAAATCAATCAACAATAATGCGATCGTTGAAATGAGAAAACATGTCCTAGTGAAAATGTTTCTACGTTGACCATACATATATCCTTACATACATATGTACTTGCTGTGACCCATTCAAAAGGAAAGAAAAAAAAAGAAAAAAAAAGATCGAGTTGGCATTCTAGATGCGATTCATCTCGTGCAGTCTCAATACTTCTGATTCCAGATCTAAAAGGGACTCCAAGTACTCGTGAAGTAGGTTTACCTTGTCAGTCTCTGTCAAATGGCCATGGTAATGGGTGTAATGGGAAAGCGATCCTATCTCTACTTGTTTTCAGTCGAAATGAAATAATTATCACTCAAGGGTAATCTCATCAATACCGGCCTGTATTGAGTATAGACCACGAAGACGCACGGTTGTATAACGAAGTCTCATCTCATCAATTTGCAGAGATCTTGTGAAATACTCTGATATGACAAATGAAGAATCACATGCACAGGAGGGACATATTCGTGTCAAAAGGCCAGCCCAGCTCCTCACCGACTTGGAGGCAACCTTAACCTGACAAGCATAGTTGCAGTACCAAATATACTACTCAAGCGCAAGCAGAGAGGCTACTTCAAGCCACGAGCGTGCTTGTCAAACACCGCCTTCCGCATCCCCCCTCCCGGGGCCCCTCCTTCTCCTCCTTCGGGCAAACCCAACGAGTCGACGGAGGAGGACCTCTCGCGTCACACCAAACGCATGAATTCTTTTTTGATACCCCCATCGATTGAGACCCAGGCGCCTCTCTCTCAGCAGGGAGTCTATATCAAATCAAGAGATTGGCAGGTGACACTGCCAACCAGCAACAGCCAGTAGCAGGGTTCCAGTCAATGCCTTCTACAGCTCAGCCTTCTCCTCGACGTCGTCGACGTCCTTCAGCATACTCTTGACAACGTTGACCGCCTCGCCCAACTTCTCGGTGATCTTGCCGACAATGTTGTTCTGCGTGGCCTCCTCCGCAGGGGTCTCCGTTGTGGCCGCTGGTGTCTCCTTGGTCACGATTGACTCCGGCTTGGGGACGCCGTCAATGCCGATCAGCTCCGTCTCGAAGACTAGCAGCGCGATTGGTCAGAACAAGGACACGAGCATGTAAAGCACATGCAAATATCCCCGGGGGGGGGGGGTCGATAAAACAAGACATACTCAGAGTCGATCCGGCAGGAATTGGTCCCATGGCTCGCTGGCCATATCCCTTGCTCGGAGGGATGGTCAGAGTCCTGGTAGAGGAAAAGAAGGAGTCAGTCTGTAGCCTAATGCAGCACGGGGACAGATCCTGTCGATATAAATCACGCGCCAAGGGAACGAACCTTTTCTCTCCAATGCACATATCCAGCAGGCCCTCATCCCAGCTGTCCCACCACCAAAGTGTTAGAGTCCGACATGGTTTTCTGGGGTATTTCTTCTTCTTTCTCTCAGAGCAGATCCTGTTGATGTACGAACCCCTTGATAACCTGTCCGCTTCCGAGCTTGAAGGTGAAGGGAGTCCCCCGATCGTAGCCTAGAAAAAGAGGTGGGACATGCATTAGCAGTTGTCTTCCAACAGCATGCAGGCAGAGTTCGCAGCAGAGTAGGGTACGACGTACTGGCATCGAACTTGTTGCCGTTCTCGAGGGTGCCCCTGTAGTGCATGGAGACCTTGTCGCCGGATTGCGTCTTGCGCTCGCACTCGACGGGGAGCGTGACATCGATCTTGAGCTCGTCGCCAGAGGCGAGGACGCCCACAGCGGCCGAGGCCAGGAGCGAGAGTGTCACCAGGATTCGCTGCATCTTGTTGGTTATAACTGTCGGTGAGCGGTTGATTGAAATGGTTGCTGTGTCGAGTGGTTCTTGGTCGGGGGAAACGCAAACGTTTGTCTGCAGCTTTGGTTATGCCGTGCAAGAAGGGAAGGTCGAGACGGGGCGGGTGCTGAAGAGTTGGGAAATGTGGTGGTGATGTACTGTAGTAGTGGTCAAGATGGATAATGGCAAGCTCCACTACAGTAGAAGCGACGTTGTCCTGTCAAGGGTCTAGAGATAGGTTGGTGCATGTTCCCATTGACCAATTATGCAGGGTAGTTCTCCAGAGCTGCCCGGTACGGTGGGGTACATTAGCAGGTACATTAGCAGGTACATTAGCAGCTCCATGCCGAAAGGGGGCTCCTCTACAGGAGCCCAATCAGGCACCTACAGCACCTTTAGTCATCACAATGCTGTAAAGACCCAGCACCTCTAGCATGTCGGGTTTGATGAAACATGCGCCTCAAGTAAATTGGTGTAAGAAAAAAACGGGTAGAAGCAAAGAAGAAGAAAAAGAGGAGCAATCAACTTGTGTCATCAATACATTTATGCAACACTAGGTACCATAATCCATCATCGTTTCACAGTAGGATGAGCATGGCAATTGGGTACTGGATGGATTGTAAAGAATTGATTGCTTGGGAAAACATTTCCGAGTCCTGGTTAAAATGTTCAGATGCAAGTTCTGCTAGTAATTAATCAATTACTAGCTCTGAGCTGCCCAGCCAAAATCGGTTCGATCTTTGCACATACACCTATACCTATCATTATTGCCACCATCTCGCGCGTTCCAGAGGATGACAACACCTCCTCCAAGGGCAGATCATCCTAATCACCTCGAGAAGGAGGAGGAGGACGGAAAGGAAGAGGAGTTGGACGAGGATTTTGATCTCTTCAGCGACCAGGTCGACGATCCCTCCAGCGATGTGAAGTCATCTCTTCAGCAGCGCGCCGAGCTGGCACGCCGGAAAAAACTTGCTCGGCTTCCACCGCCGTCCCAGCGGACATGTGCGCAGAACCGGATCGCATATGTCCTCTCTGGCCAGCGCCTCCAGCCTACACGCCTCTCGCGCGTGTTCAGCCTCGAGGAATGCGAGCTGCTCATCTCTGCAGTCGTCGATTATGCTCAGAGGCGGGGTGGGCTGCAGAGGGACCGGCACGAGAAGTTTGCCACTACCGACGTGCCAGTCTCTGACCTTGGTCTCCCGCGTGACACCACCACGGGCGAAACTGTTGGCAATCTTGTCTTGACATGGGTCTCGGACCGTGTTCTACAACCCCTAGCCAGGATGACTGGCTTTCGACCACAGGACCTGGGGCTCAAAGACCTGTTCGTTGTGTGCTACTGTGGAGGGCAATCCGCAGCAAGGCAAGATCACATGGTCCCATATTATCCCATACCCTCCAAGCAGGCTTCGCTTGCCATCCACAGCGACGGGTGTCTACTGAGCTTCTCGCTTCTGCTCAACCACCACGATGCATTTGAGGGCGGCGGCACCTTTTTCCAGGGGTCTGGCGAGACCTTCCGAGTCCAGCAGGGTGACCTTTTGATGCATGACGCAGGTTTGGAACGTGAGTCTACACCAAAGAGAATGGGCAACGATTATCTCATCAATTATCTCATCAATAGGGTTTGCATGCGTCCACAACTAACTGAGTATTTTATGTACATTTCAGACGCCGGTGCCGAGGTTATCAGCGGTCAGAGGATCATGTTAGTCGGCTTCGTAGAGACGGTCGATGTGCTCCGGGAAAAGCTACTCTGGGAGAAAACGAGCACCGAGAAGCGATCTGTCCGTCAAGATTAATGAGTCCTTGACGCTTCTAGAACGAGGCCAGATCTCGCACACATGGCCTGTGCAAGCAACGTGATTCAGCCAACTGATTAACACTGATACATGCTCCTTGAGTACCTTTGAGAACAAACAAAATATAGTATGGATTTCATAGCTGAGTTTCTGGGGGGGTGGGGGGTTCAGCTCATCAGCAGGGCATGGCGGACCAGAATCCTAAGCGCTCCTCCGGCGGCTGTCATCATCACGTCTGGGGTAACACAACACCACGAGTCTGCAATGCAGGATTTTTTTACCCCCCCCCCCCCACGATTTCGATACACGATTAGCATCATGGACTCAGTGAACATTTACAAATCGTTTTTATGACGTAATTGCCGAGTAAAAATTCACTCATCCCTACTTGCACCCTAGCATGCTCCCTCTTAGCCTCCTCTAGGAGACTCTTTATATTGCCTATTATTTTAAATCACTGCGGATCTCCATCGTTAACACAAGGAAAAAGAAGAGTTGCACAGTCTTGATACTTCGACCAAGAGTGCTGCTGCATCTCCCGAGGACTTGGTATGCTTGGATGAGTATTCAACTCCTGCTTTCAAGGGTTCCATTTCGAGAGTTCAGGACGTCTCAGCTGAGTCGTTGCTTACTGAACTTAGCCCACAACCCCCCTTCCACCCCAAGAGCCGGAGGGATTCCGCCTCACGAGCCCAGCTGTTCCTGCAGTGGCCCCCATGCCCAGCTCCCTGACACCGATGATGGGGAAAAAAAAGAGGCCAACCATGCGGCTGAGATAACGGTGAGGGTTTTTTTTTTTTGTTTTCTTCCCTTCTTTCGATCAGACGCCGGCCTCTTCGAGATTTTTAGGGCCCCCATGTCGTCATGTTGATGTGACAGTCCCCTTACGCCAGCTGCGAGGTTGGCGCCCATCTCTGCGATCCAGACATCTCTTCTGATCCTGTCCTTGTCAAAATTCGATCCAAAGTAGAAAAAAACAGGAAGGCTTCCACCATGTCCAGTCTGTGTGCAATCAGGGGATACAAAGGGCATGTGCTCACCCCATTTCGGTGACATTCCATTTGCCTTTGCCTCAACAAAAATAGAAATCAGATTTAACTTGACAGCAAGACATTTACGGCACCAGGAGCTGAGGCTGATTGCTCCATTGTTGTAGGGTTCCATGTCCAAGTGCTAACAGCAGATACCCCAGCAGGCTTGAAAGGACTGCTTGGTCCTACCATGATACAGCATATACGAGATGAGTACGGTTCCCCATAAAGATTAACATATGATCAGTATGACTCTGCAGACTAGAACTAACTTTTCAGATAGAAGGATCCTCTGCCTTGTTTGTCCCACTGTCCTGCGAGTGGAAGAACGAGTCTGGGCCTTGGTCACCAGCATGACCCCCAATGAGCCAGCTTGCTTCGGTGCTCACTCTAGCACTAAATCACTCCTGAGTCGAAGTGGAATTTTCTACTTGGGGGACGCTGGCCCACGGGATGACCCTCCACCAGGCCTGTTTGGGAGGGGCGCAGCTGGTGCGTGGTCTCCCTGGACATGGCAAGGCCGACAGGGCTGTAAAAGGAGCGGTGGTATGGGAGACTCCTCGTTCTAAAAGAGCCTCGTCCGTTTCTGGAGCCAGTATGGAACACATTGACTCATCTGACTGGTACACGCCTCCTTTGGTCGAGAGCATCAAATCAAAATGTTCTCAGGTGGCTATAAAATCCCGGCATGTGTCTCCTTCCACCCTTTCTTCGGTTTGCAGATTGTGTCCAAGAAAGTGATCAGTACCATCGAGCCTTCAACTATTCGTACTTTTCTACCATAATTCTCTCTCTATCCCTCTTATTCTCCTTCACGCATATCTGTCTTGATCAACGATAAAATGTCCCGTGGCAATCCATATCCGGTTGTAATCCACCAGGCTTCAGGGACCACGAACACGGCGTCGATTAGTTCAACAGCCACTCCCTCTTCTATCAAGTCTTTGCAGGACTCTGAGACCTGCAGTGAGTCAGAGAAGCCAAGTGAGTCTTTAATGTTACTGGAAGACAGTGCAGTCGGTACGTCCCAAGGCTTCGAAGTGAAACTTTCTATACAGCGTTCAGGACATGCTGCTAACGCCTGAGGCTGTATTGAGCCGCTCACTTTGACAACGCAAAGAATAGTGTAAATTCTCGTACAGGTCAGATTGTCACGGTCTCGCAACATACCTTCAATACGGACAAGACCAATGGGAGCTAGGCTGAGAGTCCTCCTTTCGGAAGAGCTGCCCCGGGATGAAGCCTAGCGGGGAGAAAGCTTTAAAGACTTGGTTCTATTACAAGGCAACAGGATAGAGATAGAAAAATAGAAGACGCTTGCTGTGCTATGTAGAGATGATTCCTCGTACCCAAAGGCAGCATAAATTCTTTCAAGAGATCCGAGAAAGCGTAGAAGAGTAATTAATATCAAATGGCATAGTTTGCCTGCATACTTAACCTCTTTTGAGCATAAAAAACGGCACCCTCACTAGTCGATAGATCTGAACCTTGTTATCTATCCTTGCCTTACGCTTTCACGCTTCCTACCTTGGAGAGGAGCAGAAGTGGATGTGCCGACAGCAGGTGGAGGGATCGCAGAGGCCAGCGTGACAACCCCCGGGAAACATTTTCTGTCTTTGCACGGGCGATAATACGACTCGAAATCCGATTTCGCGGCATCACGCTGCGATGTCAGTCCTCTTCTCTACCGCTCCTATTGTCTGTTCAACTATTCACCCAGCCAGTACGAAAGAAGACCTCATACGAAAGAGAGGAACACTTGATTAACTGTTCCATAGCAGCAAAAGAGATCACAAGGTGTATTCGGGCAACAAGTCCACGCATGTTGAACAATCATGAATCATGTCGGTGGTGGATACTTGCTCTCGACTCAGAATCAGATGACAAGTATGGCCAGTCATGTTCACCATGATTGCTCGAGACAGATTTAAGTGTTCAGTTGACTGGTTTCGACAGCTTCCAGCGTACAAGTGTGATACTTACTTCAGAACCTATCAGGATGTCTTTGTCTGTTCACAGCTGACGGTCGACCATTCTACCGCTATGATATTGTGGCGTTCTTCAACCCTACCAGCCCCTCCCCCTTTTGTTTTCCCTGAAAGGGGAACATGAATGAAGTACGGGTTATGCTCGAGTATAATTCTTTTCCGTCTCATGATTCCAAAAATGGTAAAGGATATGACTGATAATTGGGTTCTACATACATAGATTATGCTTTGAAGAGCCATGCGAATGGACAGAAGTCATAGAAATGCCTTCCTGCCATTCTCGCTTTAAGCCTCTTCTTGCGTACCACAGAATGCACTGAGACGATACCCCATGCGCGGTTGCAGTACCGCCCTTCTCATACCCAGATTATTGTGTTTTTCTAGTGGTTTTTTTGGGGGGTCGGGGGGGGGGGGGGTGGGGGGCGGTTAAGCACCACCCTCACGCTTGGCGTACTCCTCCTCGATGGCCCCCCGGTACTTCTCATCGGGCGATCTTGGGTCTTCGTCAGCGGCGAGGACACCCTTCTTGATGAGGTCGTCCGGCGATGGGCGGTTGGCAAGCTTGTCGTTCAGGGAGTCGGCCCGCATGTGTTTCTCGAGCTGTGATTGGAGGAGAACCACCGAGGAGTCAGCACGGAAAACTGAGCGCATGCACGATGCGCAACGAGGGTAGAGTGAGGTCGGGGAGAACGAACCTCCTTCTGCTGAGCCTGAAGTCCAGGGGCAGCAGTAGAGGCTGGGAGAATATTCTCTATGCAATGAGATTATTTTGTCAGCCCAAGATGTTGGCGAAGGAGGGAGGGCTGGGATCAAGAAGTGGTCTTCTCACTCTCGATAAGCTCTGCACGTTCAGGGCGCTGAGCGAGGTGCTTCTCGAGGGAGTTGCGGCGAGCGCCAGCATTAGCCTGGCTAATGGAAGACTCGTCGACAACGGGGGCTGTATTCTCGTCGGCCATCTTGAGAATGATTTGTTACAACTGTCTCTGGTTGTTTAATTGGGGGTTGTGAACCTGCTTCACGATTACGATGTTGATCGTTCCAGATCGGGAGCAGGCGAGCGTTGCAAGTCAGGGACGGTCGATGATCTGATTTTGGACGTTTGTTGGGGATTGGGCAGACAATGAGAGAGAAATAGAGACTATTGGAAGGGGGGAGTGGGGATGGCAATGGACATGGAGTTGGAGATGGGGAGGGAAGTGGACAAGGGGAAAAGGAGGCAGAATGCGGGGGGGCCGAGCAGCAATGACGATGGGTGTGTTTTCTTACTGGTCCCACCAGCTCCTCCACCTGCACTACTTTGTACGCCACAGCAAGCAATATCTCCTAGAGACAACGAATGAACCCCATCTTGGTATTTCTGAAGCTCCCCTTTAACTGAACTGGATATAGCATACACCATAGGTTGTAGAAGGCAGTAGGTAGTACGACAGTACACAGAGGTAGCTACTAAAGTAACAGCTCCCTTCCCGTCATGGCATGATGTCAGAGCTGTGCATTGGTACTCTAGGCCGTGAGCCCCACCCTTGACAAGCACCTGGCAAGCCAACCTACCTAGCCCCGCATTCCAGACCCAGGACAACCCCTGCCTTTCAGCTAGCAGCTGCATCACTGCTGCTGCGTCGTGGTGCTGCTCTCAGGGGTTGTAGAGCCTGGAGCAATAAGAGGGTTCAAGAGCCTACCTATTTGCCAAACATACATGGCTAATCAGACGCTCCCAACCAACCAAGATAAATGTACCACTTGTCACTTCACACATTGTGGAAGTCACATCCATTGTACATGGTTGGCCACTTGTCACCCATCAATTTTCGTCTAACGGGTCCTTGACCAATGAATTCCTCAGCAGAACCTGCATGCCACAGTACTTAGGTATGAAGCCCAACTGGGCGGTATCGGAGCACATCATCTTCGAATGCATGGCTCTTCTAGAGGGGCCTTCAGGAATGGATCTTGAAAAGAAATCAGTCAAATCTCATTTTATCTCTAAGTGTTGCCATAGCCACTTCTCTTTCACAAGAATTCTTGTGCAGGGTTACTCTGAGCTGTGTCTGTTCCCAGTGTGTGAGTCAACAGAATCATCATCTTATACTTCCAACCTTCAAGAAATCTATCTTGTGATAGTCAGGCATAAATGTAAGTCTCTTGATGATTTTAGTAATTATAATCACAAGATATCTGCCCAAAACTTGTGGTTTTGTTGTGTCCTCACAATCTCAATGGTGGTGGAATATCACATGTGCAATGCTTTAGGGCCAACTCAGGAACCCCATAGCAATTGGCCTGCCCAGTGATTACAACTGCCTAGGTGCATGTTTGTTCTATCTGTCTCTTCAATGAGTTGATAGTGAAGAGTGGAAAGACTACTAAAAGGGCCCTTAAAAAAGCAGCAAAGAAAAAGGGCAAGGGAAAGCCATCATATAGGACATCCTGACATTGCATAGTTAAATATTTACAATTTCATCCAAAGCATGTTATTTATGGAGACCTTGTAGGAGGGGAGGTGTTTAGTGTGGTACAGCATAGAAGTATTCCGCGGGTAAGTAGCCGCTGCGATAACACCGATAGGCGCAAGAGAATGTCGTCACCCCCGCCATTGCCATCTCCTGACAGGGAATTCTACATATGTATATCCTCCTCCCATCAACGATAAATCCATTCACAATCCAAACACCACATAATCTGGACCTGGACTCTTTGCAAGCATGTCTGCAGATGACCAGCAGTTCCTCGACGTGGTAAGGCATCATTCCTACCTTAAAACCCCCACCCTACACAAAAATGGGGGCACCACACTGACCTGCGAGGGCTGCGGTACCAGTTGTCGTCCATACCTAACGAGGTCAGGCGCTACTCCGGCGAGGTTGCCGATGCCATCGATCGCCATGTCGACAAGATTGCAGACCAGGTGAGAGAGGCCCTGTCGGCACAAGACTGGCTACCAGATGCCATCCGCCCGCGCAGCAGACCAACACCACCACCAGCAGCCCTCGCATGCCCTGCCTCGCTCTACGAAAAAGGTCAGGCCTGGGTTTCGAGACACAAGGTCCTGACCGGCATTGTGGTCCTCGTTGCCGGCGTTGTGATCTATCGTGGGTACAAAAAGAGCAGGTCTGCCAGGAAGGCGAGGAGGGCGAGGCGGGCGCGGAACGGGGCCCGGCTCGAGGTGGTGGTGATCGCAGGGTCGCCGAACCTGCCGCTGACGCGCTCTCTTGCGCTGGATCTGGAGAGGCGGGGCTTCATCGTCTTCATCGCGTGCAACACCCTGGACGACGAGACCACGGTGCAGAACATGCAGAACATCACGAGGCCGGACATTCGGCCTCTGGGCATTGATATCACCGACGTACGTCTCCTTTTGTTGTTTCCCTTAACTCGTTGGCTTTGCTGACGACGATGGCGACGGCGACACTCACTGACCCCACCAACAGCCTCCAAGCGCAGGCGCCTCTATCGAGCGGTTCGCCCAGTACCTGCAGACGCCGCACGCCGCCGTGCCTGGCGCAAAGCCCAACTATCTCACCTTGCGGTCCGTTATACTTATCCCCTCCCTCAGCTATCAGACCTCGCCGATCGCCACCATCCCGCCGTCGAGCTTTGCCGACCTCTTCAACACACACCTCCTGCGGCCCATCCTGACCATACAAGCCTTCCTGCCCCTCCTGACGGCAAGGCTGGCCTCGACCGGCGACAGGGCCCCGCCCAGGGTGCTGGTGTTTACCCCGTCCATCATCTCCTCCATCAACCCGCCGTTCCACGCTCCCGAGGCTACCGTGTGCTCGGCCCTGGCGGCCTTTACAGACGTGTTGGCCGGCGAGCTGCGGCCCCTCTCGATCCCCGTCACCCACGTCCAGCTGGGGACGTTTGACTTTGCCGGCTTCACGCCCGCAGCGCTGAGGTATTCGTCGGCGGTGCAGCAGGGCCTGCTCCCCGCACCGAGCTCTGCCGAGACGCTCGCATGGCCCGAGGCCGCACGCCACACCTACGGGCGCAACTTTGTGAGCACCTCGTCCTCGGCCATCTCGGCTGGTCGGGTCCGTGGCCTGCGAGGAAGCTCGCTGCGGGACCTGCATCACACCGTCTTTGATGTCATCGACGGGTCCAACACCAGCAGCGTCGTGAGGGTCGGACTGGGCGCGGACCTGTACGGTTTTGTGGGCAGGTTTGTCCCGCGGTCTCTGGTGGGCTGGATGATGGGCATGCGCCGTGTGGATGAGCTCTCGGCCTGGCAGTCCAGCAGCTACCAGCCGAGCCCGAGGTCTGATAGCGAGAATGGGGACGGCCCGGCCTCGGAATACGTCTCTGTGCAGCCGGAACATATCCACGCCAATGTCTGGAAGGAGCAGTAGCAAGAGAAAGAGCTAGATATTTCTTCTTGTGGACTGTTGGCGCTCAAGAGGTAGATATAATTGTCTGGGCAATGGCCCCTCGACCTCGACCTCACCCTCCTCCTCTCCTGGAAGAGAAGATAACTCATCTCTCTCTGTCCTTCATTCACTCTCCACTCTCCCCTCGCCTCGCCTTGTCAGATGCGCACTTGTCAGATCACCTACGTCTTATGCATGTCCTATAGGCAACACCTTTTGACGATCATCACAGGTACCAATTAGGGAGAGGCGCAGTGATGGTGTGTATGTGGTAGATGGCGAGCAGAGAAGCTTTTTTTGAAGGGAATAAAACCAGCGCAATCAAAATTTGCGGAAAGGGACCGCTGCTGTAATGCGGCCCTGTCTGGTACACATGTAGGAAGAAAAAAGAGAAGAACTTTCCCACCCTGCTTATCTTGTGGCAGCGTCTAAGGGCCAGTCGAAATGACGACGAATGAAGCAAATGGAGGGTATCCTAACGCCTTCCATGACCGCACACAACAACCCTTACTCGAAACCCCCCTCGCTCCCAGCCCTTCCCGGTCTTACCACTGAACGTAGCCCAAAACGCAGCTCAGCCCAGAACTAGCAGTGATTCCGATCTCTGGTGGTGGCCAGTGTTTTTATTTGTTTCTTCTTCAAGGCTCGGATGATTTCCGTATAAGTGAGTCGGATGGTCGAACCCTCTGAGCCCACTCCCTGAAGAAGATGTCAGTTATGCGTCATTGGGCAAGAATAAATTAAGAAGGAATGAGAAACCCCAGGTCTTGGTATTGGGGCAGATAGGATATTCCCAGGAGGAAGAAGAGACACTTACGTCCAGCTACCGTCGTAAACCCTGCGCGTCTCCGGGTTTCCATATCCTGCCTCGGTGAGTGCCGTCTCGATGACAACGGCAGTGACACCCGTACCGCAGCTAGAAATGACGGGCTTGTTGGGGTCGACACCCTTATCCTCAAAGAGCTTCCTCAGCTGGTCTTTGGGCAGAAAGGCCCTAGTCTCCGGGTCGAGCACCTCGTTGAAGGGGATGTTGATGGAGCCGGGCATGTGACCGGAGGACAGACCGGGCCGGGGCTCCGGGTCGGCACCGGTCCAGCGGCCGTGGCTCCTGGCGTCGATGATCTGCACGCCCTCAGCGCCCTCCTTGTTATGGTCGAGGGCGACCTCCCTGACGTCCTCGAAGCTGGCGACCTTGTCGGCGTCCATCTCGGGGATCGGGTAGGGGTGGCACTCGACGTTGTACAGCTCGCCAGCCTCGGTGGGAAGGCCCTGGTCGACCCAGAGGCGGAAGTTGTTGAGCAGATGGACCTTGGGGTGGCCAAAGACCCTGAGGGTCCAGGCGACCCTGGGGGCGCTAAAGATGCCCAGCTCCTTTGTGTCGTAGACAACAACGGTGTCCTCACGGCGGATGCCCAGCTCGCTCATGGCGGCGGCAAAGGTCTTGGGACCGGGGAGCATGTGGGGGTACTCGGAGTGCTTGTCGATGGCCTTGTCGAGGTCGAAGAAGCGGGCCTTGGGGACGCGTTGCTGGCGGAAGACCTGGATGCCGGTACGGCCCTCAGGATCGTTTGGCATGAACCACGCCGCGCAGAGAGGAATGACGCGGGGGTCGGTGCTGATGGGGGAGGGGGGGTTTTTCTTGAGGGCATCGTTCAGCTCGGCTGGGGTGACGAGGTAGTTGGAGGAGAAGGTACGCGAGGAGGAGAATATAGCGAGGCGAGAGGAGGCAGAGGAGGAGAGAGGCGAGAGCGGCGTGGTAGCTCGTGGTCGTCGAGCGTAACATCGAGACAGGCCTGAAGCTGCAGCCCTGGCACCGACCGGCCGAAGGATGGCCGTGGTGGCCATTTTGAGGGTTGCCAGATCAGTGCGATAGGGGAAGGAAAGAACAAAATTAACGAGCCTTATCAAATGTGTGGAAGCGTGACTTGCGGCTGGAAAATGTGATATCGAGGACAGGAGGATGGTGGTGAGGAGTTGGAGGAAGAAGCGTGTGGTCGAGATGATGTCGTGATTAGCTGCTGGGGTAGGTCTCCGTTGGTGGTTGGGTTTGGGGGGGGGGGGTGGGTTAGCTTTAGTTCAGATACAAAGTCTGATAAGGCCTAGGGAATTAAAAAAATAAAATAATAAAAAAAGGATCGGAGATAAAACTTCTCCACCCTATCATGCCTCTTCTACACTCAATCTGTCTGTAGAAACTCTCAAGATTTCTTTACTCCCTCTCTCTCTCGCTCTCTTTTTCTATCTGTCTCGTTCCACATCGCCTTCGCAAAATGTCTAAGCAGAACTCTTGGATGATCACCATGGACAAGGAAGAGAGCGGGGTAATGATGCTGCTTCTGGGTGGGCAGTCTCTCGATTGGACGAGCCTGGCTTGTGCATGAGCTTACTAGCTACTAGCTACCAGCTACCAGCTCCTATGCAGTACGTACATAATGCATGTGCAACAGTACTGAGGACCTCTTGTCGGCGCATGTAATAACTGCTGTAGCATGCACAGTATCTACAGGCCGTTAGCGGCGGTGGACGGTCAAGTAGGGCACAGTACTATAGCGATCGCAACTGCGATAAGTGCCGCTTGCAGGGTTGTTTCAGGCTGCCACAGCTAGTTTCTACCTGCAACTGCCATAGAGCTTGGAGCTTGGGCCAACTGCTCCTATGCAGTAAAGTCAAGTGGCTTACAAGCCTGCATATCAACAAACCAAACCCCCAACCAGCCGCGATAGGGTCTCTGGGGCCGGGCTTGAAAGCGCGCCAAATGTCAACAAACATAGCATCTGCACCGTTCCTTATGTGACATCTATCTACTTTCTCAACCACGCAACATCCCCTTCGGCCTGTCGTCATCATGAAGGTCAAAATCAAAAAGTGGGCTGCCGTCGCGACGTGGCGATGGGACATTCCCGATGACGATGTCTGTGGTATCTGCCAGATACACTTTGACGGGTGTTGTCCTTCGTGCAGGTTTCCAGGAGACGACTGTCCCCTATGTGAGCACTGTCTCCCCACTTCTAATTGACATTTATACCATGCCATCCATGTGCGTGCTTCACTAACATGCCTCTACTGCTTAGTGTCTGGAAAGTGTGGTCACAACTTCCACCAGCACTGCATCGTCCAGTGGATCAAGCAGGACTCTGCGAGGGGCCAGTGTCCCATGTGCCGCCAGAGTACGATTTCCTTTTTTGCTCACGGTCTCCTCTCCTCTTCCTTTCCACCTTGCTTCCGTCACTGACACAACCGGCCCTTCAGAGTTTGAGTGGCTTCGTCCCACCCCACCCGAGGACACCCCGCCGCGTTAGGGACGCGGTGACAGGCCTCGAGTGTTTCAGTTTACAGGAAGGCGATAGAGCTCCCTCGATATGAGAGTATGTCGCGAAAACTTCAAGGCGGCCTGTGGTTATGCGCACGTGCGGTAGAGGGGCTGTCTGGAGTGGGGCGGGCAGGACTCTTTTGGTCATACCTATTTATACCTGGTATGACTGCCATGTAGGAGAAGCATTGTGCTTGACAGAACATGAGTGATGTGGGCGTTGGGGGTGTTAGGGCGTTGAAATTTGCCAGGCTAACGCCATGTGCCATCATTACGCCAGTTGAGGCCACCGTCACGACAGTGCAAAGCTGGCCTGGCCTATCCTGTACCGTCGTCTCACACTTACAATTCTATATACATACATAGAAAACGGGTGTCCTATTTATTTCGAACAAGTAGCTGCACATGGGTGAGACATACAGCCTGCATGTCGCTGTATCACACCGTACGTTTGTCTAAGAAGTGGTCTACACGGTACTTGAGAAGTATGCAATTAAAATCACAATCACATGCCAACTCCAAGAAACCATCCACCCCTGGCTGGCACTGCAGGCCGATAAGATAAAAAAAAAATCAAAGGAAAAGAGGAAAAAGGGAAGCCCTGTCGCAGCGCGTCACTATTTACTTAGTACGTACTACCATGGCGGTACCGCACGTAGTACTTAATACCCTGGTAACCCAGCCTCTGACGGCTGCCGTGACATGGACACGTTAAATGGACACTAGGCTCACCATACTTTCCCACTACATACTTGACACCCCTGCAGCCTTGCTGTCCCCGTCCTCCTCCTCCTCCTCCTCTTCCTCTTCCTCCACCACTGCCTGGACAGTCCCTCTTCTAGGCTGGACCTCTTTTATTTTCTTGTTGTTTTGTTCCTCCCCTTCCACCTCTTTTGAGGTCTCTCTTTCAAGAAGTCTCAACATGCCCGCGTGCCCGCCTCTTTCCCAGCAGACACCATCACCACCCTCCGTCGTTATCATCACCTCCACTGCCTCTGCCATCACTATCACACCACCGCCACCACTACTATCGTCATTATCAATACCATCCTCGCACCACATCTACCCCCACTACCAGCCATCATGACCAGTCCAGACCCCAGTCCCGACCGACCTCCTTCGCTCGGGACGCAGTCTCCCCTCCCAGCTGGCCTCGAAGCCGCTCAAGACACCAGCCTAGAGCAGCAGCAGCAAGGCCCGGACCAGATGCTCGATGAGCAGCAGCCAGGGCCCCCACCGGCCCCCTTCCAACCTCTCTTTACGCTCGTCACGGACAGCATCACCCATGCAGCCTACCACCCCCGTGTGCACTACATCTTCTCCGACGACGACCCACAGCTCCTGACCGATGCCCTGGCAGACCACGGCTACCAGCAGCATGCCCTGGCCTCACCATCCACCAACCTCGAGCCAAGTCCTAGCGTCTCTGGCGGTGGCAGCAGCAGCAGCAGCAGGCCTTCGCTAAATCATCCACCACTGCCACCGCCCGTCTCCACCGAGCGCGCCATCATTCTCGACCTCGTACCGAAGAAGACAACGACGAATCCTTCCCATCATGATGACCCAACATCCTCCTCAGCGGCTGTCGATTATGAGGTGGCATGGGCCTCCTCTCTCAGCAGTGACTGGGCCGTCGTGTCTACCAAAGTCAGCCCCATGGCCGACGACGCAGCAACCGCCGTGCCCGAGGACGGGGCGCACTCTTCGGAATCGTACGAAGGCGCACAACAGAGGCTGATGATGCTGCGCATTGAGGGCGTGGACATTGCCGGCCCCGCCTTCCCGCCACAAAACTCCTCCACGCGCGCCCGCAAGTCGTCTACATCCATGCCCGCCGCCGCAGCCGCCGCCAGAAAGTCCTCACCTGAGGAGCGGGATCTGCACATGTCTGGCAGCGGTGCGAAGCAGGTTCCTTCGCCTGCCGGGATTGACATGCAGGATCACGAGGACTATGGCGCCATCCTCGAGGAGTTCGAGAAAAGAATGGTCGTGCTGCGCAAGGTGGTCGACGCCGGTATGGAGAGGCAGCACAAGATTGCCGCTGCCGCCGCCGCCGCGGAAGCGGAACAAGAGGTCACCGGTCATCATCACGATGCTGGAGGGGTTGGCACCCACGACTGGGCCGGGGAACAAGTCCAGGAACAACAAGAAGAAGATCTAGGACCAGGAGAGGCTGCCCAGCCTCCTGCACAGCATGTTGCCTCAAGCAGGGCACATGAGACCGGCGGGGTAGCGGAATGAGATGCAAAACCATGGCGTGATGCTGCCCCTTTTCCTGCATGATTACCACGGCCTCGTCCCAGTCGAGGTCATTCCTCTTCTATTTCTTCTCTCTGCTTTGGTGTTCCTAGTGTTTCCCCAGCGGTCCTTTTCGTAGGGTAATCATCTGATTGACGACTAGTTGGTTTATTTAAGCAGGCCGTATGTATATGGCGCAAGCAATCTGATGTAGGAAAAAAGCCGTTCTGGCTCTGCTCTGTAAGGAAACCGCTGCTTCGACTCTCAGCGCGGCTACTAAGGAGCCAAGGGGAAACAAAACATCAGACAGAGTTACAGAACCAGGATCAACGGATACTATGACGATTATTATGCCATATGAATGGATGAAGCCTAACTAATCCTCAGATCTCTGCCAATTCGGCAAAGCGACTAGTGATCAGCCATGCCCAAGAAAGCTATACTTCCTAGTCTGTGCTTTAGTAGGCATGCTCCTGGAACATCGAATCTATGAAACTGAATGAATGATTGATAAGGATGTATATGAGGAAAGGGTCAATTAAACGCCAGTAATGTAATCTGTGAGGGAACCGCCCTCTACAGGGGGTGAGAGTGTTTCCCCGCATCATCAGGAAGCCTCCCACAACATATATATGCATATACATAAGGACCGACCAAGGTATTCCGCAACTTTGCTCTCGAGAGACGATAGTGACAGCATCGGGGGGGCCCGGGACCCGTGAGGAGAGACAGTTGCCACTATCCCACGAAAACCCGGCTAGAGAATAGCGTCAAGCCGATTCCCTGAGCGCACTTCACAAATCTGCGCCGTCTTCGTACTTTCACTGTTCCTCTTCCTCTCTCTCTCTCTCTCTCTCTTGCTCCGACTTGCGTGGCGCCCCGCATATGCAACATGTAACAAGTCCGCCAATCCGCAACACCACCGCAATCCCCCCCCCCCCTTCACCACGGCGATGTGGCAGGGATGTTGTTTCAGGAACCCAGGATTCTGTTCCTGTACAGGAAAATTGACTTGAATGCACACATTAAGAGTAAGCTCTCAAAGCCCTCCTGAACTGTTCTCGCCCACTTAATTGGGGATATCATAACCCAAGGCCACGGGCAGGGTCGCAGTCTTTGCCGCTGCCCCAGTCTCCTCAAAAGCCTGGGCGGGAATCACGTAGCGCCCAGCGATCGTCCTACGGGTGATGGCACCTGTCGCCCTCTCAATTGATGCAAAGGACAAATCCAGAGCGCGCTTGTTGGTGTTGGTGCTGCTGCTGCTCTTATTGGCTCCGGGCCCGGCAACGAAGTACCAAATGACAATGGCAGCGACGATAATGACGATGATAAGGACTGTCGCGGAAGAGAGCAGTTAGCTTTAAGTTTCAGAAAAGGGGGGAGTGGCCTCAAGGCAAATGTCTCCGGGGGGCAGCAGCAACTTACCAACAATACCACAGCAGATCCACTTCTTCCTGCGCGTCTTCCTGGCAGTGTCGACGGCGACATCGAGCTGCACGTTGGCCTCCTTCAGGTCCTCCTGGGTCTTCTCGACGTGCTCATCAATCTGCTGCACCATGGGCTCCTGCTGGATGATCAAGGTGTCGAGATCCTGGATGAGCTGCACCAGCTCGGTCATCTGCTGCTCAATCTTGAGCAGCTCCTGGTGTCGGTTCTGCACCTCGTTCAGCACGGCACGGGCCTGGCCCTGGCGGTTGCTCTGCATCATGGCCTGCTGGAAGACCTGCTGGCCACCCGCCGACATGTCCTCAACGGCGGCGCGGACCTCGTTGGCGTCGGCGTCCGGTCGCACGATACGGTACTGTCGCTCCATCTGACCCTGCATCTTGCGACGGAAGTCGGCCTCGACCTGCTGGTACTGCTGGATCGTATCCTTGAGGGCACGGTCAACACGATCGACCTGGCCCTTGTATGTCTGGGCATCCCTGTTGCTCTTCAGCTCGCGCACGCGCTGGACGAGTCCTCTGTAGTCGGACATGGTGGTGGCGGAGAGGTCATCGACCTGGCGGGAGGTGCCAGAGCTTGAGTCAGTCTCGTTGAGAGAGCGATCCTGGAGCATCCGCAGCTGCTGAAGGTTCTGCTTGATCCTCTCCAGGCCCTTGTTGATATCGCTAATCTCGTTCAGGACGTTGACCGGGCTGCCTCCAGGGGAGGCGGCGCCCTGCGCCAACGGGGCCATCTCGACATTGTCACCTGACGGGGGGGGGTTGCACAGTCAGCCTTGCTTTGTCCACCCTGCAGCACTCCAAATCTAGAGGAAAGAGCCTTGCTTCATCAAAGGGAACTCACTGTATCCTCCGCCATAGCCGTAGTTCTGTTGTGGTGCTCCGTACGCGCCAGCCGGAGCGTTTTGCTGGGCGTAGGGGTTAGGCTGTCCTCCGTATCTAAAAGAGAGAAAATGGATACAGTCAGTAATGACGAGATAGTTCATCAATGTGTCAGGCGATCTCTTTGCGTGGGCAGCGATCTCGCGGGGTAGAGATCATCCTCCAGGATTTTCGAGGTGGCTCGGAAGAGGATAGAACTGACCCGTACTAATTGATTTATACTATCAGCTAGACTGGTCTACGGACCTTTGATAGCAAATGCGCGCTCGAACAAGAGGAAGGGGTTGGTGGGAAGGAGGCTGTCAAAAACCAAGAAACAAGGTTCGACTCAACCAGCCAGTCAGGGGGAGAAATGTGTCGCAACGCATGTAATTGGGACAAATGATGGTATTCACGGAGGCGAAACGGCATCGAGGCATTGGAAGATGGAAACACATACACTCATGGTGAATAGTTAGACGATTCTGCAAATGCGTTGCCCTTGCGATGGCAATTGAGGGTGCGTGCTTCGAGAGAATGCAGAGGGAGGAGAGAAATTAAAGGGAGACGGTCGGTCGCGTTTCTTCTAGGCCAGGTGGTGCCAAATGGTGTGTATGTGGAAGGTCCTCCAGAGTCGTTGGCAGGGTTCGAAGGGCGCCGGTTAGGGTAACGTGCCGGGCTGGGCTGGCTGGCTGCTGCTACTGCTGCTGATGATGATGATGCAACTGCACGCAGGTTGAATGCTATACTGTGCCAGACCGTGCCGTTACTATTGAGGCGGCCGTCAAGATTCGTTCGACGCTGTGTCTGAGGCTGGACCGAATCGATATTTTCTCGTCGATGGGCAGAGACTCGAAAACAGGAAGTCGACGGTAGGAAGGGTAGGGCGATGAAGGGGTGAACAAGAAAATGGTTGTAGTTGGAGGAGAAGGAAAAGTGTCTGAAGAAAAGAAGGGAAAAGGAGAATTATTGGTGTACAGGAGCCGCAACTGGGATGTTAGGGATGTACTCTACGGTCAGGTCTGGTCAGGCCAGGGTAGTTGGCTCCAGGGCAAGCAAGGGCCTTGCCTCCAAGGATGCGGCGCGGCTGGGCTGGGTGCCAGAGTTGGAACTTGGTATGACCAAAGCAATTGGCTGCAGCGACTACGAGTGAGAGCGGGAGGATCAATCCGATGTGTGGCTTAGGTGGTGGGCGACCGCCCCCCCTCCTACTCTCCCCGGGGCCCCTAGCAAGGCCCTACAGCAGGTGCTGTCATGTCGGCGGGTCGGGTCAGGTCAAATAAGGATAAGGTCAGGGCCCAAGGTTCAGCTGGTTCTGTCCAGCACGCCTGGCACGGTACCTGTTCCTATTGTAGTACCTGGGCCTGTGGGCAGCCCCGACAACCGTTTGGCCTAACACAGGACTTTACCGATCAGGGTGTAGGTGTGTAGGGTGATTTGGTAGTGCTGGTGGGTATCCCCCCCCCTGTGTCTGAACCCAGTCAGTGAGTCCCCCCTCCAGAGCTTCGCCAGACAATATTGGAGTACATACATAGAACAGCCGCTGCAGGGTCTGGTACCCACATCTGATACCTCGACTGTCGGGATTCCCATTAGACAATCTAGAACAAGATTTGGAAGCGAGATTCCGGGAGATGATGGCAATTTTGCTATACTAAAGGTGTTTTTTTTTTCCTTCTTCTTTGTTCTCGGTTAACTCATCTCAACCGTTTTGCTAAGTATGGTCACCGTCGCTCTTGAGCAATTGCTTACCACAGTAATAACTGTAAACGAGAAAATAAGAAAATAAGAAAAGAAGCTGAAGAAAAGTACCAGGGACACCAGACTGCCAGGGATTACTAAAAGGCACGAAACTCATACTACGGCATTATGATCTTACACCCATGAATGAGTAAGAGACCCTCGGACTCGAGTGTCAGGGTCGGAGCATTTGTGTGCGTCTGTTTGTGTCGCACCTTTGGACCCAGTTTCACATTTCACTATCATCAACTTCAGACGTCTCCATCCTCGATTCTGAAATCATGTATAACATACTATGATAACACATACAAAGTAGAAGCCTCCACACACATACACGCCGCAATTTCTTCCCCTCTGTCTTCTCTTCCGCTCCACCTTTGGTCAACCGTCGATCTGTTGGCTACCCTCGCCCCGTTCATCACGAGCCATGTGCCTGTTGGGAGGCGAGATGACATGCGATCCCCTTTCAGGTCTCCAAGCGCGTGGCTAAATAAGTTCAATTCAGCTACTCAGACCCTTTTCTACTGACAACCTTGAGCGCACCCACCTGGTGATTTCCGATGCGAATTGCGCCTGGTCCTGTCTGTTTCTTCTTCTTTTCACTGCATCGAACCATGGTACAAGGGTCCTTGACTCCCATAGTTACATGCTGAGTAGGAGCAGAACGGAAGAATTTGGGATGCCACAAGATTCTGAGACGCCATCAACCCGCTCACTGTAACACCATTGCCATCATCTGCCAAGGCCCCTCTTTCATTCGCTGCACACCCTCACCGCTGGCGGACCCAACAGTTATCCATCCGGGCAAGCGTCGCCTCTCGCTATTTATAGCCAACAGAGGGTCCTCCTCTCTCTTCTCGACCCGCACTGCGGACCAACGCTCCCCGCGCCATACCTTTTATTCACTCACAAAACATCTCGTATATTCAGTATTAAGAAATATAGAGGGCGCCATTTCTCACATTGGCCGGACATGGGATCGAGCGAGACCTAACTTAGTAGGTAACTAGTACAATATAATGTGCGATTGGCCCGTGATCATGTGTATACGGAGATGCATAGACAGGGTCTATACTCGTTCACGGAATCCATGCGGTCAGCTCATGAGAAAAACGTCGTCGATGTTGCATAGACCATCATCTGTAAAATGTGTCGATGTCTCTGGTCGGTCAATGCGTCCGTCTCAGGTGTGAGAGACGGCCGTGGACCCTGGAGGCCGACCGGGGGGCCTGTTCTGCGAGTCGTCTGCATTGGGGTCTACGTCTAGCTTAGCAGCCGAAAGCGCTCACTCATAACAGACAGACCTGGCACGTATGCTCAAGTCTACAACGACGAGGTCTTTGTTCCTTCTCGAAACCATGAAACGAGCCAATCAACTCCCTGCCTACGATTGGTGCCGACTCAGAACGCCATCACAGAATCATCATACTGAGCGGGAATTCCTCGTTCACTCGAGCCTTAGATAACAGCATATGCCGCAGCGTAGCTTACGCTTGAATCACCCACACTCTCGACGAGGCTGCTCCGCTCATACCGTAGGAATGTAAACTTGCCCTTCTCCTCGGTGACAGCGCCGCCCGCCGCCACCTCGAGCGCCGCCATTGTCACCCCGATGGGATGTCGACCGCAGACAGTGTTCTGGGTCTGGGATAGGTTGTTGACAAATTTGTCATGCTCTCCAGAGGCCACCGCGTCCATGGCCAGCTGGTCCAGGATTCTGATGCCCTCGTGGATGGGTGTCTCTGTGCGCGCATCCCTCCTGGACAGGGACTTGAGCTCGCCCATCCGGTCTGCACCCGGGACGTACTTAGTGTAGTTGAAGCGCGTGCCCCAGTGGCAAAAGTCGGACGACACCACGAAGGCGTTCTCGGGATCTTGGAGGTACGGAGCCAGCAAGGCACCAAATTCCTTCTCCTTGGCCGCGTTATTATCACCGATGAGGATCGGCACGATGCTCGGCCATGCAGCACTCTCATCTCCGTGTGTCTGTTCCAGCCTCTTCCATATGTAAGGAAGATGCATCTCGAGCGAGTGCTCGTCCTCGTCGCTGTGAGGCGGGATATATGAGAACTTTCCCGTGCTGTGCAGAGCCTGGATGGTCTCTTGGTCGACATGCAGGCTCCCAAAGGGGGTCTCGTAGGCGGTGAAGGTGGTCAGCGCACTACCTTTAAGATAGTAGGTGTGTGAGGGGCCCAGAACGAAAATGCGCTTCGCAGATCTGAGGTCAAGCGACTTGTAGGCCCACGCAGCGCAGGGGCCAGAGTACGAGTAGCCAGCGTGCCTAGACGAGGCCACCAGGGTTAGCCGGCATTATACCTAGAGCAGAGCCAAGCTGGATGATAGAGGGGTGGGAAGGAGGAGGGAGGAGGGGGATGTACGGTGCGATGATGACTCTGGCTTTTGGAATAGGCAAATCCCTCCCGTCTGTGGCCGCAGGTACCCTGTCCAGGTACTCGTCGAGCTGGCGTGAGAGGACATCTGCCCTTCGCTCGTACCAGCTGCCCGCGTGAGTTGCTTCGCGGGTTGATGACTGCGACATGATGGCGGCCGTCGATTGTATGACTGAAGGGAAGGCTATTCACAGCCGTTCTTTGGTCATCAAGAGATTGAAATGAGAAAAACAAGTCATCACATAAGAGTTGAGCGGAAAGTGCGGGATGGGAGGGGAGCAGCATATATGGGAGGATAGCAGAAAGGGAGGGGCAGCGGGGGTGGGGTAGCACCATTTACACCCCACCAAACCCCCTGGCACACTGTAGGCTGTAGCAGGCCACTATTTAACAGGAGCAGCTCCCCTGGCAGCAGCTCTTTTGCACCCATATGGGCTGCACTGCAACTGCTGAATGATGACATTAGCCCCACTGACCAGGGGGTGCATGCTCAGGGATGTGTGCCTGGCATACTGGGCATACTACTGGGTGCAGAGACGCCCAGATACCACAAAGGTGGTCAATGCCCTATCTGCTGTCATTAATACCATATCGCTCTGTTCCCAGCTACAGTGGTAGCCAAATGCAAGGACACCCTGAGCGAGCACACCCAGTCTGAGCATTTTATGTTTAGAATTCAGTATCCAGACTCCTGCTTGTGAAATGTCGCTAGCCTGAGATGATGCAGAATACAGACAATACGAGACCCAATACATAGATAAGCCAGCCATGAGACGCCAATTCAATACACCAATAAAGAAGGGCACGCCCTCTTCCAGAGGAGCGAAACGTATTACAACATCCAGGGCCAAAGAACCTCTGTTCTTGCCTGAAAGCAGGATTCTCCTATTGAAAACGGTCACAGCCCAAACCCCGGCCTGGTGATCAGCAGACAGTTACGCCTCCTCCGGATGTCCAGCCCAGGCCTCCCACCCACTTCTTGTTCTTCTGCGTAGCCACACCCTCCCTGCCTGCACACAACAGACAGCGCCGCTGCTCGCCCAGGTTACTGACGGAACAGGAGAAGCACACAGCCCTCGAGCACGCACTGCAGGTGTTGATGTATGTCTCGAAACCGTAGCCATCGTCCATCATGGGATCCTCCTCGCCCAGGCCCACCCCACAGTCTTCGCAGGCCATCGGGCGGGCGGCTGCGTCTACCGACGGACACGAGGCGGTGGACGGAGCGCAGCAAGGTGATGGAGACTGGGACGGCTGTGGAGTAGAGATCCGCCAGAAACTGTGAAGCGATGGCTGTTTCTGAGCTGGCGACGACTGGGAGGTCGGCGTAGAGGGCATAGAGGGTATGGGTACGGTCGTAGAAGGGGGGGAGAAGACGTGATGTGGCTGCTGCTGCTGCTGCTGCTGCTGGGCCTGGTAGAGGATCTGGAGAGTATTCTCTGTCGAGGAGTGTGTAAGCCTTGGTCAACAAGAGTAGCCGTGGTCTGTGCGTGTGCGAGCCTTTGCGCATATGTAGGGGTGTGGAAGAGTGATAGATGCGGTAAGGTACGTACGGTGGACTTCTTGATCCGTTGGACGGCCGTTTCGAAGGCGCTTGAACGTGCGGCTGGGGAGGTGAGAAGGTGTGCAGGAGCGGCTCCGGTTCTGGCCGTTCGGGGAGAGAATAGCATTGTGTGGAGAGTTCGGGTAGGCAATATCCATCATGACCACGTCGCCATTGTCAGACCGCACTGGAGACGAACAGCTCATGCCTAAGCCGCAGCTGCTGACGAGAGAAAGCTCGCCCTCGGACCGCTTGCGCTTGAGAAGCATTTTGGTAGGTAATGAATTGACTGATACCAATGGGCACACGGTTGGAGGGAAATTAAAATAGGAAGAATAAGTAAGGGGGAAAGACGGATATCAAAGTTGGAAGGGAGAGAGGAGAGGTAGTGACGTCCTGAGCAGGTCGTGGCTGGGAGGGGGTGAACCGAGGGAAGATGAGGAGAAGGAAGAACATCACTGTTGCTAAACGCGTGAGCCTCTTCAGGCCGTCTCGATGCCTCGACGCGCGCGAAACTCAATTTACAGTGGTCCACCTCGCGTTCTACAGGGGGCGCGCTGGGGGAGGGGGAGGGGGGACCCGCTGTGGGGAACGCCCGGGTTGAGCCGTCGCTGCGTCCACATAAGAACTACTGGATGGTAATGGCGAAGTACTCTAGTCAAAGGAAGAAGATATAGGGAATTATGAAACACAAAGTGTCCTCCAACACAACAAACAAGCAACAAATAAGTGAGGGATGAAGGATGAAGATTCCCTCATCTCTCTCTCTCTCTCTTTCTCTCATCTCTTTCTTATTAGGTCACGCAATCTTCACGACCAGAGATCCAGTCTTGCCCTTGAGGGTCCTCGCCTGGTCACATCCCTTCCTGATAGCCTCGAGATCATCAAAAGACACAAGCGTCTTGACCGCCCTCACTTTTCCGGTAGCGATGATCTCGCCCGCCTTCTCGACGTCCTCTCTCATGCCGAGTGCTCCTGACACGAACTTTAGCTGGACATTGGTGCCGCGCAGCTTCCACCTGTACCAGAGGTCAAGCAGGCCCACCATCCCCACCAGTAGCCTCATCCACCACGCGAGCCGCTCTCCATCGCCCGCGAGGATTTTCTTCAGCTCGCTCGAGGATGGCAAGCCGATGGCTGACATGATGCCGTGTTCTGGGTTCATCACTGGGAGCAGGCTCATCACGTGCCGTTGTGCAGAGTACAGCACGTCGACCCTGCCTCGCCCAATCTCGGCCACGATGTCTTGTGTCTGGTAGTCCAGCACCCGATCCACGACGCCAGGCATGTACTCATGCACCAGCGGCACCTTGGCCGTCGACACCGTCGCGATGACCTCCTTAGCTCCCAGCACGTTCTTTATGTACTGCGCCCCGATCGCCGTCGATGCCCCGAGGCCCGCCTCAACAAGCACCGTCTTGCCCTCCAGCGAGCCACCCGGGAAGGCCTTTGGGTTCATGTTCAGGCTCGCCCGCAGGTTCTGGATCGCCGTGACCAGGTTGGGCAGCACTGCCGCCGCGTCCTCGAATGAGACCTGCGGCGGCTTAGGGAGGAGCAGGTCCTCGGTGGTCAGCGCGTATTCTGCACACCACCCGCCGCTGCCATTGCCGTAGACCTTGCGGAGGGGGTGCTTGAGCCCGACGCCGTACACCGCATCGCCGATCCTGAGAGATTTGACACCGCTGCCCACGGCAACGACGACGCCGGATCCTTGCCGCCCAAGTATGATGGGAAAACTGTGTCAGGCGTACATGTCAGCGCTTTGCCCACCTCTTTGAGAGCGGCTATGACCGAGAATTCAGAAGGAGGAGCATCAGCAGTGCTCAGAAGACTCACGTCGAAGGGAAGACCATCCTGGCGGTTCCTGCCGCGACCAGGGCATCGCCCACGGTGATTCCTACGGCGTGAATTTGAATCAAGACATCATCTGGGGCCTTGATTTTGGGTACTGGAACCTCCATAATCTCGTATTCGTCTGGCTTGCAATACTTGCGCGCTCCAAGGGCGCGCATCGTCTTGGGGATGGGCTCCATGCTTTATGACCTTTAAAGTGATGGCCTGGCTCGATAGTGGATGATATGAGCACAGAGCGACGAATAGTTTCTGCATCCTAGACGGACGGCCTTATAACATTTTTCTGCCCTCCTGCCCGGCGGCTCAACACGCAGAGACTTCATGACGTCGATTCGGCGCCGACGCCGAATGCTTTCGGCGGACCCGCCGAACATTTGATGACCAAACGTGATCCGAAGTACACATTCCGCCCGGAGCATGACACAATGAATCCTACAGTAGCAGGCTTGGTTATCTGCTAGGAGGATGATGCTCGCCCATACTTGTTCTGGTGACCTTGACAAGCCTGCCTCAAATCCAATACCAAACCCTCCTGGTATCAGACTTTACGTGTATGGGTCATGCATTGAGGCAAGGAAATAGAAGAAGCAGTAGAAATCCCGGGAACTCTCCTGGAGAGTCACAGCGCAGGTATGCATACCCGCCATCTACTGTCTGGATGTCTGAATATTGCACACAGGCTTAATACTCTTGTCACTGATGAAGGGTGTCACGTGGTGCGAGAAGGCCTGATGAAGGCCGGTGGATCCACTTTGGCCGGGTTCGCCGGTAGGCGCTACAGTAGCGGGCCGGCAGGCAGATTTGCAGAAACCCGCCCCAAACATCACTCAGACGACTCCAACCAGCCAACGACCACGACCACCACCAAACCACGAACCTTGGAAGACTCCAGGCTCAACATCAGCCCTGTCCTCAAGATGGCCAGCCGTATGTGCACCGCACGATGCATGCGCGCCACCACCTCCCTCTCCGGGCTCAGCGGCAGCCTGCGAATGCTGTCCCTCTCCTCCTCCTCCGCCTCCTCCTCACAGACTACCGCGACTGTCGTCCGACCAACCACCCAAATGCGTTCCCTATCCTCGACCATATTACGGACTCCGAGCTCCAGCCCTATCGTGAGGTTTCCAGCACGAGCGCTTACGCCCGCTGTGCAGCGCCTGGCTGGTGGTCTCCAGGCGATGCGGTACCAGGTTAGAGGGATGAAGGTGTACAGCTCAATTAAGAAGCGGTGCGAGCATTGCAAGGTAAGCGTGCAGTGGACTCCTTATTCTAGAAGAATTCTTTTCTTCTTCGTCGTCTACTTGTCCAAAAGGGGAGGCCAGGTGGCTAATTGGCTGTTGGCAAAATATAGGTGGTGCGACGGAAGAAGAGCAAGAGATCAAATGGCTACCGGTATATCATTTGCAGTGCAAATCCTCGACACAAGCAGCGTCAAGGCTCGTAAAATTTCATGCAGTAGAGAGCCAGGAGGAGACTTAGGGGTGATGAGCGGTAGCGTCCCTGGATAAGCCGACCACGGCTTGGGAACAAGAAGGGTTTGGGGCGAGGACGAAAAGCAGGGTGGTATCGTATCAGCTTTCGCACGAGACATGCGAGGTGATACACCACACACTAGCAAGCTATCACGCAAGGGCGACGGTAGAGCTTGCTTCTATCTCAGCGCGGTGGCAGAGGGCGATGCCAGGAGAAGACAATGCAGCGCAATACAGCGCAATGTATATTCTATCTACACACAGACTCTGCAATTACCACGCGAGTCTATCTGCCTCACCAGGGCCGGTCACATGCCACCAATATACCGCTCCATGCTATCCCACTGCGTCTTCCCCGTCGACAAAAGGTACCGAATGTGTTGCTAGAGTTGGAGGTGAGGCCGCGTCAGAACCCAAGAGCGCATAAAACCAAGGCAGCTGCAAGAAAACAGGAGGCTGCGAGGTAGAAGACTCACAATGTCTTGCACGTTGCGGTGTCTCTCGATTTCGTGTCGCGCAAATAGTCTCGTCTCGTCTCGTACGGTTGGATCACTGATCTTGCGGGTTCCGCGCAGGATGGTCCGGTAAAAGGACAAGACTCGAGCTCTCTGGAGAAACTGGAGGGGGCGGAGGAAGGGGATTGATACATATGGTCAGTCTCGACCAGCGGTGCCAAAGGTAGATCAAGGGTGGTAATGGTATAACAAATCATACGTGATCCAGACTCAGTGTATTTCCGAGGCCACGACGTGGAGAACGCGGTCCTCTACCAGTGCCAGTGCCAGTGGCAAAGCCTCGCACGCGCAGATGCCGCTGCAGCCAGAGCACGTTCGCCTTCATTGATCCGATCTAGTCCCGAGATGCCACTGTCCCAGTTCACACATTACATACTGACGTGCTCATTGAATGTGATGAGATAATTAATGGCAGTGGCTTTGGTGCAGACTTTTGAGGTCGCTTTTGCGAAATATAAATACAGCAAGTACCACTTACTTGAGCGCCGCTCCTCAGTGAGATACCGCCTAAGAGCTAGAATTTTTAGGTGGGTGCAGTCTTGTACTGTTCACTAGCAGCCACTCAAACCGGTCCGCTGAGCTCTTCTAAACCTGGGCACCCTTGCTACTGTAGTATGTACAGCCCTACTGTTACTGTTAACTCCTGCGTTGGAAAGGGCCTGTCCTAACCCTCTGCTTTTAACGACCTCCTGTTCTGACCTTGCTCTCCTCCATAACTTCACTCCATAACATCATCTTCGTCTGTCTGTCTGCTTCTCAATTCCTGTATCCGTTATCGCTTTCCTTGCTCTCTCTCCCTTTCTCTCTCTCTCAAATAAACACGCGCGCGCACGCGCACACACACAAAAGACCAATCGCTTCATTACTGCCATCATAGACTTGTTCTCTGCACGAGTTTACAGTCTGACCTACCAGCCTCATGCTCAAGAGGAGGAGCCAGCGCAAGGAGATAGAAAATGCCGTGAAGATAGCCGCGAGCAAACCAGATGACGACTTTGTCAGGGACTATTTAAAGAGGTAGAATCATGGCAACCCACACCGCTCTGCTCGAGTACTGTTGTTGTTCTTTTTGTCTGACGAGGCTGTAATCAGTGTCCCAGGCGGTGGACCAAGTCCGTGGACCACATCATGGAGCCATCCTAACACCGGGACTGTCTATGGCCTCAGCCTCACCCAGTCTTGCAATACCAGCGATTGTGACCTGGATGCGTGCTTCGCCCTTGTCGAGGAGACCAGCAGGCAGGACTATGAGGCCTCGTCCCGCGGCTGGAATCCCAAGAACAAGCGCAAGGAAATGCGTGAGCCTGACTTGCGCTACATCCTCGTCAAGGATCCTGCTGGCAATCTCGGCGGCTTCACGTCTCTGATGCCGACCATGGAGGAGGGCGAGGCCGTCGTCTACTGCTACGAGATACACCTCAGGCCTGAGCTCCGGCGCACGGGCTTGGCTGCCCTGCTGATGAGCTTCCTGCAGACGGTGGCCAACAACATCGAGATCATGGAAAAGGTCATGTTGACTGTCTTCACCTGCAACGCCACAGCCCTGGCCTTTTACCGGCGATATGGGTTCGAGATGGACGACATATCACCAAGACCCAGGACGCTGAGGAACGGGGTTGTAAAGGAACCTGACTATGTGATCATGAGCAAGCCGGTGGACCGCCGACGGAATCTACGCAGAGAGATTGGCCACGGCGGTACTGCTGACAGTGACGAGAGCTCGATGGCTCGGCCTGCCAAGGTGGCCAAGGTGTAACTACGCACGACAGGAAAGTAATGAGAGCGACAATGTCGGAAATCGAGTTCAATAAAACCAGACACAAGACTCTCTCGGTTCTGACCATGTGATTACGCAGACATTTTTAATCGGCGCATATTCCTTAAGGACTATTTGTCGTGTAAGTCTCCAAGGTAAGCGGTCAAAGAAGACTGTCCACAATCAGCTGAAGGCGAAGGGCCGGCCAGATCGAGAAGTCGCATCATGTGCGCGGGCTTTTCCACAAGTGTGGCACGATGATAAGGCATGAAATAAATCCTGCACACGAGAAGTATGCTGACACTTTGGGGGCAGGTGCAGTTTCATGTATTCGAAGATCTTGACGCGCTGTTGAATCCCTTCCATTGCTCTCGTACCAGTTTTCTGGTCCTCCTAAGGAATAGCCTCACCGGCCGTCACCGATACCGGGTCTTGATAATTCACATACCCAATTGAGAAGATACGCAGCCCTATTATGATGTTCCAGGGTCGTCAACTGCTCTGCCGATGTGCACAACCCTTCAGATGATGCTTGTAACTCGGTATCCATGTGGCACAGGCACAGCCTCCTCAGATTTTCCCATCGTCTGTCTATAGTAACACATCCTCCCAACCTATTGGATTCACAAGGGCTGAGCGCAAATTATCTATGAACTTGGTACCTTGCATGAGTATAACGCGTGTTGCCATTCGGCTCGTGCGCCCAATCAGTCCACATAATCTGGGTCCCCCGCCCCGTCCAAAATTCTGCCGAAGCCCCTTATCAGGTATTCAAGTACGGTTGAGGAAACGAAGGCCCTGCCAAAGTTCCACGGCATGACTTCACAAAAAGCAATGTTGTGCTACTGTAGTGGTGCTCAAAAGGCCGTACGGCAGTACGGCAAAATGTATGTGGGTGGTCCATATTTCGATCCGAAGGGTTGGTTGGTTGACCTTTGACCGTCGCAAGGCAGAAGCGCAGGCGACACACATGGTCGGCCAGAAGTGCGCCAAATATGAAACTTACCCGCTCCGTATGTGAACGATCCTGCCACTCCTTCGTTGGTCCCAGCAGAGGCCACAGGGCTGATCCAGGCGGATTGCGGTGCAACGTGCCCGAGGGCGTAAGCTGACATTTTCTTCCAACTGGCGGCCGCAGCTGGGGGCGCCCTCACTCCTCAACGAGTAGCCGTGCACTACTCCAGCTCCAGGCTCCTCCAGGCAAGGCTTAGATGCTCTCAAACTCAAGCCACACATTCCGACCCTCCATCGTGTGGGCAAGTAAACAGAAGGGGTGTGGGGGGGGGGGGGGGGACTGGTTTAAATATGCTGTCTGTCCGCCTGTGGCCATGTAAGCCCGTAAGAAGCTTGGCTCTTGTTCATTCTCGTTCCCATCACCTCACCTCACCTCGCGTACTTATTTCTGACGTCTTGTCGAATCACGCCTCCCACTACTCTACCCTCCCAAGTGCCGGTCACTCAGCGGTGATTCTCAAGCAAGATGTCTTCAGAAGGGTGGTCAAAGAGCCTGTGTGGCTGCTGCGGTAGCTATGAAGAGGGCAGCGGTTGTGTTTTGTGGTAGGTGCTCTCCTTATGATGCAGGTTCCAAGGGAGACGTGGCTGGGATCTCTCGTGATTCTAATACCAACCACCCTCGCGAGAACACCTTCAGGGTTATTTGTCTGACGGTCCGATAGCCTCATGGGAACCTGCTGTCCATGCTTCATCATGGGGAGAACCATGTATAGGGTGCAACACCCCGAGATGGATCGTAGTCAACTAGAGAGAAACCCTTGCAATGCAGATTGTGCAGTGGTTTGCGTACTGCACTCTTTAGGTGCTGGTTTGGGATGGCACATCTTTGGCTGGGCGTAAGTGTGGTGGTTTTCCCACTTCTCCTTAACGGCAACCTTTTACGCATATGCTTACCATTGCAGGTATAACACATGCCGTCGTGGAGATGTTCGTGAGCGGTACGCCATCAAGGGAAGCGGGTGCAATGATTGTTTGGCATCGGTGAGTCGCTGTTTGCTTTGCCACGGCCAAAACTCCATTCTTCTCCTCATTTCCCTCGCAAGAAATCAGAGAACTTGGATGCGCCGTGCAGGATAAATTTGCGAAGTCAGTGTAGATTTGGCTGACTGTAACTTGGTAAAAGTGCTGCTGCTCCTTCTGCGCCTTGGTCCAGCAAGAGAGAGAAAGCGCGGCGAGACATCAGCAAAAGCGACCGATAGCTAATGTGGTGAGTGCATCCCGGTGGCCGAACCGTCTCTCGTCTCTCGTCCTGCCCATTAGCGGGGTTTATTTCCGCACTTGGTCAGTGAGTAGAATGACAGAAGACTGATCAAGTTCGAATATTCAGGTCATGGATCAGCCCGGCGCACAAATGCCAATGCAGCCGCCACCAGCGGGCAAGTATTGAGGAGATCTGGGTATGCACAACTCTGCGTGAAGGAAGCATATGACGGAATACGGTGGCTCTCGGCCTACACATGGACTTCTGGGGGGAAACATAATGAATTTTAGGATATGACATGAGAGCCTACCCAAGATACGCTGTCAGTAATGGTATGAAGATACATAGCTTTGGGAGGCGAGAGCCTAGAGTCCGAGTTCTTTTGCAGCTCAAATGAGCAACGTCTATCCGCAATGCATTCTCTTCGTTGACCATCAGCCAAAGCAGATCTTCTTCTGTTTTGGATCGGCGCCCGTGGGCGGCCGGCCTCTTTTCTTCTCGGACGAGAGCTTGGCGTGCTTAGGCTCTGGTGTATCCCTTCGGGTCGGAGGGCTTTGAACATTCATCGTCGAATCTTTCTGAACAGCTTCTCGAATTGCTTGCCTGGATAGGCAAGCATCGATATGGTCATTGAACAGCTTCTCGTTCGCAGCCTGGGGCCGACTGCAGATGGGGCATTCCCACCATGCTTCCTGTGCCGGCGACGATTCTTTCCTGGGTGTAGGGTTGGGCACGATCTCTTTCCCGTGCCTCCGGTATGGAGAAGTGCCGTTCTGCCCTATTGGAACAGCCTCTCCGTCCGGGTCTGGGCCTGGAGCTGGCTCTGGCTCTGGCTCATATCCTGAGTCAATAAATATTTCCTCCTCTGGCCATTTTTCCCAGCCATCGTCGTCAACGTCTTGTGCTATCGCCCGCAGCACTTTCCCAGGCGCACTGGGCATCGTCCCACTTCTCGGCTTCAGGCCAAAAAAGACACGCGTGTCGGGTTTTTTGGTGCTGACGAGATGGGTGCAGCGTAAACCCATCAGTCTAATCCTCATACCGGGCATCTCTTGTTCCAACTTGGTCAGGATGGGGAGGGCATAGTTGTATAGGTCGTCTGCGAGGCAAATGGCCTTGGGCATTACGGCCTGCCTAGTATAGACCTCGAATGTGTGCAGCTTGACCTTAAGCACCAGGGTTCTGCCCTTGCACTGTGCCCGGCGCATGTCTTTCTCCAGCTCTTCGGCGGTCCACCGCAGCTTTTCGCGCAACTTCTTGGGGTCGGCCAGATCACCAAAAGTGCTTTCGGTACCGACGCTCTTCCTCTCGTATTCCTCGGCCGGCTGAACGTTGGTACGTCCAAGGCCCAAGTGGCAGTGTAGGAGGAACTCGTAAGCCTTCTCGCCGAAGAGCGGGTTGAGGAACTCTCTTTGGGTGTAAATATCCCCACAGGTCTTGATACCGACCGCAGCAAGCTCTCTCTCCCAGACCCGGCCGATCCCGTTGACCTTGCGACAGGGCAGATCCCGCATGAAACTCATAATGGCAGTCCGATCGTTGGGCAGCAGGAACTGTCCGTTGGGTTTGTTCATGTTGGAGCAGATCTTGGCCAGCTTGGCATTGGCCGCGATCCCTGCTGATACCGTGATGCTGGTCCTCTCGTGGACCTGCCTCCTCATCTGGGCCACGGCTTCCTCGGGTTGCATATTGTGCTCCTGGCAGTAGGCTGTGATATTCAGGTATGCCTCGTCGATACTAGCGCTCTCAAAACGAGGGTCGTACTCTGCTATGACCTCGCGTACCTCGGCTGCCTTTGCGGTATACTTGTCAAAGTTGAGAGGGATGAAGATGAGATCAGGGCACAGCTTCTTGGCGACAAACCCGGCCATGCCAGAGCGACAACCAAACTTCCTCGCGATGTAGTTGCACGTGGTCAGGACGCCGCCGCCTACAGCAAAGGGAAGGTCGTTAAGCTCGGGACGGTCGAGCTGTTCTACAGCGGCATAAAAGGCATCGCAGTCGAGGTGGACAATATGTTGTGTGAGGTCCCGGGACAGCTCGAGCTCGGCGATGAGGGCGTCGGCCCTGCGCAGGTGAGGAGAGAGGTCCAGCCTCTCGAGGTCGCGTTTCTTGCGGAGGATGCGGTCGATCTTGACGGTCAGTGTCTTGTCCCTGTCCTCCTCGCGGTTGAAAAACTTGGACCCCTTGGAGGCATTATAAATGATCTCGGAAACCTGAAGACGGCCCGCCGGTCAGCTAGGAAGGAGATGGGATAGGATCGACGAGAAGGGTAGGGGGGTGGGGGGGTGTATAATGGGTGTGTGCTTAGAGTGTGGGCTTCAGCCATGCGAGATGGTGATTGGATTGTGTGTGCGTGCTTGCTTTTGACTGATCGACCGAGTCCTGGCCTGCCTTGGTCAAGGATGGGCCGAGCAAGGAGTACTTCAGGGTGGCATGGTCTTGATCTGAATGAGACGGTCCTGCAGCCTCTGGTGCATCATCAACATCAGCAGCATCTTGTTCTGAGGGTACGGAAACGCTCCTCTCGTGCAGCGAATCTGGTATTGTCTCGTCGATCGTCATGTCGTGCGACAGCGGGCCTGTAAAGTACAACAGCAGCAACGGCTCAGCTTGACGATGATGATGGCGAGAACCATATCTTGATGTTTATTCTCCTGGCCATGAATACTGGTCAGCTGGCTGGTGATGGTAGTTATCGTGGGTGTTGCTGTGAGGGGAGCGCGTCCTGCTGTGATTACACACGGGAAGAGCAGAAGGGCGGAGAAGACCCAGTTGCTCCTGTCGCCAGGCGACCGCGCCATCACATGACCTTTGTTGCTTATATCATCAAGAATAGTATCTGCTCCCGCTCAGTACCAGCCAGACCAGCCCCCCCCCCCCGGCGCGCCCGCCCCCGGGCCCCCCCTAGGCCAAAACCCCCTCCTTCCGCCCCCTCCCCAAAACATTAATACTAATAATCTACGTAGTAGCCCCCTTGCCTCCCTTCCAAGAAATAACCTCCTCCTTTGAACGGGGGAAACAACAACTTTGACATGCAAATTACCGAGATATGCTGCCAGGATGGGGCCCCTCGCTTGCCCACAAAATCTCCACCTCAATGCAACGTTCATGACGTTTGTTTGGTTCGTTAACATGGAGAAAGAAACATTTTGCGGAGGGTAGGATCGGAGTGACCAACTACGTGCCTACTTGGACAGTACAGCTTCTATAATTTCAAGAAAAATATACTGGGAGTCATAGGACGTATTCTATACCATGGCACACACTCGAGTGCATAAGATCCGTCATCCTTGACCTGTCCAAAGTACTGGGCATGACTTGGTAAAGGGTAAAGTACTTTCACGAGTTTCCACTTCGTATACTACCATGCTAACCACCATTCTACTTAGAACCCGTTCCTTGTTGCCATCGGTGCTGTTATCGTGGTAGGGGATCCCTCCTTGCCCACCATCAAAAGGAAAATCAAGGCAACCCCCCACAGTTGGACGGCGGAGAGATGGGGTAATGCAGTCTTATTTGGGGAAGGGGGAGCGAGGGGGCGCTCTGCTAATTGTGATGCCGATCGAGGTACTAGCATGGGTACTGCTTTGTATCAAAGAAGAAAAAGAGTGAAAAAGCAATGAGGCTGTGAAGGGTTCTGTATCTCTCTTCCTCCCTTCATCGACCGACTCAACATCATGAGGAAAGTGGCATCATCATCTCTTGCCGTGATCACGGCCCTCGGCCAAGGCCTGGCCTCGACGCTCCCCTCATGCTCAGTCGAGTCATTCCAGGATGCGCTGCCGTCGTATGCCACCATTCTATCCGCAGTGGCTGTCGCAGATGGGAGCACATACGGCCAGGGCGCAGCAGACATCGCCTACCCGACTAATCCCACCAACCTACCGGCGTCTTGCGCCCTCACCGTCAACGTGACTACCTCGTCGACGTCCAGCTTCCGCTTCGGCATCTTCCTGCCGGCCCAGTGGAACGGCAGGTTTCTGACAGTCGGGAATGGCGGCTTCGCTGGCGGCATCAATTGGCTGGACATGGGAGCTGGCGTCCGTTATGGCTTCGCCGTCGTGTCCACAGACACCGGACACAACTCCACCTCGACTGACGGGACATGGGCCCTGGACGCTCCAGAGAAGACCCTCGACTTTGGCTACCGCTCCATCCACGGCACCACGGTGCTCGGCAAGAACTTAACCGAGGCCTACTACGGCCAGCCCATCTCTTGGTCCTACTACTCTGGCGCATCCACAGGCGGGAGACAGGGCCTTCGGGAGGCCCAGTACGATCCCGGCGCCTTCGATGGCTTGTTGATAGGGGCGCCGGCCTGGTGGACCAGTCACCTGCAGCCCTGGACCACCAAGCTGGGCAGCCTCAACCTCCCAGCCAACTCGTCGGGCCATATCTCCACCGATCTCTTCGGCACCATTGGCGCCGAGGTCATCAGCCAATGTGACGCTGTAGACGGTGTTGTCGATGGCATTGTCAGCTGTCCAGAGAGCTGTCAATTCAACCCAGCTGCGCTGCTCTGTGGATCGACAGGCGGTGGGGCCAACGCGACGTCGACCTGCCTGACGCAATCACAGATCAACACCCTCCAGAGCATCTACGCCGACTATTACGCAGACGGCAGGTTTGCCTTTCCCGGCCTGGAGCTGGGCTCCGAGGCGCAATGGTCTGTCCTGCTGGGAGGCGACGAACCCAACAACCTTGGGGATAATTACATTCAGGACTTCCTCCTGAATGACCCGTCCTGGTCCTGGACAGAGTACAACGACAGTCTTCTCTGGCAGGCTGACGCCGTGGACCCTGGGAATTGCACCGCAGATCACTACGAGGCGATGGCTTCCGTCATGGCGAAAGGCACCAAGATGTGAGTAGCCCCTTTATCTTAGCCTTTGGCTGGCTTTGTGTGTGGATAGAGAGAAAACAGACGGAAAAGAGGACTGACCGACATGGCCTGCCATAGCTTCATGTTCCACGGCTTGTCTGACGGCCTGATCGCGACGAGGAGCTCCAATGTTTTCTACAGCACTATTGCCAACGCCACGGGCGGATATGACAAGCTGAACAGCTGGTTCAGGCTGTTCATGGTGCCTGGAATGCAACATGTCACCGGTACGGCCGTGGATGCCCCTTGGTATTTTGCGCAGCCCAACGGAGCTGCTGTGTTGGGCACCGATGTGTTCTCGACGCCTGGCTTTGAGGATGCCCAGCACGACGCCCTCATGGCCTTGATGCACTGGGTGGAAGACGGCAAGGCCCCGGACCAGATTATCGCCACGACATGGACCACCTCGACGGACCCCAGCTCTGGTGTGCTAAGGCAGCGTCCATTGTGCCCGTGGCCTCAAAGGGCCATGTATCAAGGTTCTGGGGACGTCAATAGTGCAGACACCTGGAACTGTACGGCGGCGTAGTAGTATCCCCAGATAAACTACCACAGAAAATCCTACCATATTGCTGCTCATGCTCGTTGAATTACATTCCATCTGCGTTGGTTCAGTGAGTTGCATATTCCCACCGCCTACCTTCATGTCCCTCTGGTAGAGTATCTTTTATATTCGGCTATTCAAGTACTTGGTAACACATGCGACGAGTACAAGTCAAGATGCATATGTGATGCTTAGCCTTTACTTTTATCTCCACTTTCTGTCTCCCTAACCTGTTCCTGAAGGGAAAAAGCAGAGACTTCTGCTAGGAAAAAAGTTCTTTTGATATGCTCATCCGTCTGCATCGTTGCCATCGCTCAGTGCATCCTGTGCTCTCTTCGGTCTCGTGTCCGACAAGTCATTCTCTCATTGTATTGCCTTGATCAATCCCCTCTTACAAATACAGCCAAATGGTTTGCCCAAAGAGCCCTTCATACTGTGGGCTTGCGGCGGCCGCTGCCTATCAGGCTGAGGAAGGACTCCTTGGTCGACAGCTTCCGGCAGCTTGCAGTGTCTGGAGCACTCGACTGGCTCTTCGCAGACGCCGACTCTCCCACCCGGTCACTGTCGGCAGTGACAAGGCGAGAGCCTTGGGTCTGGGGAGGAGCACGACCCAATGCGCGTGAGACCTGGTGCCTCGTGGGCGTCACAGGGTCCTCGTCCTCACTCGCTCCACTCTGTGAGGAACCAGTGTGGTGAGCCGCTGAGGCGCCATCGCTCACACACCGCAGGCCCAACAGCTTGAGTGCCTTACTAGGAGTATCGTTCCTCATGGCCTTCATAGTTGGGCTAATGGGACCACTCGCAGGACCGGGAATCCTGGACGGGCACATATTGAAGGAATCATAAAAGGAACTCAGCGGAACGGGAGGACCGCCGGGAATTGGGAGGTCAACCCTGGGAACCGGCGGATGGCTGGCACGGGTAATGACCTCGACCCCATTCTCAAACACGGTCAACACATTACCAGATCCGATCTCGACAAATACATCATTCTGCATGTCGTACTCGGTGCAGACCATCTGCTTGCTGTCGGGCAGCGGGGGAAACCTGTGAATGCCGCTTCGAAGGCCATAATCCATGTACACTGCATAGCCAGGGGCAGCATAGGCATGGCGCGAGGGCGTGTATCGATCAATGTGACTCTTCTTGTTCATGGCCGGGAGGGCATCGTACTCGGCCTGGAGCCAGAACTTGTAATGGTTGTCGCGAACCCAGTTCTCGCTCAGACCGACCATGCGAACTGACCAGACACGGCCAGCAAGCTGCACAAACGGGTCGGCCACGGCCATGTGTCCCTCTTCCACAAAAGGCACGCGGTTTGGTGCGAATTCATGGTGACGACGATGACCCGAGTGCGGGTTGTTTGCCGATGGTGGGAGGCTGGCAGGCTCCCATCCCAGCTGTTTGTCACCAGTCAAAGGGTATTTGCCCTGGCGGTAGCCGAAATAACGACGGCAATGGATGGTGAGGAAGCCGATGGGATTGCGCCTTGGACAGCGCGTGCGCATCTTTGCCACAAAGTGCTGCACGAGGTGCCTGATGGACGAAAGCTGGAGGCCTAGGCCCGTGGCCTCCCACTCGAGACCAAACCCGAGTTTGGTCATGTCCAGCTCGACACGGACATCCTGCAGGAACGAAGCATACTCAAACAGCCACTTGGTCGGCAGTGGCTGCGTCAAGGCCTTCACATAGGGGCTGAAGATGACGTGAAAGGGCTGCGTTATGAACACAGCGGCCATGACGTCTGCTCGTAGATGAGGACAGGCCCAGATGTAGTTCTGAAGGAGTCCCAGGACATCCCAGAGCGAGGCGAACGAGTCCTGAGGCCATGCGGGCGATGCTTGGGACTTGGCATTGAGCAGAACTGGCTTGCCAGGGAGATGGTCCTCGAGAAGCATCTCCATAATCTTGAAGCGGATCCTGGCAGGCAGGTCAAAGTACCGGAACCGCTTCAGACCATCGAATCTGGTTGTCTGCCGTCCACGAGAGTGCTGGACCAAAAAGGCCGTGCGGACGTACTGGAAGATGTCGGGAAGAAATGGAACAGTCCCCGTATGAACATGCTCTCTCGTCTGTTTGGCGTAGCGATACCAGACCAGGTCGACGGTGCGGTCGAAGGCAGGTTCCGGATCTACGTCGCCCTCGGCAATCTTGGCCTGGGTCGCATCGGGGACCGTCACTGGATTTTGCGATGTGTACCCCCTTTGAAGATCAGTAGATACCGTAGTCCAACGAGACGCGCGCCGAGTGGCGACTGCGACCTGTGTAGGTCGCTGGCGGCGGACGTTGAGGGTCACGGGATCCTCAGCCGACGAAGGAACATGGACGTTATTGGGCACGCCCGATCGAGCCTGCAGAGCAGCACCCTCGCCTCGAAGGGCTGGGTGATCAGCAAGAGGAGGTACAGGAATAATGGTCAAGGCTGTCAATATGGCCTCTCGAGAGGCCTGGTCTGTGACACCTAGTCGAGAAGCTAGACGGTTAGCTGCGTCCTCCCGCGACTGCTGTTGGGTAGAGTGCGTCCCCCTTCCACTACACTGGTATGAGGAGCGGCCGACGGCTCGCGCACCAGGCTCTGTAGATGCGGATGCTCGTCTGATATCGCTGGGATCAGTCATAGAATTCTGAGAGACGCCGTTAGACCGACGATCAGCAATCCCATGAGATGAAACAGTCGTCGAAGAGCGCGCTGGGATGAGAGACGCGTCGGCTGAGTTGCGCGAGCCATCAACACATGTTTCAGCACTCGTCGTCCTTCGCGGCATGGACGACATGGAAGGCAGTGCCGAGTGAGAAGAAGAAGAAGCGCCTGAAGTGCGAGAGGCACTGCAGATATTGTCAAACATGTCAGAAAAGGAGATGGCCTCCGACTCGTGTGATTTGAGAGATATGGGACGGTAGGTCAAGATGGACGTTGACGCATTGCTGTAATCAGAGGCCTGAGAAGCAGCAGGCTGCTCGCCAAACAGAGTAGAGACCTTGTTGCGCAGTGATCGACGCTTGGCCTTGATTGACTTGACAGACTTGGAGCCACGCCTGCCCTCCATCACGTCCATGCTATTTTCCTGTGAAATCATGCTTGGTAAGCGCTGTTTGTCAGGAGTGATAGCCTCTGGGGAGGCCTTATGCAGGGAGGCCGTAGAGGAGCCATCGGTCTCATCCATTTCGGTCTCATTGTCAATTATATCACACTTTATCATGCTCCTTGTCTGAGGAAATTGTGTGATCGTCGATGACGGGACCGAGGCATCGGAGGCTGTATACGGCAGAGGCCTGTCAGGAGGTGGCTGCTGTTGCGGTGAGACCGGACAGGAAAGTGGCTCATGAGCCATGATAACATCTGTACTTTGCACAGTGTTCGCCAGACTTGATTGGGAAGTTGAACGGCCAGAGAGCACAGACGTGCCCGATAGGCTTGAAGTGACAAGACTCGGGGTCGCAGCCAGAGCCGATGTTGGCAATGGCGTCGAGATAGATGTTGTGGGCATTTCTTCAGCCGCAGGTGATTGATGACTGAACGTTGCCTTTTGGGTTCCAGACTTCTCGAATAGCTCAGCCAGACGATGGTGGCCTTTCTCGCGGAAGAACTGGGACTGCTTGGATCTCCTGCAATGATGTCACCCAAGTCAGCAACTTGAGCTTGAAGAGGATGCGGCAGTGTGGCAGCATGGCGGCGAGATGAGAAGGCTGGGAGCAGAACACCGTTGGGGGGAGGGGGGGGGAGACGAGAATCAAAAGGATGGTCATCGCTGAAGAATTTGCCAGTGACAAACTTACAGAGCCCTGAGGGAGCCTTTGTGAGGCAGGACAGGGTGAGCTTCCTTCAAGTCCAAAGCCACGTGTTTGCCATTTTGACCTTCTGGGGTTCCAGTTTGCTTGCTTGACTTGGACTTGATAGCAGCCTCATGCGTTTCTGGACCATCTAATATGGTATCAGCAGCACTGCCATAGGGAGAAGTCGACATAGAGGACTGGGTGGTGGAGCCACAGCTGAGGTTTTCCTTGCTCTTGAGACTATTGGTACCATAAACAAAGTTGTGATAGTCAACTAAGGCCAATTCTTCCTCATGGATATTATCCTGGTGGCTGTCATCTCCATGTAGACTGTCTTGGTCGCTGTGGTGGTGTGATTGCAACGAGCCCTTCGGTGTTGCTAAGGACATGTGAGCTGTCTTGAGTTGATTGATCGTTTGATTGATTGGTTGGGAATACAATCGGATTGAAGGCAGGTTATCACAGTTTGGCTTACCTATGAACTTGAATGCCTTAGCGATCTTGGAGGCCTTGGAGACCTGTGGCAGACCATTCCTTTCCATTGAGACGCGTTTGCAGGTATGTCATGGCACAACGCCTTTTAATCAAGTTGCCTTTTGATGGTCATGGAAGACCATTGTGAAGAGAAGGTGGTGCAATGTTGGCAATGTTGTGATGTGGAAGAAGGGTTGTGAAAGAAGCTGAACAATCCGTTTGGGTCCCGAGAAACTCCCTGCAGAGCATGACCTGCGGTCAAAGAACTGGTGTTGAAGTTGATCTGCTTTCACAAGACGCGTTCTGAATTGACCCCACACCATGTCCCTTTCTTGTGGGCGATGCTGTGAGATAGGATGAAAAACACATATTTTCTTTCTTTCTCTCTCTCTCTCTCTCTCTTTCTCTATGCCCAGGCTTTTCTTCCTGCAACTGGGACCTTCTGTGCACCATGGTCTGTTGAGACAGCCTCGCCTCTCTCCACCATGGCATCCCTCTCTCCCTGCTCCATCTTATGCTCCATTCAAATCACTGCCTGGACTTCTTGTTGCCACGGCTGCCGAAGATCTTCTCTTGCAGCTTCTGTTTGACCTCTCAATTTGCCCAGGTGTTGCAGAACTTTCTGAGAAATAGATGGACCAGAGGTGAGAATATGTTTTTCAGCTCTCAATATATCCCCTGGTTCTTCTTTCTGAACCTTTTCTTCTTGACGAAGTGACTTTGCCTGAAACCCACTTCTGGTCATTGCACTGAGTTGGTGTAGTAAGAGAGGTATCGATTGAGAGCATGCCTTGCTGCTCAATACTTGCATCTCGATATACAAACATGCTCCACAAGCCCAGACATGGAGCAAAAGGGAAGATGCGCAATCAGCAGATTTGCTTCTCGTATTGGATATCTGTCTGCGAAGAAAAATTCTAGAATACCTGGCGCCCAATCACCATTCTCAGTCAGTTAGGAGAATCAGAACAAGTTGTTGAGCACCTTAGCTTGAAGTTGGCTGCAGATAAATAAATGCACTGGACACCATGCAAAGTGCGCCAGACGCTGGCACGGAATGGCGAGGCAACATATTCAACTATGAGCTCAAGTTGCTGAATAGCTGGTTAAACCTTCAGAATGGAAAGAGACAGAGAGAGAGATGTAGGAGTTGCCCCATGTCATGGTTTGGTGCTGTACAGCAGAAGGCATCTTTGGGTAAGTACTTTAAGTAAGTAGTCACTTCTTAGGTAATATCACTCAGGGGTCACTACGTTGTAGCAGAACCCTAGAGCCCTGAAACCCTGGAACCCCTGTCCTGGGCTCTTTTAAGCTCATAAGCCCCTGGCCCATGATGACATGCCAATGCTGCTGCAGTGCCCCGCAATTTTCCAACAAGGCTGTAAAGTTGCCCCTCCAAACTTTGTATTCCTGCAGTAATTGCCGTTAAACCTCCAACATCCACACCCGTTTTTCCTCCTGGCGAGACCACGCATGAACACCCTCGCCCAGACCACCATAAGCAAGATGTCTGACGATCTGATCCAAGCCTCCATGGCCGGCACACAACGTGTGCCTGCTAACTTTCAGGGAGACGCCACTGATAACTTTGAAGAGGTGAGCCATCATCTCTCATGAGGCCCAAATCAGGTGCCCAATTCTGCCCTTCTCAAAGACACCATGGAACTGACTAGGAAGCTGCCAGATCGAGAAACAATTTGCCGTCAAAGGTGCGCTGAACACCGAGATCCGACATACCTCGAAATCCTTGTACTGACGCCCAAGATCGCAGCTGTCCAACATCTCGAGACGTACTGGGCCATCCTCGAGAAGGTCAAGGCCAGCACCCTACGCCTGACCAAGATAGACAATGATATCTACGAGCACCTCCTCAAAGATTTTCCCGAATTCGATCCCGCCGAGCCCCTAAATGAAGACAAGATGAAGAGCCCCGAGGGGAAAAAGCGCTGGCGGGATTTCATGATGGCCTACGAGAACAAGGTCGATGACTACAGCTTCGGCACCATCCTGCGCAAGGATCCTAAAGAGGAGTACACTGAGCACGGCACAATATTTGGTGAGTTCTGCAACAGCCCCTGCGTGCATAGCATACTATGAGGGCAGTTGTCCATCTCTGTCCAGGGTTCGATCTAAAGCCACTGACGTGTCGTGCAGTACCTCGGATGCAATTTTACGCCGTCGAGATAGCACGGAACCGCAAGGGCCTGAATGACTGGATCTACGAAAAGGCACAGGCCGAGGCGGCTGGAAAGAAGTAGGAGATACCCGTCTGACGAGACACGCCACAAATATCATCGCAAACTTCACCCCTCTAGATACCCAATCAACATTGGCTTGAGCCCACAATCAAAAAGGGACGACGTTGAACCAACATAGCGATGAGAATAAGATGCGACAAAAATGATCTAGCTCAATTCTAGGATGCTTATGTTGTCCAAGACGTGCCTTGGCGGCGAATTGAGGGCGACAATAAGAAGGCTATCCTACGATTTGCGCTGAGAAAATCATGGTTGGTGATCCTTCAGTGAAGGCGGTTCACGCTCCAGTATTTCAATTCCGAGCCAAAACGATCGTTCCAGAAAGTATTTCCGTGCGGGGACATCCTGTGGTGGCGCATGTGCACCTGTTATCCTGCTGCGGGCCTTGGTATTGTACTTGAAGTACAAGGTCGAGAACAATATCAAATATCTAACCAGGACAAAGGGTCACGACACCAACTAGCCGCAATTCTACTCACATTCAGAGGTCTGCTGTTCCCGCTCGTGCTTATATAGCATCCAAAGTTTGAAATTCTACCTGTTCTCACAACGGATTCTCTCGACGCTCGATGGTGAGACAGCCTTCTCTCGCTTTTCAGTTGTGCACCATCGTATTGTGATTGATCTTGTTTGCCGCCGTCATTCTCAGTCACATAACATTAGCATTCGTTCTACTATCGTCTCTTCGCCTAGTCCATTCAATTCACTAAGCCATTCCATCCTAAGCAGAGAACTAGGCGAGCACTAAAAGCGGACAACAAGACGGAAGGGGGTCAGCATCATGATGGAGTCGTTTCCCTCGAACAAGAGTGTCGAGGATGGACAAGGCTACTCAACATCCCGACATGAGCATGATTTTTATAGCCATGAGAGCAAGCCAGAGACGCAGGTGGTGGACAACTCAAAATCAACGTGGCGGGATCTTTTCGCCTTCACTGAGCGTCGCCACCTTGGCCCTCTCATCATGGCCATTATTGCAGCCGCCTTCGCCGCGGCAGCCAAAACCTCATATGCTATCTTTCTGGGCAGGGTCATGGACATCCTCACACCTCTCGGCGCCGGGACCATAAGCAAAGAGTCAGCCATGACAGGTGTTACATTCTGGTGCATCATACTCACGGCTATGGGTGCAGCCGTCTGGATCTTTAACTCTGCCTTCATGGCTGCCTGGGTGATCTTTGGGGAGTTGATAGCGAGGCAGGCCAGAGACAAGATCTTTTCCAACCTGCTGAACAAGGAGATGGCCTGGTTCGACAGCCAGGAGGAGGGCGTGAGCAGTGCGCTGTCGGCCATGCATGTGTAAGTAATGTTTCCACCCCAGTGCCATCTACTCTCCCCTCTAGCCCCTTCTCCATATCTCTCTTTCTTGCTGAGGTTGGATAACCCCAGGCAAACACGTGAGCTTCAGATCGCAGCCTCGCAGGTGCTCGGGTTCCTCGTCACCGACTTCTTTGTCGCCATCGGATGTATGACCATTGCATTCTACTACAGCTGGGACCTCACACTCGTCTTGTTGGCCACCATTCCGGTGTCTGTGGTGGCCCTGGGGCTCATTAGCCGGGGTCTAGAGACTGCTATCCAGGCGCAGAAGCGAGAGCTTGCCCAGGGCTCCAAGCTTGTCACCGCGATGGTCACGGCAATTGATCTGGTCAAGGTGTACAACGGGTTTGATAACGAGGTGTGGCAGTACATGCAGACCAGCAGGAAGGCCAGCAGATATTTCCTACAGCAAGCACGCAGGCACTCGATGCAGATGGGCTACGTCAAAATGTGGATGGTCAATCTGTTTGTCGTCGGTTTCTGGTTCGCCGTGTGGCAGGTGAGCAAGGGGTCGACCACGGCCGGGGACGCCATGACCACGTTCTATGCGGCCTTGACAGCCTTTCAGGCTATCGAGGGATTTGGCCCGCAGTGGCTTGTCCTGGCCAAGGGGATCACAGCTGGCCACAGCCTCCGACAAGTCGTTCTGGATATGGCTGCGAGCCGCGTACAAAAGAGCGGCGTCACGGCCAAGGCGTCAGGGTCAAACCATCCTGCAACGTGTACCGGTGATGTCGAGCTCAATAACGTGAGCTTTGCATACCCCTCGAACCCGGACAAGGTTGTCCTCCACCCCGCGTCGTTCTTCTTTGCAGCAGGCGAGATGACCTTTCTCGTCGGCAGAAGTGGTTCGGGCAAGAGTACGCTCAGCAACTTGATCCTCAAGTTTTACGAGCCTCGCACCGGCAGCATCTTGATCGACGGGCACCCAGTTGCGACGCTCGCAGATGCATGGGTTCGGAGCAACATCACGTTAATCCAACAGTCTAGCATCCTGTTCAACGACAGCGTCTTCATGAACGTGGCCTTTGGAGGCCTCGACCCCTCGCGCGTCACGAGAGAAGAGGTCCAGGCAGCATGTGATATGGCCATGCTCCAGTCCACACTTGCAGGCCTCCCAGAGGGACTCGACACCAACGTCGGCATGGGAGGCCACAACCTCAGTGGCGGCCAGAAACAACGACTTGCTCTCGCCCGAGCAAGACTGCGAGATCCACCTGTGTTGATCCTCGACGAGGTCACCAGCGGTCTTGACCCCATCAGCAAGGTCCTGATCCTCGAAGCCATCAGGATCTGGCGCGCCGGTAAGACCACCATTGTCATCACGCACGACGTCACCCAGATTCAGGATGAGGACTATGTCTATGTCATGGATCAGAGCTACCTGGTACAGGAAGGCTTCCGGAAACATCTCGAAAAGGATGACGAGGGCATGTTCGCTTCCCTGGTAGCTCTGACCCAGGGCGAAGAGACGGGCGAATCCACAGCCACGGTGCTGAGCCGGTTGTCATCGTCATCGTCGTCGTCGTCGTTGTCGTCGTGGTCAGGTGATGATAGCGAATCTCCTATCGAGGGCCCACCTGTTGCAAAATCTCGCCTCTCTCAAATTCTTTTGCAGCAGACAGGTACAGTCTCAGCTAGAAGTAGCGGCATCTTCAGCATGGCACTTGGTGCTGGCTCCTATCGGTCCACCCTGCTACGTGCCCAAGACACCTGGGATGCTGCATCGTTGGGTACTTTTCAGGCTGAGCGAAGCCGGAGTGTTCTCGTGAGCTCTGATCGAGCCAGCAGGCCACCCAGGCAAAGTAGCAGTCCCGTACGCCATGCAAGGAGATCAAGTCTGGACATGGTCAAGGAGAGAGGCGAGACTAGTAGAGCTTACCGGCCCCATATTGTTTCACGGTCAAGGTCTGGCCAGCTTACATCGTCTTCGGAGGGGGGAGAGAGGAAAGGTCTCGCGGACAGTTCAGTCGTTGAGTTCATGACCGAAAAGAAGGCTGCCAAGCCAGAGGGCCCACACAAGAACGTTTCCTTGTTCAATATATTAAGCACCGTATGGCCTCTCCTCAGCAGATCCGACCGCCTACGTACGATTGTAGGCCTTTTGGCCTGTCTGGTCGCGGCAGCATGCAACCCTGCCTTCTCGTACGTCTTCTCGCAGCTGGTCGCCGTGTTCTGGGCACCCACATGGCAGATGTCGGCACGAGGTCAGGTATGGGCCATCCGTCTCACCATCATCGCCGCTGTGGACGGCGTCTCGCTCTTTACGGCTCACTATCTCATGCAGTGCGTGGCACAGTCATGGGTGACATCTCTGCGCGTCGAAGCTCTAAAGAAGATCTTGTCGCAGCCCAAGGCGTTCTTCAACAAGGCCAAGCACTCGCCGTCACAGGTCGTCGAGGTGCTGGACAGGAACGCCGAGGAGATGCGGAACCTCGTCGGACGCTTCGTGCCCATCCTACTCATCGTCGCCGCCATGATGTTCACCGCTGTGGTCTGGGCCTTGGTCACGTCCTGGAAACTGACACTTGTCGCCTTGGCCTCGGCTCCAGCCGTGTACGCTGCCACCAGGTCCAATGCTGCGGTGTCGACCAAGTGGGAGGCCAAGACAAACGTCGCATCGGACGCAGCCGGCTCGGTCGCCATGGAGACCTTTCTAAACATCCGCGTTGTCAGGGCGTTGACCCTGGAGGGCTACTTCAGCCGCAGGCATGCCAGCTCTACCGAGTATGCTCTGCAGACCGGCATCAAGCGAGGTGTGCTGACGGGCGTGTTCTATGGCGTGAACCAGAGCATGTCCTGGTGGATGACGGCTCTTGTGCTGTGGTACGCCGCGACACTCCTGACAGCACCCAGTGCCACCATCTCCGTGACGGATATCATGCAGGTCATCAACCTCCTCCTCTACAGCATGGGATCCGCGACAGCCATGATGAACAACATTCCACAGCTGTCGCAGGCAAAAGCCACGGCGATCCAGGTGCTGTACTACGCATCCCTCCATTACAGCAACAGCCACGAGGAGCGCGGTGAGAAGAGGGTTCCCACACCTTTTCCCATCGTGATGAGGGACCTGCAATTTGCCTATCCAGCTGCTGCCAAGGGCAGTCCAGCAGGAGGAGGAGGAGAAGAAGGCGATGGTCGGAAGGTGCTCCGCAATGTCAATCTACGAATCGATCAAGGCGAGTCTGTGGCGATCGTCGGGGCATCGGGCTGCGGCAAGAGCACCATCGCCAACCTGCTCCTGCGGCTGTACGATCCACTCTGCTCTTCTGGGCCCCATGCGCCTCTGAGCTTCGCGCACACCGCGGCCGGCGACCTCTCGACGCCGGCCCTGCGCAGCCAGATAGCGTCTGTGCCTCAGCACCCCTTCCTGTTCCCCACCACGCTCCACGAGAACATTGTCTACGGTCTCCACCCAGACTCACCGTACCGCGACGCGGCCGCGGTCGTCGCGGCTGCGAAGCTGGCGTGCATCCATGGCTTTATCGTCTCCCTGCCCGATGGGTACTCGACTATCGTAGGGGAGGGCGGCGTGGGTTTGTCTGGAGGCCAGGCGCAGCGTGTCAGCATCGCGAGGGCCCTGGTGCGCAGTCCCAAGCTGCTGGTCCTGGACGAGCCCACGAGCGCGCTCGACGCAGACGGGGCAGAGGGAGTCAGGCTCGCCATTAGAAGCCTGCTTGAGGACTCGCACAACAGGGTCGCCGCCGCTGCCGCCGCCGCCACCACCGCCGGCCAGGACAAAATGGCCGTTGTGGTCGTGACACACAGCAGGGAGATGATGAAGATGGCGGAGCGCATCGTGGTTATGGACCAGGGATTTGTGGCCGAGCAAGGCGGATACGACGAGCTGATGTCTCGCAGGGGCAAGTTTGCAGAGCTGGTCGGGGGCGGTGTCTGGATGCCATCGAGCAACAACAGCGCACCCACCACCACCACACAAAGTCTAGGCATGGAAAGGCAGGAAGCCAGACACGTCGCCAATAGATCAGCGTCCGTCTCAGCAGACGCTGATCGTACTGAAAGCGTCTGTCTCTACGGCTCGACAAGACGCACTACAGAGATTGAAGGGTCCGCCTAGAATGGTGCAGCAGCAGTAGCAGCAGTCAGCAGCAGCAGCAAATACGACAGAGAAAAGACCAAGGATAATTAACAGTAGTGGGTGTATGCCTCGGGTAGAGAAGGGGTGGGGTGGTTGCAGTCGGTTAATAGCAGTGCCAAGTACATACCACAATAGTATGTACTAGTACGTATGATAATCGCCCCCCCCCCCTTCCTTCTGACGTATCTTTTACTATGGTAGAAGCCTTTTATCAACTTGTTATCCTATGTATCATTATATATAGACTACGATATTATGACAGTCTATGTCAGCGTACTTTTTTTCTTGCAAGTTGTGGTTGAAAAATGAACTTGCAGAGCAACGAGATAGAATGCCGCCGCGGTACGCTAGGATCCTCCTCGGATATACTCGCTATGTATCCTTCAGCTCTTGTCCGAAGTACCATATTGCATGCAGCAGTGAGTGAACGAGTGGAGCACTCCACTACTCTGCCGTGCGCTGCATGGGTCGCGGCCCAGGGTGCTTCCCCCAGCGAAGCCTGTGTGCCTGTAGAAAAGAAGACAACAAGGTTGATCAGCAAGTATTTCCATTTATTCCCGCTGACCTGAATCGCCCAGACCCTCCACACACAGCTCAACAGGGGGGGGGGGGGTGGCAGATGGCTCACTACAGCACCTCGCCAACCAAACGCAACTCTCATCGTCGTCTCTCCTCTTTGGTCTCCTCATGCATCCACTCCCCTGGTGAAGACAGTGCAGAGTTCTCTTCTGCCGTCTTGCCGATGCTACCTTGGTGAGACTAAGACACACAAGATGGATGTTGGTCCCCCAAGAGGTGAGAACGAACAAGGAGAGAGACCAGACGAATGGGGGGCTGAAGAGGCATCACAGCTCTTTCTTGGGTGTCCATATCTCTCCCCCCCTCTCCTCTCGTTAGCCCCCTTCCTATTCTTTCTTGCCCCCAAACGGATAGAATGGCCGCGATGCGGGAAAGACCGCAACCAGACGGATGTAGTGTCATGCACGCACAGATTTGACATGGGGGTGGATCACTCCTGGTCGTTATTTCCACCTTCTACCCGGGGCACCACCGCCCTCTCCTCGTCCCTCCTCGTCCTCCTCTTACCTCTCTTGTTTTTGTCCCTTGGCTTCTCGAGAAGAAGGAAAGGAATGGGGGACAAAAAATTCTTCCCCCCTTCGTCCTTGCTTTTCTCTAGCCTTTTCTTTGAGAGAACAGTTCGGGATCCGCGAAAATAACCGGTATACTTACCACCGGATACGCACACACGCACACACTCTGTCTCTCCCTCTTTGTGTGAACAGAAGTTGTTGGGTGACCCTCTGGTGACCAGGACTTATTTATTTTCCACGGCTCACCATGGTAATATCTCGTGCGCTCATCAACAGTTCAGACAGTCGAAGCGGTGAACAAGGACAACAAGATACACCACGCCGAAAAGGTGAGTTGGTGATGGACCTGACAACCGGGCAAACACCTGAGGCGATGCAGATGCACGAGGACATGCCCAGCGTCGACCAGAGGAAGATGCCATCCAGCGAGGATGGCAGCCCTCGACCTAGTTGTGGTGCCGAGTCGCCCATCACATATCGGTATCTGACCTTTGAAACACCGCTACCGTCTCCAAACACAACCATCCTCGCCTCCTCGACGAGGACAGAAGCAGCAGCAGCAGCATCGATATGTCCTGCCGAGCTGGACCTTCGCCCCTATACAAATCCGATCCTCTGGTCTGCCCACCGCAAGGCATACCACCTCCTGCTGTGCTGCTTAGCCACGCTGCTGACCGCATACACTGCCGGGTCGTACTCGCCCCCAGAACCACTCATGGAGGCTAATTTTCGTGTCTCTCGTACCGCCGTCGCGACCGGTATTACCACCTTCTGTATGGGGTTCGCCCTGGCACCCATGATCCTCGCGCCCTTTAGCGAGATCAACGGCCGGTATCCGGTGTTCGCCGTGTCCGGTGTTTTATATGTCGTGTTCCAACTCGTGTGCGGCTTGGCCCCGAACTTGGGCGGCATGCTGGTGGCACGTTTCTTGACCGGTGTCGGCGGGAGCGTCTTCAGCACCATGATAGGCGGCATCATCGCCGACCTGTGGGAAAAGGAGGGAAGAAACACACCCATGGCCCTGTTCAGCGGCTCGGTTCTGGTAGGCACAGGCGTGGGCCCGCTGGTGACTGCCGTCATGACCCACCGATTTGGAGACGACGGTGACAAGTGGAAGTGGGTGTTCTGGCACCAGGTCATCATGGGCGGCGTCCTGATGGCGCTGATCGCTGTTTTTTTCAAGGAGAGCAGGGGCAGTGTGGTGTTGAGCCGGAGGGCCAAGGCGCTGAACAAGTGGTACGAGCAGAGAGAGCAGGCTGGCTATTACGGCGTCTGGTTGAAGGACCCCACTCTCGCTGCTGATGAGGCGCCCGAGGCCGGGGGCAGCTCGAGCGATGGGTATGACACAATGACGGGGCTGGAAGATGAGAGGCGAGATGATGATGACGAGAGGAAGGAGAAGATGGGCCCAGCCTCCTCGCCGCGCTCCGTCTTGGGCGCGACCACGCGTGTGCAGCTCGTTCGCCTCCGGTGGCGGGTCAAGTCGGATGAGGAGCGCTCGTCCCTGGGCAAGATGATCTCCATCTCTGTCTACCGCCCTTTTCACCTCCTCGTGACCGAGCCCGTGGTCTTCTCATTTTCGCTCTGGGTGTCCTTTGCCTGGGCCGTCCTGTACCTAACCTTTGCGTCTATCCCGTACGTTTTCGAGACCGTGTATGGATGGGATATCGAGAGAGCAGGCTACGTCTTCGGGGCCATGATGGTCGGGTCTGTCCTGGCGACTATTATCGGCATCTGGCAGGACGAGTTGCTCAAACATCCCGAGTGGAGGCGACGACACGACAATGATGGCGACCAAGATGAAGACTGGTCCAATGACGCATCGCCCTCCGACGAGGAGAACAACAGCCGACAAGAGCAGGGGGTTCGTCGATCTGGGTGGCTCTACGCGACGCTCCGCCGTCACTTTCCCGTCGAGTCTCCCGAGTCCCGGCTCTACTTCACCTGCATTACGGCCGTCTTGCTACCGGTCGGGCTGTTTCTCTTCGGTTTCACCTCCACGGCGAGCATCCACTGGATCGCGCCCACGATCGCCATCTGTCTTGCGACAATGGGGATCTACAGCATCTATCTGGCCACCTTCAACTATTTCGCCGACGTCTACCACATCTATGCATCTTCAGCTCTGGCCGCGCAGTCATGCTGCCGCAATGTGCTAGGCGGCATCTTCCCGCTGGTAACCCTGCCGCTGTTCGAGAATTTGGGCATCGCAAGGGCGGGTGGCCTTCTCGGTGGTATCGCGCTGGGGCTGACCTTTGTGCCCTGGGTATTGATCTTTTTCGGACCACGGATCAGGGCGAGGAGTGCATTTGCCGTCAAGCTGGAGAAGGCGAGCCCGTAGACTCATAATTTCTCAACGGCGTTGATGTCATATCCACCCGTCGCTCAAATGTGAAGTCTCTTCTACACACAACAATTTCAATACTCAAGCCAGTGGCGTTCAGTAAGTTTGTTGACTTTTATAGACAGTACGTCTAGAGATGCGGTTGGGGTCGCCCTTTGGGATCTCATTCTTGTGTCCAGCACAGGCTACGGAGCAGCGAGTACTAAGACGATGGTGATTCCATGGCAATGATGTGCGTGGTCCTGTAGAGAAGCAAAAAAAAAAAAAGACGAGAGGAGGAGCCGCAAGGGGGAATCTTACAAGGGTACACGCAAAGACATACATGCAAGTCTAGCAGCTCTAGGATATAGTTTTAGGCACAGAACCTCCGCACGACATCCAGGATGCGACCGTAGTCTTGGCGTTTATCGAACACCTGTGCGTGATCCAAGTCGAACCAGAGCAGCTCCACGCCGGACGCTGTGGTGGTATTGGCGGTACCGCTCCCAAGAGCCACAGCCAACTCCTCGTCGCCCGCGGGGTCTTGGCGCCGGGCATGCTCCGTGAGCCCGTCCTTTAGCACTAGGTACCGGCCCACGGTCAGCGTGTCAACGATGAGGTCCCGTGATGCCAGGCACACAGCCGCCCTCCTCTGCCCTAAAGGCCCTCTGCTGACCAGCTCGTCCTTCCAGATGATGTTCTCCCTCCAGAAGAAATGCCTCCCCAGGACCAGGGCGATGCCTGGGTCCATGCTTGCCATGTACCACAGCTGCCACTCGTTGGCGAACGTGGGCATCCTCCTCGTGAAGTTGTATGCCACATCCGGTAGGTGGAGCAGCAGGCTCACCGGGTCGACCAGAACGACACCCTCAACCTGCGGGCCTAGCTCGGAATCACGCAAGACGTGCGTCGTGAGGATGCTACCATACGAGTGTGAGATCAGGACGAAGCAGTCGATCCCGTGTTGGTGCAGGATGGCCTTGAGCTGTCGGACGAAGTCTGGCCTGGCCAGGATGTTGGTCTTGGTCAGGCGCATAGAGATGGGCAGTATTTCCACGGCCAGTACGGGGCTCGTCGGTGGCAGGTCGTTCAGAAAGGGCACATAGGGGTACAAGCCGATCCCGATGCCGTGGAGGAAGACGACGGGTCGAGTGGTAGATCCGCCAGTGGTGGCCGTGGTTGCAGCGGGTCGATACCAGTAGTTGAGCTCGCCGGCCGAGAAGCGCCTGTCGGGCCATCTCATCGATACCAGCGGGCGAGGGGGAAAGACGTGAAAGACACTGGCATGAGGCGCAGGGGCAGCGTAGAAGTGAAAACCGCGGCGCAACATGCGGAGGTGGGTGGCCGAGTCCACAAGGGCAACGATGAGGTACCAGAGGAGGCAGCGATACCGGGTGGGGATGTCGTCGAAGGTCAGCCGCAGAGATCTAGCGGAACCCCTGCCAGGGGCGAGCGTACGGCCGAGTAGGGCCTCTGTCCCAGTGATGTAGCCCTCCAGCTCGTCCTGGATGTCCGCGTCGTCAGGGCAGTCATGCTGACGGTCGAAGAACGCCCACAGGAAGAACTCGCGAAGATTTTCCCTCTTGATCTCGGCAGGATCGGCGCCGTGGGCCCATAGGCTCAGATATCTCTCTGGGTCGGGGATGTTCTGGAGGCATCGCTGGAAGAGAGCCTCCCTCTCCTGGCGGGTGTCTGGGGGGTGGTCTGCCTGTCCTGCGAGGCGGGTCTTGAAGCGTCGGAGGATGAACAGGTAGTAGGCCAGCTCCAGCGATAGGGCGAGGGCAGCCAGCGGCAGCGGCAGGAAGACGATGTAGAACAGAGGAGCGCAGCTGAGAAAGATGACACAGATGCGGATGAAGATGAGCTCGTGGGTGGTGCGGTTCAGCATCGTCGCGACAACAGGCTGGAGACAAAGCAGTCAAACAGAGAATCTTGTTTCACGACGAGGTCGAGACTGGGGCCACTTGAGTGCGTTTCCCTTTCCACAAGTTCCTCAGGTCGTAACTTCCTCAGGCTCCTTAAATATCATCAGTTCCTCTTCTCTCTTCGGAAGTGGCGGCTCAGAATGTAACGTGCTTACCTTGTCAGTCAATGGTGTACCATTGTTGTTGTTGGTCTTCTTATCATTGTTTATGTTGAATTTCCTAGTACGCCCGCCCCGCTTGTTGAAATTTACATAGATGAAACTTCACTGCCCCATGTTCAACATTTTACAGATTCATTCAACATTTTGAGGGCAGGGCAGCAAGGAGCCAAGAGCAGGCCATTCGACCGCTGGTGCAGGAACACCTGAAGTACAGTACTTAGATAGTACGTACCGTGCTCTGCTCTCTCCATTTCTGGGGTGACGCTGGTGACGTATGAGTACCCGTAAGAGGTAGCTTCGACGTCCAAGATCAACATGAGCTCATACCATGGTATGTACCTTGTACATGAATACACAGGTGCAATGATCAATCCCAAATCTCCTCTTTTCTTTATTTTTGTTCTTATTTTTCTCCTGGTACATGACCTGACCATGGGCCGTTCTTGTTATCTAAGCCCTAACCCTAAAGCTGAATCAAACCTGAGGTTCACGAGACAAATCCACCCCCGTCGCTAAGCATGAAGCTCTCTATCGTCTTCTGAACGCCCTCCTCCCCCCCTGGCCCTAGAAACAACCACCACGACCACCACAAGCACTCCCTTTCTCTTGGTAACACCATCGCTCTAACCTCCCAGAGTCACAGCAACATCTACCAAACAGAAATGGGCACCATCTCTGTCCGCGACCATATCAAGTGGGGCACAGATGATCCCTCCGAGCCCACGTCGACCTTGGTCCTCACATCACCTAGCCGCTGGTTTGTGGATATCAGGGTCCTGAAGACAGCTCTACCAGTCCCTACAGACGCGAGACATGTGGTCCTTTCCGACCTCACGGACAATCAGCTGGACTGGGCCTTTGGGGGCACGTCCTCAACCAGCCAGCTCACCCGCGAAAACGGCACCCATGTCTCCCACTCCACGTTCCGCCACTGGGTCGACAGCCGCACTACGAGCCCAGAAGAGGTCGTCGATGAGGGCGACATGTTTGAACAGCCATCTGGCTTGACTTTAGAGACAGGCCATATGGTAAATCCTGCCACAGGGTATGACACAGAGTACGAGGAGCTGTGGCGTGACGAACAGCCACAGCCCGTGCCGGGCTTGGCCAAGTGCATCGTATTGCGCGCACACGACGATGCCAACGAGACGCGTGGCCTCTTTGTCTGTCTTGGACAGTATGCGCAGGGCGTTATTCGTAGGGGTCACATCTTCACTGCTGAGAGATGGATATGGAACAGCTCCGACTCCAAGTGGGAGAGGCAATTACGCTGGGGCACCCACTCCACACCGACATTGCGAGATCTCGTCTGTAGCTTAGGGAAGACATACGAAAAGAATGACCGCGTCGAGACCTCAAGCGGAACGTGGACAGTCATAGAGAAAGTCGACTAGGGCTCACTCTTGCCTCATAGGAGGCAGCATGAAGCGCATCACATGTCTCCTAGCTCTGTGGAATCAATCGGGTACGACAGAGAAAATACCATCAGCAGACAGATCCAAATAGTACCTAAATCCACTAAAAAAAAAAGCAGTTTTGTTACGACCCGTGATCTAGGCGTAGCAGCTATATGTACGGTTGGAAGGAATATTCGAACAGAGAGTTCGAATATTGGCTGATGTTATGACCCATCCAGCATGCAGGTCACAGGACAGGCCCCGCCAACAAAGAACCAGCGGTTACAGTTCAAGGCACGACCACGCCTAACCAGGATTAGGTAATCAAGAGTTAGGGTCAGGAAGAAAGAACCAATCAGGAAGGGATTGCAACAGTTGCTTGTCAGTTCTTACGATTCAGGCTAGGGACTGCAATAGTCGCTTATCAACTTCTACGATCCACACTGAAGAGCTGAATATATAAGAAGAACATATTCATTATCACTAGATAGATCACTAGAATATAGCTCTTTAGTTGTTAATCTAAGTATTTATTTATTATATTGTTATAACCCATTCAACATGCAGGTCACAAAAAACAAGCCCTACTAACAAGAAACCAGGTGTTACAACCCAGCATCGGACAACCACCAAGGATTACACAACCCAGGATTAGAGTTACTAGCGCAACTATGTTAACTATGAACATAGTCAACATATTCAAAGAACAACTATAAAGAATCATAACATAGTTAGGCTATTTCATACTAAAGAGCTGAATATATAAGAATACATTCATTACTACTAGATAAGCTACCAGAATATAGCTCTTCAGTTATTAATCTAAGTATTCATTTATTATATATTGTTATAACTCATTCAACATGCAGGTCGCGGAAGGAACTCACCAAACAAGGAACCAGGAGTCACGACTCAACGTCGGATAACTAACAGTGATTACATAATCCAGGATTAGAGTTACTAGCGCAACTATGTTAGCTATGGATATAGTCAACATATTCAGAGAATAACTATAAGAAATCGGAACATAGTTAGGATAGTCAGAACTGAAAAGCTGGATATATAAGAATACATTCATTACTGTTAGATGGATTCAGTATATAGCTCTTTAGTTATTAATCTAAGTATCAGATTACTCTCCTACTCTAATAGTTCCAAAAGCAGTGAATACTTGTATTATTATCTTAGTTATATTTCTGTATTTAAAGCTTATACTTGATATCGCTCTTATTAGTATAAATCTCTTTGTATACTTTGAAATCTTTGGAATACTGCAATACTTATTACATTTTAATAACTCTTATTTAAGAATAGTTCAGTATTATCCTCTTAAGCAATACGGAATATAATAGCTTCTTAAGAATCCCTCTCATCCTTGCATGCTTCTACTCAGAAGAAACTAATTAATCAGATATATTAGCTTATCCAGCATATTCAGAATCTGTATAATTAGCAATAAGCTCAGAGCGCCACCATTGCTAATCAGCAAGCCTAGCTAGCTTAATAAGCTTAACAAGCTCAGCAGATACAGTTTACTTTTATAATTACTAATAATGCTAGAAAAATATACAAGATAAATAAACTTGCTATATATAATAAAAATCAGAAAATACTATATAAATTTCTTATTTACTGCAGAGCATACTTCTTATATTATATAATCCAGTTTATTAAAGAATCTGAAAAGATTATTCTTGCAGAGATTTATTTCGAAAAGAATGCTCTTATCTAATACAAACCTTTTCTATGCAACTACTTAAAGCATTAAAACAATTCCAATGCGCATACTCAGAATACTAAGAATATATTCGATTTCTTTGCAAGCTTTAAGAAAGCTCTCAAGAAAATCTTTAGCAATTTCAATAAGAAATGCATTATAGCTTAGCAGCTTATAAATCTTAAGTAGATTAAATCAGCTTCTGCTTATATAATTAGATTCAAATAGCTCTTAATATAATTCTTATAGAAAGATAAGAATCTTATAAAGCATTATTATAAGAAACTTAAGAATAATATTAAGAATGAAATTTCTAAATAGAATTAGCTAGAGAACTTTGCAATATTCTCAAACTAAGCAATCTGCATTAATAATTATTTATATAAATAATAAATGGAAAAGTTTAAGAAAAGAAAAAGCTAATCTATATAATAATTGCAGCTAAATACTAGCAAAAAATTCTAATTCCGAAGCTAGAACAAAGATTTTCAGCAGAATATAATATAGAATAGAAATATTCATACTGAATTCATGGAATTAGATGCAATCATAAGAAAAACATATAACTAGAATTATTACAACTGCAATAAATCAAGCTATATTGTATAAGATTATTGCTAGCTTAGAAAGCCTTAATAATAGAAACTCATTTCCAAAGAATAATAGCTTAATATAATGCAAGTATAGCAATCTAATCAGCTAAACAAAAACATTTCCTTAGAGTAAGTATTGAATTCCATTAATTATAGAAGTTTTAGCTGAATATTCTGCTATAATAATAATTACTTAATATACTTCTTAAGTAAGAAAAGCTTAGAATAGTTTCCGAAAGCATTATAAAGAAAGATTAAGCAATTAGCAATAGAAAGAAAGAGATTAATTTATAATATAATTCTGAATAATAGCAACTTAGATTATTTTAATATCTTTAAAAAAGAATTAGCTTTTAGAAAAAATAATAAAGAAAGATATTTCTTAGAATACTATAAGCAATAATAAATAGAATAATTCTTATAAGTATTTAAAGAAATATTCTTTAATAAGCAATTAAATAGTTTATTAAAGCTTATTAATAATTTATTAAAAATTATCAGCTTCAGTAAAGCAAACTCAGTAATACTCTGCAGTATACTCGATTTTGCTAGCATATATTACTATATCTTTATATACAATGCAGAATATATAATATATAAGCTTAGCTTTAAAGAATTCTTTATCTATATTTCTATTTATAATATAGAATTAATTCAGTATAAAGATTCTAGAATTAATCATATATATCAAGATTATTACAAAACTGCTTAGATGTTATGACTCATCCAACATGCAGGTTACCAGCCAGAACACCCGGAATAACTATCCGAAAGACAGGGAAGGATTCAACACCTCAAGAACTAAGGCTTACATAAGCAAGGGTTAGGATTATAGGATCAGGATGGATCAGTAGCTGATCTATAGTAATCCAGATTAGTTAGATCACTCAGATAATCCTAGTGATCCAACAACCAATACTACTAACAGAACTGAAGAGCTGAATATATAAGAATACGTTTATTTCTATTAGATAGATCTTATATATAGCTCTTTAGTTGTAAATCTAAGTATTCAGTTTCATATATTGAGTAGCTCTAAAGGCAGTGAATATTTGTATTGCTTGTTTAGAACTTATTCGATTCCGTATTCAGAGATTCAATACTTCAATACTGCTCTTATTAGCATAAATCTCTTTATATACTTAGAAATCTTCGGATTGCTGCAATGCTTATTATATTTTTATAACTCTTGTTTAAGAATGGTTCAGTATTATCTTCTTGAATAATATAGAATATAATAGCTTCTTTAGAAACTTCTTCATTCTTGTATACTCCTACTTAGGAAGAACTGATTAACTAGGTATATTAGCTTACTTAGTATATTCAGAATCTGTATGAATAATAGCAAGCTTAGAGCGCTACTATTACTAACTAATAAGCTCAGCTAGCTTAATAAGCTCAGCAGATGCAATCTATCTCTGCAGTTACTAATAATGCTGAAAAAGCATATAAGATAAATAAACCTGCTATATATAACAGCAATCAAAAGATGCTATATAAATTCCTCATCTACTGCAGAGCATACTTTTTATACTATATAGCTCAGTTTACTATAGAATCTGAGAAGATTATTCTTGCAAGAACTCGTTTTGAAAAGAATGCTCTTATCTAATATAAGCTTTCTCTATATAACCATTTAGAGCATCAGAATAATCCCGATATATACATTCAGAGCACTAAGAATATATTCAATTCCTTTGAAAGCTTCGAAAAAGCTCTTAAAGAAATCTTTAGTAATTCTAACAAGAAATGTACTACAGCTCAGCAGCTTATAAATCTCAAGCAAACCAAGTTAGCTTCTGCTTATACAGTTAGATTTAAGCAGCTTTTAGCAAGATTCCTATAGAAAGATAAGAATCTTATAAAGCATTATTATAAGAAATTCAAGAATAATATTAAGAATGAAATCTTCAAATAGAATTAGCTAGAAAATTTTGTAACATTCTTCAATCAAGCTATCTGCATCAACAACTATTTATACAAATAATAAGTAGAGAAGTTCAGAAAGAGAGGAAGCTAAATCTGAAGATTTCCAGCTAATATAAGCAAGAAATTCCAATATAAGAATAGCAGTTGATATAGCAGCACAGCGCAAAGCAGCACTATACATACTAGTTTCATGAAGCTTAATACTGCTAATAAGCAATATAATAAAAAAAGCAGCATTACTTGCTACAACTGCAATAAACAGAAATATATAGCATGCAACTGCTATTAACCCTGGAAAAATAAGTAGCAACTAATTCAGAAAGAATGCTAGATGAATATCGTTTAGCAACAGAAACTCAATTAATTAAGCAAAAATACTTCCTTGGAATAAGTATTGAACTCTATCAATTATAGAAGTCTCAGCTGAACATTCTGCTATAATAACAGCTGCTTAATATACCTTTTAAATAAGAAAAGCTTAGAATAATTCTCTTAGAAATCTAAGCGCTACAGGCAGATAGCAATAGCAGAGCGAGAATATATATCCAATATAACTATAAGCAGCAATAGTTCAAACTGCTCTGATATTACTGAACAGAGCATTCAGATACTGAAGAAAGAACTTAATGATAATACTCTTCGCTATTTCTCATCATCTGCATCAGTATAATGAGCACTGCAGCAATCCGAAGATTCCTAAGTATACGAAGAGATTTATGCTAACAAGAGCAGTATCAAAGTGCTAAGTTCTTGAATACGGAACTGTACAAGTCTCAGTAAGCAATACAAGTATTCACTGCCTTTAAAGCTACTCAGTATATAAAACTGAATACTTAGATTAATAACTGAAAAGCTATATACTGAATTTATCTAATGATAATAAATGTATTCTTATA